AAAAAATCTTTTCATTTTATTCTACAAAAAAGTTACTTGAGTACTTGTACAATGTTCGACAAGTCACTTTAAAGCTATGAAAAGATTTCATCGATAAAACATCACGCTGGGATGAATTGTCCTGTAAGCATGAAAGTTCAAGATAGAGAAAGAAAATTGCCGTTAAAAAGTGACAAAGAATGCGTCTATATCTATATATACTATATTTGAAAAGCGAAAAGAACGAAAGAGGCAACGGTAGCGTTTATTGGACATTATCATGATAATGTCTCAAAGATTTTTTAGCAATTTTTATGAAATATAATTTATTTAAATTAAATATATATATATATATATATATAAAATAATATTTTTTAACTTTTTCGATTTTATAAAAATAAACCCTAAACATGGATTAATTCGTAATAGAAAGTAAAAATAAATTTCATAAAGATTGTGCAAGTATAATACCATGAGGCATGTTCCCTTTAAGAAACTCTCGCAATAACTTTATAATTTTCTAAAACACACAAAAAATCTCTATACTAAGAGGATTTTTCAAGGCTTTTCTTATTTCTCCTTTTTATTTTTATCTCGAAAATTCAGTATCTTTATAGACACATTAAATAAGAAAAAAAAGATGCTTTCATTAGCCCAAGACTTATTTTCATTTCTTCATTTAATCCTACGTAACATTTTTTATTCATCATTAATAAAAAGAAAACCTTTTTTATCTATAAATAATTTATCTCAAATTAATAAAATTTTCTTGAATGAAGAAAGTATTGAATCAAATACAGACAAGTAAAGGGGTGTTATTGATTCAATACTACTAATTTATCATCAGAGAAATAAAATTGTTAAAATAATCATGCGTCTAAAAGTTTTACAGATTTAAAAAAGAGTAATATAAACAGAATAAATTAAGCAATAGATGAAAAAAACAACCCCTTTTATCATTCTTCCACATAGAATAAACATTTTGAAAGTTTGTATGACACTTTTTTGTTAATTAATAAGTAGGAAAAATTGTCTGTGAACTTTGAAAACTCAACTTTTCGCGAATTCTGTTTGAGAACTGTAACCGTTGATTCTATAGTAGCAGATGAAGGAGGAGAATAGAATAGAATGAGTGTGTAAACAGTGGAGTGCAGACTAGAGGGGTGGCATGGCGTCAATTAGTATACCAGTCGGAATGGGAAACAGGTACAATTCTAACCTCTGAAACTAACGAACCAATCTCCCTTCCACTCTGTTAGGTTTCTTCTCATATTCATCACTTGTAAATACAATCGTAAATGGTACTTTTTTCAAAGTAAGTGTAAATTTTCGTTGAGTATGTTAATTTTTTTTTATCGAATTAAACACATACATACAACAACGTCTGAGGGGAGAAACTTTCGATCCCTTCCACTCTCTTTGTAACACCTAATGAAATCAGTATACTTCTATTCCTTAAAAGCTATTAATTATATCAGGGAGATTTTTATTCCAACAAAATCTAAATAAAATAAAAGTCTTAGTTCTAAATAACTATATTGATTACTACTTGCTAAATTGATTTAAAACATTTTTCTAAATGAGAAAAGTACGTACGCGAATATATAATGAGAGTAAAGTAATATCTGCCAGAGGATGACAAGTCAGGTATTTCAATCTTTCAAGGAATTGGAGATCTTGCAAGACTCACGTAAAATTTTATGGCAGATATAAATATTAGATTGAATATAATTCAGAGAAAACAATTTCATATCCAAGCGCGAGTTCTTTCAAAAGTTATAAAACTTTTTCAAACAAAAGAAAGAAGTTCAGGAATCTGTGCTAAAAATTTTAAAGCATTTTCTGGTAATGGATCTCACAAAATTTTAGATACTTTATTGAAATTAACACCAAAAAAGGATGAAGTATTTTATATTGAAAAAAAATGTATGTTTTTAACAGCTTGGAAAAAATTTGCCTTTTTGGGCTTAAACTTTGATCAATGTTGTCAACGGCATTTACAAGAATTTTTTCATTTTTTTCAGTATGAGTGATTTTAATTCATGGTTCCATGAATTCATTAATTCTTTCTGACTAGACTTCTCGAACAAGGCGATACCCTTTTCGTGTTATGTGGCCCGTATTTACGGGTTAACGGTGAGCACAGTTTCGATTTGCATGTTAGTTTGACTGATCGAGTGGAAAGCACATTCTAAAGCTCATTCTACCCGAAGACTACTCAATTCCTAACCAATAGAGACAGAAATGGCGCACATTGGTGAGCAAAAGGAATATTCTTCAAGGAATAAAAAAGTATATATGAAAATTTTTACTGACTTTTCCAAATAAAAGAAGTTTTCTTTAGTCATCATTAAATCAGAAAAAATTTCAATTTTTACTCTATATAAAAAGTTTTACCTCTACAATAATAATCGCAAACGGAAAAATTGTTTTAAAAACAGTTGCGAAGATTACAGCTAACGAGAAATGGAAAATGGAAATAATATCTAAAAAAAAATTGCTTACACTATGTTTACAATGCGACAGAAATAGTCAAGTATATACGTGTTTAACCAGGTAACTTAGTAACTTCAAAGTTACCTCCCTCATACACATGAACGATCGAGCTCTGACGTAAAGGATTATTTTTAGTTCAATTTGTCGCTTCAATAAAATCATAAAGCTTTTTCATGCATATACATATCTGAGAAAATTTGTTCACTTGGAAATATATTACGATCTTTTATTGTATAAATTATACGTATAATTTTTAAGTTGCTGTCATTTTATTATTTCAAAAATTGATGCACCACAACTCAGAGGAAAATAAAATGCGTACTTCAACTAAAATTTAATACAATATCTTCCTATATTATTAATAAATTCCATTGTATTGCGCATGTATACGTACATTCTATTTTCTGATTGAAAATAGCATTTATCGCTTTCTATTTGTAAATGAATGCTTTGTGACATTTGCTAAATTACAAAAGCCTCATCAGCAAAATCATCGTAGTAATTCGACACGTTGATTGTTTCGCTTGTCCATTAACTTATATTACGTCAAAATTCCTATATATTATGTATACATATATAGAATCGTGTGTGGATACTTTTGCGCAAAGAAATAACAACATAGAGTAGGATAATGAAACACTAAAACAATTGGCATTTAATAGAAAAAAAATTGTATGTTTATAAATTAAACAACATTGTGGCACGATACTTAAGTCCAAACGAATTGAAATCAATAAGCCGATTATTGGCTGGTCGTATAAACGGAGATTACATTGCTTTGAATTGACACTCTGACGTGGCTTCATAGCGATTGAATCCCACAAACTTTCCAGACGAACGGACGTCCGTCCTAGTTCCTTTTTCACTTTGACAGCAACAGAAAATACTTAGAAGGCCACAAAATAAATCATTTAAAATAAAAATTCTAAGTATAATTTCATATTTACTTCAAAGTGAAAGTGACTCATCACATTATTATAAGAACTGATTGAAATTTAAATATATTTAACTGTATAACAAATATAAAATAAATTTGAATTAACCATAATATATTTGATTCAAAATTATTTGAAATTGTAACTGAACATATTTAAAAAAAAACACCTAAAAGTTCGTTTTTGTTATTTAAAAAATTTTATTGTAAATTCTAAATTTACAATTGGTACTTTTAAAGTCAAAATTTCAACAATAAGAGCAAAAATAGAAAATATAATTAAAAATTTTTCAAACAGAAGAACGCTACTTTATCGATTGAGATTAGCTCTATGAAATTACCGACTTGAACACTTGGAGGCGTCACTAATCAACTTCAAGTTCATTATTCTTAAATGTAGAAATCTTTATAAAAAAAAATATATAACAATTTATTAGAGGTAAAAATGTAATTAAAAAAAATAAATTCTAGAAATAATAGTATCATAATCCTAAGTTTAATAACATTTAAATTTTACATGAAGCTGAAGTACGCAACGTTTATATAAACGATTTTTAAAGAAATAATTTTTTAAAATGAAAAATTCTATATATTTTTGCCTAAAAAATATTTCTTGTAGTTTTCATTAATCAACAAATTATAAAAAAATATTTTTTAGGCAAAAAATTATAGAATTTTTTATTTTAAAAAATTATTTCTTTAAAAATCGTTTATATAAACGTTGCGTACTTCAGCTTCGTAATTTTACACACGTTCAGATAACTTATTTGAAAAAGTCAAATTACATTTTTCTTGTAAAAAACATAACAATAAGTTTTATAAATAAAAAAACATTTCATAATTTATCTTTTTATACTTTCTGAGAAGAAGTATTTAGTACAAAAATGAATGAGACTTGAAAGAAAGTTGATTTATGCGTTTATAGTTTCAAGAAAAATGAAAACAATTAACTTTAATCACAAATTCCCGTAATATTAGAAAATTATATTTAATTATAAAAAATTGTAACATCATTAACAATATTTACAAATATACCATTGCATTTTAAAAAATAAATATTCAATCAGAAATTATTTTATTTAAAATAATTTATTATATTCTATGCTTTTTTGTATATATTTCTATATATATATATGACATAAATGAGTCATTGCAGTGGAATCAACTTTTTCTCGAAAAATTTTATATCCTTCGTTAGCCGTGATCGTCTAGTGGTTAGGACCCTACGTTGTGGCCGTAGTAACCCAGGTTCGAATCCTGGTCACGGCAATGCTTCAAGCATTGTCACGGTGAAGGATTTTTTTACATTTTTAATTTTAAAAAACAACTCTTTTTTATTAATTTTTAATCATTTTCTATTTAAAAATCAATTTAAAAAAATATTTTTATCATTTTTTAATTAAAAAGTCTATTAATTTTTTTTAATAACAAAGACAGTAAAAATTCCTTTAGAACTTATTCTTTTCAATTTAAATATATTTCATTAAATTTGTACTTTAAATTACGTAATGGATTACTTTAATAAATTTCATCACATTTTTTAGAAACAAGGATAAAATGTCAGCAGATTCTTGTCAAATATATATAAAGAATTATTTTAATTTAATGTCAGTGGGAAATTGAGTGACAAGCTTGAAAATTATATTACTATAAAGAAAATTAATAATGTTTGTGCGATTTCAAATTTTTGTGTCAGTGATGTGTTTATTGTATCAACGTAAGATTTTATATTTTTAAATGCATAAACTATTCATTGTTTTATTTGCAATAAATTATTTTTAAAAATACAATGATATGTTTAAATAATTAATAAAATTAATAATTTCTATTTTTGCTCTATTTTAATTTTTAGATGCAGAATGCATAAAACAAAAAAAGGATGATGCAAAAATTAACATGAATTTAAAAATGTCAAGTATTGAACAAAGAGGAGGGAGATCTGTTCGTTCTCTCTTAAATTTAAAAAATGAAGATGCATCAGGTGAAGATACTTTAAATTAAAAGAACAAAAATTTATACATAAGTAGCTTACTTGATTAAAACAATTTTCTTTCTATTTTTAGTGCATGTGAAAAGAGTAGCGGAATATTTTGAAACTGGTGGACCTATGAGAGAAGTAAAACTTAGAGAACCTTGTGAACTAGTAAAATGTGATCAATGCTCATCAAATTTATGTAAATCACGAGAATCAAATAATCCACCATCAGTTGAACCAAAAGATAATATTGTAGGTGCTACAATGGAAAATTCTTGGTGCCCTGCTGAGATGCTTGGAATTAAAAATAATCATACCCCTAAAAATGAAATTGTAGGAAGTCCACGTCAATCTTTAAATTCAAATATATGTCCAAAACAAGTAATAACTCAACCAAATATCAAAGAACGAAAGAATTTCAAAGAACCGACTTTAAATGTTGAAACTACATTACCAATAACATACTACAAAATTGATCAACCACTTCAATTAAATCCAAGATCATTCCCTATAAATAACCAAGATTTATTTCATCAACCACTAGGAATGAGACAAGTAAAATTAAAATATTTTTAAACAAAGTACTTTATATAATTTGCTGTACAAAGATCAAACAATATTTTATAAAGTTTCTTTTCAATAAACATTTTCTGAGGTTTTATTTCAAAAAAGATATCTAATTGTTTAAAGTTAAAAAACAAAATTATGTATTTTACAGATCGCACTTCCAACACAAGAAATTGGTTTAACTACTTCGCCTCAATTATCGATACCACAAGAAAGAACTTTATTCAATATCAATTATCCTCAAAGCAGTTTTACAATGCCAATAAAGCCTCAACTTTTTTCAACAAGACCTCTTTTGGACCATTATAAAAAACCATTATTAGGATTATTCACACCTAAACTACCTTTTAATTTATTTCACAAAAAGTCAACTCCATGTCCATCTCAAATTTTTATTGAAGTACCTCAAAGATTGGCAATAGATAATTTAGATTCATCTCCTACACCGGAATTAAATCAATTGGCTAAATTAGCGACACCTCAACAATTCAATGTTGTTACACCACAGACGGGAATTAATTATTTAACAAATGACTTAAATTCGCAAATGAATTATCCTCAGTCACACATGAATTTTGATACGCCTATAATATTACCTAGAAAGAAATTGATACCTTCATTAAATATGGGTTTAAACCCTTATAATTTTGATCTAGTATCACCATTAAAAGATTTAACTTCATATTCAATTGATGTAACTGCACCTCCATTACAACTACCGTGGTTATATCAGTAACCTATTCGTCCTTTAACAATCTTAAGCATCTCACAAAGTAAAATCTCATAATTTTTTTCAAAAAAATTCACCTTATAGTGAAACAAACATGGAATTTTGATGAAATTAAATCCACAAACCATTCAAGAATATAATGAAACACTTGGATATATAAAAAAGAATGTAGAAAACGTTAAAAAAATTTTTAATTAAAAATCATTGGAAAAATTTAACAACAACAACAAAAAATAGTTTTATCATTTAATTATAATTTTCGTAACAATTAATTTAACAATAATTTTGACGTCAATAAATTTTACCATAAAAAAAAGAACTTAATATCATGTACGTACATTCTTTATTGCTTATACAAAATGTTATATTATTGTAACAATATTTATTAAAATAAAAGAATACTCTAGTACATCATTATTCATTATAAATTCTCATTATCAAATCCTATTACAAATTATTTAACTCTATGAATTCATGATCACAATTTTCTTCTTACAAAATCTTATGTTTTTTTGTAAAAAAAAAAAAAAAAATCTTACGATTTTTGTAAAAGAAAGTAGGCAAGCTAAATTATAATTTTTCGTAAGTCCATTTTGAAAATAACTTGAATAATGAAAGTCTAAAAATTCTCCATTGTATTAATTTAATTTGAGAAGTATTGTATTTTTAATTATTTATTATATATATTCCAATAAAAGTTCTTTAAAAAATTTAATTTATTATTGAATAATTTATTTCAAAAAGAATCAGCATTTATTTTTCACTATTCTCTTGAAATTTTATTACCTTCGCCCTTTTCCTTTTCCTTTTTTCGAAACCGTTTGTGGTTGTGAAGTTTGTTCAGTAGACGTTTGTTTATTTTGTCGAGTTTTTAATTTTGGAATTGATGAGCCAATATAAAATAGAACTGAATCTCTTGTTGGAAATTCGGAATTTACTGGTGTGCCATCATCATTTTTCAATTGTACTCGAATTCGACCACGATACAATAATTCCTTGCTTCGTTCTTTTGGATGAAGTTTATTTTCAACGCCAACTTTTAAACCAGCTGCCAATAAAACATCACGAACTTCCTGATGAGTTGGATTTTCGACGCATTTTTCTTTTGGCAATTTTCGTCCTTCTGCTCTTGTTTTTTTACTATTTAAATATAAAGGATAAATACATATCCACCTGTAAAATAAGAAAAATAATAAATTCCACATTCAAATTTGATAAATGTAAATCATTATTTCAAATTCATAACTAAACTATTGTTAATAAATAAATTATTATAAAATATATTGTATTATTTTAAATCGATTTTTGGAAGACAGGTGTAAATTATTTATTATTTATTATTATTTATTATTATTTATTAATTATGTAAATGATTATTTTTATTTTAAAATTAATTAATTAATTATGATACTTTTTTAGTATTTTGCCAGGAAAATATTGTACATTCTTTAAAATTCACTGAAAATGTTCCATATGTTACATAAAAAAAATTCTAAAACTTCCATTAAAAGTAAATTAAATTTATAAAAGTAAATTAGCAAATAAATATAAATTTACTATTTTATTTATATTATTTAATAAATTTATTATTTCATCCAAATTATTTTAAGATTCAGTTAGATAAACATTGCTGACGTATATAATTTTTGAGGTTATATTACCAAAAATGATAAAGAAATAAATTTTTGTAATTGTATATATATTTTTTTTTTGAAATAATTAAATAAATAAATAAGTATCGGAACACAGCTTCCGTTTTCATTTCATTTTCTTGTTTTTTAGTTAAAACTTTAAAACAAAAAGAAAATTAACTCTTATCTCAAGAGAATGTCACAAGATTTTATCAATACAATCATTTTTACAGAACAAAATGACAAAAATAATAAAATTTAAAAGAATACCTAAGCATTTAAATAATTCTCAAAAATAATTTAATAAATAATTATCTTTTTTAATGTTTTTAACGTTTGCAATTTTTTTTTTTTTTTTTTTTGAGGTTAGGAATGAACATGAATGTACAATATTTCAGTATTTTCAATAGAAATAATCAACTTATACATAATTTGAATATTATCAAACACTTGGAAAATTGTAATTTTATTAATTTATATAATTGTACTTACCTTTCTTTACAACTATGGGTTTTTGTTGAATCCCATCCTAGAGAAACAGCCATGATCAACTCTCTTGTTTACAACTTTATCAAGTCAAGTATATAATATATTATGAAATATCACTTTTCACTTGTAAATATTATTCACTGATGTGTATAAAGTACCGAAAGATAGAAAAAGAATAGCGATATGTTAAAATATCAAATTAAGACAAAAATGGGACATAAATTTATAATGAAAATTATTTAAGAGTGTAAAAAATTTAAGAATTGGGCTCGTCCGGGATTTGAACCCGGGACCTCTCGCACCCGAAGCGAGAATCATACCCCTAGACCAACGAGCCGGATGAAAAAGTTGCCGAAACAGACCTAGAAAAGTGGACTGCACAAAAATCACATATAAAAAACAATAAATATGATTCATTTTTACAAATTTCATCAACAGAATCTTGAAAAATTGAATAAATTATTTCAATTATAGTTTTTATTGCGTTAAATTGAAATATACAACCGACCAATCGTTCTAAAGTTTACATGGGAATGTGCCAATTGGTGCAATAACTTATCACTCCATATATACACAAAATATGCATAAAGTAATCAATAATAATACATCAATAAAGCAAAAAAACTAAAATGTATAAATTTACTCACCAGAACACCAATTCATGTTGCCTTTTATGCCTTTGTTACAGAGATGTGCAGAAATGAAGACGATTCTAACCTCCAAAAGTATGGTCGTCAAAAATGCTGCACAACAACTTCTTCCCATTTAATATTTGGCACTACACTTTCAAATTAATACGCCCTATTTTAATAATACTTATTTTTGACCTTTTTAACAAATATCACTCACTTTTCTCTATAAATATCAATTTAATTCACTATGTTACTACAAGCACCGGCACTTTCAAGCTGCAAAATGCTAACATCCTCTGAGTTTGGTCACGTGACCAATCAGATTCTACTTTCAAGAATAGCAATTCCCGCGAATTTGCCACACCTATTTTAACACATAACCTAACAATTTATTAAGCAAATATGTTAATTAATGATTCAAAATAACAAATAAAGTAAAATTCTTGAACAATTATAACGAAAAATTTGAGAATTATAAAATGAAATGTAACTTCTAATGAATTTTTATGATTTCACCTCACCTAGAATGCGACTATTTGTAATGCCAATTTTGATCGACACTTTTTACATCAAATTTACGTTCAATATCAAAAATAATACTTTATTATTATATAATTGAATGTGAAAAACAATATTAAACTGTTATTAGAATTAGATTGATTAAATAAACTAGTATAAAAGTGTTAAAAAGTTGGATGAAAAAAGTAACGTACTACACACGTTCACTGTCCCAGGAGGAAATGACTACGTACACCAATAGTGCAACCATGCTACTCATGTCTTAGACTTCATTATTACATTTTTGTAATTTATAATTAATAAAAATGGTATTTATAAATTAAAAGAAAGCTCTTAGAATGTCATGAATTGCATAACATTGAAAAGTATAGAAAAAATTTGGAATAAATGTTGTTAATTGATACTTGTAAGTGACTAAAGTAGTAATGCCTTATTGGCGCCAAATTTAAAATTACAATTTTAAATTTGAAAAGGCTTCTTAAATGGTTTAAAAGTTAATTTAATAATAAATAGAAATAATAAAATCAAACAAATTTAATGATAATTTATAATTATTAATTTACTATTATTATTAATAATATATTAATATTTTATTATTAATTTATAATTATTTATATTTTATAATTATTAAATATTATTTATGTAAAATTCCGAACAAACTTTGTAATTCAAATCAAAATTTAATTACTTTAGTGATTAAAAAAAAATATATGTATATATTTGAGTGTGTAAAAAATATATTAATTAAATTAAATCAACTAATTATTTTTATAGTTAAATTAGAATTAAATTAATAAATGTACTAATTATAATTTAAAATATATTTTGCAATAAGTAATAATAACTTATTTAATAATAACACTATATGAAAATTATTGTGAATTATGATGAGCTCTAAATCCCGTAATAATCTCGTACTCTCCATTATCTCTTCGAATTGGAAAATTGAGTTCAATAACAGTTTAACAATTGGACATTATATAAATAATCCCTTTAAATGAAATGTAATTTAATGTTACAAAAAAAAAATAGAAAATTCGAAGTTTGTACAATTGCAAAATAAATTATAATCATTTGTGAAAATTAAAAATTCATTAAATGATTTTTAAATAAAATTCAAATACCATTTAATAACGTGGTAATGTTATCAATGTTTATTAACACAACTTTGTTGTATAACAATTTTTTTTACCGTATATATATAATACACTGTTCTGTAAATTCGTAGAAATAAGTTACTTTCATAAATATTTGGAAATATGGATGGTTACAATTATTATTATTATTATTAGGCAGCACCGTTGACACCAGTCAATTAAAAAAAATGTACAAACATGTAGAGATTATGGTCAACAATATTACAGATAGTCTTAAAATTATGTGTCAAGAATAATAAAAATTGAAATATAAAAATGCTCTGCCTCTTCTCCACAACAAAATCACACAACAATTATTCATAGGAGAACGGCGCTAAAAAATCTTATACTTTAAAGCTTAACAAACAAAAAATATATTTGTAAATAAAAATAAACTGGCTCTGTGGGGATGCGTTTGGACATTTAAAAGATTAAGTATTTACCAGGCTATTTACTATTTTTGCGTGGTATATAGAGCGAATATCGCCACTATAAATATATATTATGTATAATATGTATAATTGTCCATTGTATTTTCCTAAAGATTTTTTTTTTTTAAATGTCTGGACTTTCAACAATACTGTTGTCATTTAATTTGATTTGAACCTATTGTTTCCTCGTACATCATCACGTGTAAAAAGATTCACTGTTTTTCTTCACTTTTACTTCTTTTTTTTTCTTTTAATTAGTCTAAAACGCAAGTCCTGCTTCGGAATAAGTAGTGAAAATTTTTTCAATAGAATTGATGTACGCTGCTGTCCTAAGATCAAGACCCAAATTGAATCTCATTGATGTTTTCATTATAGCCTGAATGGAAAAAAACAAAATTATCATATAATTGGTTTTAATAAAATTGTATTGTAATTTGTTTAACAGTGACGTTAAAATTGACAATAGAATAATGAAATTAAATGAAAAATTAATGATTATATTTTATTTACCCTTGCTGATCGTTCCATCGTGTAATCCAAACCGGAATGAACGATGTCTTTCTCGGAAGCACCAGAAATACGCTTTTGAAAAGACTCCGACGGAGTTACGGGAATACGACCTCCTACACGACCAAACCTACGTTCGAGAGATTCTTGGACAGATTCTGTAATGCAAAAACAAAAATTAATTACCGACAATATGATTTTACAAAAAATAAATCTAAATAAAAAAACTACTTAAAATAATAAATATTAAAAAAAAAAAAAACATATTTTGCTACTTTCGCAAAGTTAAACAAAATTAAATTCCGTTAAAAAAAAACAAAAAACGATTGAAATGTCACTGAATTAATTATAAATTTATCTCACCGAGAAGATGATAATTAGATTCTCGTTCATATTTAAATGTAAGGCGACCATACGAGACATGATTTAAATTTTTAAGCCATTCAAAGAACGAGACTGTGACACCACCAGCATTTATATACAAATCTGGTATTACAAGAATATTTCTGTCAATTAAAATCTTATCAGCCGCAGGTGTTGTTGGTCCATTTGCAGCTTCGGCAATAATTTTCGCCTGCAAGATAAAAAAAAACCGCAATCTTAATTAAAAACACAAAAATAGTTTAATGAAATTTTTTTTTACATTTAATTTCATTTCTAATTTACAATGGAAAATTACAGCAAACAAAATATATACCTGAATTCGTCCGGCATTTTCCGTTGTTATGACTTTTTCAATAGCGGCCGGAATGAAAATATCACAAGGTTCATACATGAGATTTTCACCTTCATAAGGTTTAGCACCTGGGAATCCAACAATTGTTCCATGCTCATTGCGATAATCTTCCAATTGCTGTGTGTTAATTAAAAATTATTAATATAGATGATTACTAATGTCTGCTTTACTTATATATAAAGGGGGGAAATGTAAAATTAAAAATTTATATTCAATCTATTATTGTCTTTTATTCGCTTATTTACTTACTTTGGGATCAATGCCTTCTGGATTGTAGATAGAGCCATCATGTTCGATAATACCAGTACAAACAGCTCCTGCTCGATGCAAATATCTCATTGAATGCAAACCAACATTACCAAAACCTTGCAAAATGAAAGTTTTGCCACCCCAACCTGGTGTCGTTCCTGCAATTAACCAATCGAAAAGATTAATACCTAATTAAAATATTATATTTTTATATAGAATTGTAAAAGACCTGAAAGGTTTATATTGTAAAAAATATAAAGAAATCATAAATCGAAAAAATTAACAATTACACAGTTAATGAATTCTAAATAAATTGATTGCATTTTGAAAATATATTTCAATGACGTACCAATCATTCCCATATAATTTGCTTCGTTTATAAAGTTTTCTAAACCATGGAAAACACCGCGACCAGTTGCAGAAATACGTCCATGAATTCCTCCCTGATTAATAGGTTTGCCAGTGACACAAGCGTGAGCATTAATATCTAAATGTCCAATTGTTTTGGCATAAGTGTCTGCTATCCAGGACATTTCACGTTCACCAGTTCCCATATCAGGTGCAGGAACATCAACACCCGGTCCTTGAAAAAAAATCAAAAAAATTATACATTAATTTATACAATTCATTTCCCATCAATTTTTTCCAAAAATTCAATTTTCTCTATTTATTTAACAGAAAATAAAAATATTTTCCTTCTGTATCATACAAAATAAATAAAAATATTCGATCTTATGAAACGTGAGAAAAATATCCATATTTAAATATATTACCGATAAATCCCTTCTTGGCCAATTCAAGTGTAAACCTTCGGGTAATTTTTTCAAGCTCATGTTCAGAATAATTCTTTGGATTAATTTTGATTCCAGCCTTAGCGCCACCAAATGGCACATCAACACAAGCGCATTTGAAGGTCATTAAAGCGGATAATGCCTTGACCTCATCACGACAGACGTCCATCGAAAAACGTATACCTGTAAAAAAAAAAAAAAAAAAATTGTATAATTTCAAATGACTATTTTAGCTTATTGACAAGACTAATTACTTGGAATTCATTTTCTTTCTACGATGAGACACCTCAACAAATTCAGAGCGCATAGATCACATTGTCGATCTTTGACGTCAACAAGTGCTCCAAAGTAGTGACAGCTGAATGCAAAACACTCCCAAGCTAAGCACGTGGCTCATATATCTATTTTTAACTATATATGTGTACGTTCTTCGTTTTTTCGATAAGAATGATATGAAGAACCATACACAATTTTTCCTCATTCATTTGGGAAGTAAATTAATTTTATCAATTATTGCAAAAAAAAAATTTTATATGCATTTCTTGATATTTAAAATTATAAGAATTTATTATATATTATATCATATTTTACTGATATTTTTATTATTATAGTATATCAGACGTTTTTTTAATTAATTTTTTATTATTTATAGTATTTTTTTTACCTTTTTTTAGTCGTAAAGTTCAGAAAAATTTTCATTCATAAGTACACTAAACATTTAATCAATTTTATAATTTAGTAGCACATCTGAGACCTTCACCCATTTAAAAAAGTATTTTCGAAACTAAATTGTTCTCGATTTTGCGATATCACTAAATAATAGTCGTAACACAAGGAATAATTTAAAAGAAAGTGTCGAATGTTTGTATTTAACTATAAGAAATTAAAAACAATTTTTATCAAAAGGATATTGTAGTCTATAGTGTTGATTAAAATTCAACGAAGAGCTAATTAAGATATGGGTTATAAATTTACTGAAGGATGATAGAAAAAAAAGTTCTAGTTAATGTAGTTGTTTAGCCTCAGTGCTCTGAGCTCATCATCCATCTTTTAATTCCATCAATCCCTAATTACATTAGAATGTAATTAACTCATCAATTGGCAAAGGGTTCAAACTAATCCTAAGATCTTCTGGCACACTTATTTCGCATAGTAAACTTTGACAATTTCTTAATCTTTCAATAATATTTAATAATATCTAATAATAATAATTTGTTTTCCATGTGATGAAAGTTTACAATTTTCGAAATTTGAAATTTGTCATTAGGAGCGTTAACAAAATGTTGGACATCAATGTGTTATTATCCTGTTGAGGAAGATAAAATCCACATGATTGTATTATCGAAAAAAAAATTTTTTTTCTTTCTTTTTTTTGATTAAATAATTTTGCAGATTTATCATTTAAGATAACAATGTGACAAAAGTCTCTCATTTGAGTACTTGTTTACTCGATTAAAGTAGAGTTGAGGTTTGTTCGATTTACGAAGACGAGCCTCCAAGTTATTTTTAACGAAGTACTAATATGCTTTCCAAGAAGCAAATTACATCAAGGTTTTAAGATTCATTGCCTTGAGATTTAAAACATATTATTGATAACAATACTTTTTTTTAAATGCAATACAATCTATATATGTAATAAATATTAACAAACGGAAATGTAAACTTAAAAAAAATTCTATTTTTCTTGTTTATTGCCTCGAGAGAATTTCAAGAATATGCAACTAACAAATAACAATACTTTTTAGATCAAAATTACAGATGAAATATATTTAATTTGTTTATGAAAATTGATTTTCAAGAGTTTTATATTTTATATGTTTTATATTTTAAAGACCGATAACTATTTTTTTAAACTTGTTTGAAATTAAATACATAGACGCAAATAATAGAAATTAATTAATTTAAAAAAGTAAAATGAATTGCAATTTAATTTCAAATAAATAATAAAGGCATTGTTCGTATTTTAAATTGAAAACAATAACTTATAAAATGACCTTAAACTTGTAAAATTCTAGGGTGAAACACAGATGGCTAAAATAAGTTACACCATCGTCATCGATCTTTTAAGCAGAACGTAGACCTACATTCAGGAAAAATGAAACGATCGTTTTGTTACGTAACGTTGAACTCAGTGAAAATAGCACTCCTCAAATCCAATGAGTATATTCATCACAGACGATGTAGAGAAAAATTTCCTACACTTATTAAGGAAATTTATATTATTTACTTTTTCCTAATTTTATAATTTTACGAGTAGATTTATTTTAAATCAGTGAAATTTTTTTTTTTTTGATCCTGTCATACAGCTCCAACATATATTGGAAACTTTTACAAAGAATATACTAGTCGTTCAAGAATCACAAAGGAATGTGCAGACAACATCCTTTTACTTTTTTGGGGGGAAAGTGCTTTCGTAGGATATCTTTCATGTGCCTTTTCTCATCCTGAACAAACAAAAATCCTTCGAGAATGGTGCAAATATTTTTATTTTATACATAGAAACTTTCTCTTCACTGAAAAAAAAACAAATTAAATTAATTTTTTAAAATGAATTTTTTCAATTCATTTGATTAAACAAAGAAAAAGAAAATAATGCAAAAATATATTAAAATCTGAAAAAGCTAAAAGTTTGAAATATTAAATTGAAAAAAAAATGTTACTGAACAAGTAATTACACTAATTAGTAAAACTTGTCGATAAGTAAAGGTCAACAAAAAATTCCTAATAATTGATGGAAGTGAGACACAATAAGAAAACACTATCGCTGTTGCCCTGTTATAATTCATCTTCGTTATGACCTTTGATAAAATAATTTTACTTTTTAGCTCCCTTGTACAGAAATTGCAGTCTTTATATCTGCAAATTTAAAGTAGAACACACGTGTGCCTATTCATATTCACGTGCTCTTACAAAATAATTGATTACATAAAAAGAATAAATATAATCATATAATAAATCCCGACAAAATTTTTGCAAATAATTATTATATGTAATTATTTTATATAAATTATGTAAATGAAAGATTATATAAAAATTATTTATTCATAAATGAAATAAATAACAAAAATTTATACAGGATATACTAGTTTTGAAAATCGTTCAAAAATTCATTATTTACCTTATTTCTAGAATTATTATTATGATAAAAACGAGGCACAATATTAGTATTCATAATAATGTTAAATTGACAAGTTTTCTCTATTTACGTCACCAAAATGTTTATCACAGGCAACTAATCATTCTCAATAAACAAACTAGAAATAACACAGTTGATTTTTAAATTAAGGTGTGATTTTCTTCTGTATTTGTTAACACGATTATGACAATTTTACTTTTAGAACTATTGTTAGAATTACCGTTTATTTCTGACAAAGTATTTGAATAAAAACTCACTACTTAATAAAATAAGGTACATATATTTTTTCATTTTTGTATTTTCATAAAATGTGTTAAAAATTTTTTTAAATAAAAGAATAAACAAAATTCACAGATAAACGTTAGTGAGAATGTTACGTATCGTTTTTATAACGTCATTGAAACATAAGATGTGATCGTATAATCGCTTTAATCAAGGAAACCCGAGACTCATGAGATCATTTTAGTCAATGAATTTATAACATTTGTATAATGAATTTCTATAGTAATTTAAATTTAACCTTTTTAGGAACGTGCGATAATCTTGTTTTCTACTAGTAAATAATATTCGTTTTTTTGTTTAAAAAAAAAATGTATTAAATTGTCGACAATTTTAAAAATTCAAATAAATAACACAGAAAATTATTTTTCTTTAAATCTTAAAAATTTGTTTCATTTCTTAAAATTCCATTCTATTTTTATATATTCCTTCATATTTCCTCTTTCTATTTTCTTTCATTTTTTCAACATGTATCCAAGTTACTTCTGCAATTTTAAAATAAATTTTTCTTTTTAATATTTAAAAAATTAATAAAGTAGAAAATTAAAAATATTTCGTTTCAGTCAATGGATTTAAAATAAAGATAAAACACTTTATTTAAAGTGTATCAGGGGCTTCTTAAGCTAAAAGGAATATCTAGATATAATCAGTTTAACCCCAATTTTTGAAGGACAAACTTTATACTATTAGATCATCTACATTGTATCCTATAAATTTAAAATATTTAATAAAAGTCAATATTTACAGCGATTCAAATATTATTCGTTACTATTTTAAATATCAAAATTAATTTTACAAAAATTTAGTAATAAATTAAATACTATTGCTGGTATTTAAAAAAATGAAATGCTTCGTTTTATTTCTTTTAATCATTCATCTTTAGCATTCAAACAATGCGACATGACATTGTTTTTTCTACTTAAAGAATGTCGTTAAAAATTCCTACTACGGTGCAAAAAAATGAGAGATATTCAAATAAGAATACAAAAACTACTGACCTCCCTTGCAGGGTGTTCGATGAGTTGAATGTTGAGCTCTATACCCAGTGATCATTTCATAATCACCAGAGTCACGTCTCAATGGAAAAGTTGTTTCCAAAATATGATCACAAGGTTCCATCATCATCAGGATACCCTTGACCTTTTTTTTTCTTTCCTCGAGAGTAATTCTTGATCCTTTACCAACATCCTCGACAAGCTTGTCCTCAACAATTTGACATCCACGATGAAAGAAATATTCCACCATATCGAAAAATTTTGGATTTGCAGCATTTGGAACATCCTTTAAACGTTCAGGAATCTGATGATCGGCATAACCTCGACATTGAATACTTCCAGTAGCCGGTATTGCGCGTGCTAAGGCACTTTGAATAACATCGGATCCAGGAACTTGCTTTAAAGCAGCTGAAGATCTGGTTATTTTATTCAAATGAAACATTTTTCCAATGAATAAACAAGAGATGACTTGAATGTATATTGGTTTTTGTCAAAAAAAAACTTGCAAATCTTCAATTCTTAACAGAAATTAAAATCCTGTTTTATCCCAACGGTCCTCTGACGACTTTTATGTCGAAGAATACCGAAGAGAGACACAAATTACACTTTGTCTGGGCAGCAAACAATAAGTAAATGTAAGCAAACTTGCTGATGTGTTAAAAGAGACCCGCGAGATATATATTAACGAGTCGGTAAACATAACCTCCTTATCCACTGAGTGGCAGCACCTGTCAAAGACTGCTTTTAAAACACCGGCTCGCACCTGCGCAAATTTGTTTACAGTGGCGCGAATTTTAAAAAAGTAAAATATTTTAAATTCGCGCCTCATTATCCGATTGGTGAACCAAAATATTCTCTCCTGTACATGCGCTGTCCTATTTTGACAGATGTTTTTGACAGTTCGGCTCTTTAAATTTTTTTTTCAAAAAAATAGTGTTTAATAACAGAATTACGAAAGAATATGTCAAATTTCATGATAAGAAGACTTGTCTGTGATCTCAAGAATGTCGTTTTCCAAGAGAACATTTTTATAATACAAATCTATTTAACAAAATTGCATTTACATATAATATTTAAATGTATTTTTTATTGAATGATTGTTTAGAACAATTTAAATAAAATGAAGTCTAATAAAGAAGGTTTGTTATTTATATATAAATTGTTAGATATGTTCTTTTATTTCTTTTTACATATTATTGTATAAAGAATTGTATATTTTAAATTATTTTAAGGTTAGGAAAATTTTTATAAATGTTTATGTGTCTAAATATTTATTTTATTTCAGAGAAACATGAGTACATTGAATGGCTTATGTTTGGTTACAAATTGTTGGTAGTATTATTTTCAATCAGTATTTTTTTATATGGTTTCTTTCCTCTAGTTCAATATGAGAATTCGGTAGCAAGTATGAATGATGTCCCTCAATTTGTAGAGCAAATCAGGTAAAGCAAAAAATTTCTAATTAATAAAAACATTTTCAATTAGTTTAGATTCTAAAAAAAAATGTATTTATTTCAGAGTAAAAACAGAAGACCTGTATCAGCCGATAACGAAAAAAATTGTTATAATGGTAATTGATGCGTTAAGATGGAATTTTGTTGCTGAAAAAACAATGAAAGACTCAATGCCGATTTTACAAAGTCTTATAGAAAATAAAATGTCATGTTTACTTCAGGGCAAAGTTAATCCTCCAACTGTAACAATGCCTAGAATAAAGGTAACTTTCTGTATTTTTAGTTTAAAATCTAGGTAAACTTAAATATTTTAATTAATTGAATATTAATTTTTTGGAAAAATATAGGCAGTAACGTCAGGCACAGTTCCAAGTTTCATTGATGTTGCTTTAAACTTGGGTGGAAATGCTGTAATTGGTGATAGTATTTTGAAACAAGCAAAAAATCATGGTCATAAATTAATTTTCTACGGCGACGATACGTGGCTCAAACTTTTTCCAAAAATATTTTTACGACACGATGGAACGACCTCATTTTTTGTAACAGATTATACTGAAGTATGTTCAAATTGAAAAAAAAATGTTTAATATTTTTTAAATATAACATAATACTAATTTAATTTTCTCAATTTATAGGTGGATAATAATGTGACTCGTTATTTGCACAAGGAACTTCATAGAAACGATTGGTCAATAATGATTCTTCATTATTTAGGTCTAGATCACATAGGACACATGGCCGGTCCATTTAGTCCATTAATTAAGCCAAAACTCAGAGAAATGGATGAGATTATTGGTCGAATTCAAACGCGAATGACTCACTGGGTTCGTATATGAAAAAATACATAATTTTTATAATTTACATAATTGTAAAATAATTTCCTATTCTTCTTAGACAAAAAACAATATTCCCTCATTATTTATTGTATGCGGTGATCATGGTATGAAAGATTCTGGAGGACATGGTGGTGCAACTTTAGAAGAAACTTTAGTACCAATTGTTACAATTGGCACATCTTGTCAAGAAACAAATAATGAACCACGACAAATCGCTCAAATTGATTTAGCATCGACACTTTCTGTTCTTCTTGGAGTTCCTATTCCTTCGTCAAATCTCGGAACCGTTTCCTTAGAGATTTTAAATGATTTACCTGTGCAGAAAAAATTATTTGTTCTCTATTACAATTCGCAACAGCTACTTAATAATTTTAAAGAAATTCCCAATTATAAATCACAACGTAAGTGTTTTATTTTCTTCTCGTATTTATTAATTTTTTCGTAATCTAAATTATTGGAATTATATTTATTGAAATATTTAAAGAATTGTTATAATTTAGTTAAAAAGATTGAATATTTTTTTTTGCAGAAGCGTACAAAGAGTATGAAAATGCAATTACATTTCACGTTGCTTGGTTAAATGCCAGTGGTCAATCAAATGAAATGGTTGATGATATTATTAAAATGTATCGCAGTTCACTTGAAGGAATGAGGGAAATTCTTGTTCACAGTATGATAAAATATGACGTACCAATTATGACGATAGGTTTGATTTTTCTATTTCAGGTAAGAGTTATCTTTAACAAAAAAAATTTTAGATTTTTTTGCATTAATATTTTTTTTTAAATAGATTTTATACATTATGGTAAATGCTCAAAATCATGCAATTTCAACATCAATGAAAGTGATTTGTTCTGTCATGGCGAATGTATTTTTATGGCTTTTCTTGAATTATTTATTTGAAGCAGAAGGCAATACAGTATTATATTCGAGTGGGACGAATAGTACAATTCTCACCACTATTGTTGTTTTAATTTTAGTGTGTAACAGTTACTTATGCACAAAATTCAAGTTCAACATTCCGACCATTAGTCAGGTAAGATTTTTCCATTAGTTTAAAAAAGGATATTTTATTAATATTGTATTTTTCAGATTAAAAAGTACAATGTGATGAAACTATTTCTTATTTTGGGAGGTTTATTACATACACTTAGTTTTACGAGTAGTAGCTTTATTGAGGAAGAACATCAGACTTGGTATTTTTTCTGGGTTACTTGTTTAGTTTATGGTTTTTATGATATTGTTTTTAGATGTTCATCTTATCGATTAAGGTAAAATTGTTTTAAAAAATTTTTCATTAAAATTTCAATTTTCTATTACTAATTTTTTTGTTTTCTTTCAGTGAATACACTCGAGTTGATATTGGAATTAAATTATTTTTAATTCTACTAACGCATAGATTCTTGAGAAATTTAAATAGTACTGGCAATAAATATGCCCATTTGCCTGACATCTCTGATTGGCTTCTTGATCAAAATCATAAAATTGGATTATCACTTTTTTTAATTCTAGGTAAAAAATTTTTTTTTTTAATTTTATGTTAAGTTTATTTTTCTAATTTATATTTTCATTTTAGGACTAGCACTATTAATTAAAATTGATTATGATTATGAGGAGAAGAAATTCAAGAAACCATGTCTCTTAATTAATTTATCATTAGCATCTTGTATATATCTTCGACACATGGTGACTGGAACTGTTTCTGGCATTCAATTTTATCCAGAATCAAAGTAAGAATTTTTTAAATTTCAAACATTCTTAATTAGTAATTAGTAAATTAGTAATTTCTTAATTTTATTGTAGAGGAATTTTCGAAGTGCAGATCTTTTGGTTTCTAATTTTAGTTTATCTTTCTCATTGCTCGCTACGATTGATAAAAACGGGACATCAAATGAGAGAAAATGTTTTACCGCAATTTTTATTTTTCATTGTTCATGTGTGGGTGATGATATCTGCTCTTTTACATAGACCACACAATGTGATTTTATTACCCATGCAATTATTGTGCACTTCAATAATTCAAATGATTACAAAATTATGTAAATTGGAAAAATTACGAATATTACTCTACATTTGGTTGGGCAATGTTTTTTATTTCTATCAGGTAATTATTTTATTGTTATTTATTATAAGAAACGTAAAATTCAATTTTCTTTTTATACTTCTTTTTTTAGGGAAACTCGAATAGTTTTGCAACTATTGACGTGGCTGCAGGATATGTTGGATTAGAGTCATATAGTCTTTCAATTGCAACTCTCTTTATAACTATAAATACATTTTCAGCTCCTATTCTTGCGTATTTATTACTTTTATATTATGAGACTCTTGAGAAGCCATATTTGTACGTAAAATAATTGAAAATAATTATCTAGTTAAATAATATAATTTTGTTTATAATTTATTAAATAATTTAAGCAAAAAAGTTGATAGTTTGTTATTTTATTTTCAGTTCGTGCCAAATAGTTTTACGAATTAATAAACAACACATTATATGGAGACTGTTGCCAATTACTATTTATACTGTGATTGTTACAATTCAACGATATCATCTTTTTATATGGACTGTTTTTTCTCCAAAGTTAATTTATGAAGCAGTATTTACAACAGATATGTTTATAATTATTTCTCTTATTCAAATAATTTTTATAATGTACAAGTGAAATATGTGATATATATAATTGAAACTGTCAATTGAAAATCTTCTAAAATGTTCTTCTTATATAGTAATGTGATCTATACAATGATTTTTAGATGCTTATACAATTTTAATAGAACTATTTAATATATAATTATTTATTACTATAAATATTGTAGAAAAAAATTATTATAATAAAAAAATATTATATAGAATCTTAAAAAATTAAATTAAAAAATCATTTTAATAATTACGAGAAAAGGAAAAATTCAGAAAAAATTTCTAATCAAGAAAAGTTGAAAAGCACTCATTAAAAAATTGAAAATCAATTTTGAAAATTCGTAACCCTGTCAAATACTGACTGATACAGATATTTTAAGTTTTAACTTGCAATTTATAAAAAGAATTTTACACTAAATCACGATCATGAATGAAAAACATACTTTTTGTTACACATGTTTATCGAGTATTATTGCTATTTTTATATTAATTTATTCTAGCAGTCCAAAACTGATGATGAAAGTTGATAATGACAGTGATTTTCCAGATACTATAAAATATGTCAAGTATTATAAATAAAATTGTTTAATATATATTCACAAATAAAATTGTCATTAATATAATAATACAATTTTAATATTTGTTTTAGAATACAATCAAAGAAATATCATCCTCAAGTGGAGAATTTAGTTCTTTTTATTGTTGATGATTTTGAAGTGGAAGATTTAAATGATTCAAATTTACCTTACATTACAAAACTCATTCAAAATAGAACTGGTTGTTTATTAAATTATAAAATTCAACCATTTTCGACTGCAAAACAAAAACTAAAGGTAAATTAAAATAATGAAAAATGATAATTTTTATTGAAATTGAAATATAAATTGAAATAATAATTTTTCAACAGACATTAATAACAGGCTCACCAATTGGATTCTTAAATAATATTCTGTCAGTAAATGATGAATTCCCAGCAAGTGATACTATTTTTCATTCGGCGATCAATGAAAAGAATTTGAAAATCTTCTTTCATAGTTTGAACACAAATTTTAATTTATTTTCCGATTATGAGAATATCGATAAATCTGGAATTGTTGAATATTATCTTAACAAACAAATTATTATTGTACGTTTATTGAAATAATTTTTATCAATTTCTTTGTAACTGGGACGAACTTTTTTTAAATTTTAGAAAAAAGACTGGTTGGTATTTTATTTTCAAGCTTCGAAAAATATGGATTATTCAAGTCATAATATGAAAGTTGTGAAAACAAATAATTTACATTATTTAGATGGTTTTATTAAATTTCTTCACGTTGCCTTCTCAAATAATGTGAGTTACCACATTTATTATTATGCTTAATTATTATCTAATATTTAAATTTATAAATTGTATTTCATTTTTATTTTATATCTTTCAGAGGAAGTATAAAATTTTAATAATTGGCAATTCTGGTACTAGACTTTTGGGAAATGATATTAAGAAAAATCACAATTTTGGTCCCCTTGTTATGATTCAAAACGAACATTGTGTGTCTCAGAAGTATGTTATAATTTTTTTTTCTTGAAATTATAAATATTGAATTGTTTTAAATTTAGAAAATTTTAATTAATTAACAGCTTTCAGAAATACTTAGAGGAATATGATTTAACACCTATAATATCTATTTGGACTGGTTTAAAAATTCCTTCCTCAAGTTATGGAACCATAGATCCAAATTTTTTATCTACTTTTACATTGTCTGAGAAAATTTATGCCATGTATTCTAATACTAAAAAATTATTTCTGAATTTATTAAATTCAAAGGCGACAAAGTACATTAATTGTGAGTTATCAAAATTATTATTTATTACTAATAATTACTTATTTAAAGTTACTTAACATTAAATTAAAATTAAATAGCGTTGATTCCAATTTTTCAACAAACTTTGATCAATCATGAAGAATATTTACAAAATGATGAAAAAAATGTAACTGCTGGGGAAATGATTTTGAAACTTTACGAAAATTTAATGAATTCTTTTTCACAAATTATTCATGATATTCGAATGCAACGAAATGCTTCTATTCAGTTTTTGGCATTTATTCTCCTAATCGAGGTAAATTTTCTTCTTTTAAATATGAAATTCTTTTTATGTAATGAAAATAGATTAGAATTGTATTTTTTCTTTAGGCTCTGGTATTAATATTGAATAAATCATGTACAAAGAAGAATCTCAAAAATTTTGCTTGTACATTTGGAATTCACGTTATTTTAGTCGCATTTGTCCTGTCGCTAGGAATTTTAAGAAGAGTTACGTCTTTTATATCAATGACAAAAGAAGAAGCCATTGTACTCACAATTATTGGAATAATTATGATTTGTAATTCTTTTATTCTTGGAAAACAAGAAAATTTTCTTTCAGTTTTCTTCTCGGTAAGTGAAATTATTTTTTTAACAATGTTTTCTATTAATTTGAAGTTTTATTATATTTTATTTAAATAATTTCTTCAATTTTAGATTTTAATAGCAAAAGCAAAAAAATCGAAGGAAACATTAAGGACTTTATCGTCGACAATTGATCTTCCTGTTGGTGCAAAAAAACAGACTATCTTTATGATTCTACTATTTGGAACTATTTTACAATCATTCAGTTTATTACAAATTAATTTCATCAAATGGGAAAAAAATATTTGGTTTTTTCTTTGGACTAGCATTTGTTTTTGGATAATTATCAAGAAATTGAAAATATTACATGAAAATGTATTTTCCACGAATCGAAATGATAGAGAAAAATTCAAAAATTGTCAAAGTGAAATATCAATAATTTCTTCACTTGTCATCATGCACAGAATTATTTTATGCTATTCGCAAATCGAACAGTGGTTACAATATTCGCTAAATTGTGCTTCTCTGTGTTTGCTCTTTGGTAATTTATTTTTTAAATTATAAAAATAATTAATTATATACACAAAAAATAAATATCAAATTTAAAAATTCCAGGTCTTATAATACTTGCTTTTGTGTGCAAAATTTGCTATGAACCATTTTCCAATAAATGGGAGAAAATCACAATTTCTCTTTACCTTGTATTTATAATTTGTGCTATTTATGCATTAAAAGTTGCCGAAGGAAAAGCTACGTTTTATTTTTTCTCAATTTCGAGGTAACATTTTCTTTTTTTTTAACAAATATTAATCTATTGAATATATTAATAGATATGTATTTGAAATTTCATTTTCTAATAAATATATGTATTTTTAATTTAGCACTGGTGAAATAGAATTGATATTATTTTGGAGTGGATATTGTTTTGGTTTAATATGCGGTCTTGTTGTGTCGACAATGAAAACTTGTGTTGGAAGAAAATCAAGTGCAAATAAATTAATAGCTTTTTTAATTACATATTGTTCGATGTTTATGGCTATGGAAAAAAGTGTTCCAAATGTTATTTTAATATCAATGCAAATCCTATACAGTTTGACATTAATTGATATTCTAAAACAAGACAAAACCAGTCTTATTTTATTACATGTCTGGCTTGGACATTTGTTTTACAATTATCAGGTATTTATTCAACATTTTATTATTTATCACATTAAAAAGCAAATTTCTTTCTTCAAATAAATATTAACAAATATTTTCTTTTAAAGCAAAATTACATCGTCAATGCAGATGATATACAACAAGTAATCAATAATCTGTTTTCATTGGATTTTAATTTAATTACCTATGGATTAACATCAATTGTGAATCAATTTTCTGCATATTTTTTGGCTTATTTTCTTTGCATTTATGGACAGCTAAATTACAATCTGAGGTATGTATTTTTTTTTAGAAATTTATTCTAAAATTCTACGCTAATTTATTTTTAATATTAATATTCAATAATAATAATTAATTCTCAATTAATTCGATTTTTAAGAATGTCTGAAAGCGTATCGAGAATAAATAAAATATTTATGAGCTGTCAATTAATGATAATTATTATTTATTCATTGGGAATAATGTTTCGATCTCCAACTGAATGGTCCTGGACATTTATTTACCTGAAATTTCTTTACGAAGTGATTTATATAATATTAATAATTTTAATATCATTAGGAGTTCAAACTGTCGCTAGTTTACATGATATTATTGTAACATCTTCATTTTCTCCAAATATTGTATAAATTTTCAATAAAGATCTAAATTTTCTTGTTTAAATTTTTAAATAAATTATACTATTTATTTACCGCCACAAATTTAAATTGTTCGTTTCGAGATTTCAAATTTTCGAGACATTTCGAGATTCTTGATATTCTCGAAAGTTGTCATTGTTCATTGTTGTTAGGTTAAAAATTGGGTTAAGTGTTTTTTGGAAATGTTATACAAATGTTTTATCATATAAATATTTCATGATTGGAGTGATAAATTAACAAATGTAACCTGATGGTTTTAAATCGAATTTATTGAAATTTAATCATTTTAGAGCAATGTGGAATTAAATGACAAAAAATTGGTTTTTCGTTTCGTTTTGGTTTAGTAGATGATGTCCGGCGAAGAGTGGGATAATGTTGATGATCCAGATTCAACAATTCAAGACTCAAGAAGTAACAACGTGGCCAAAAAGTCGAATCAAAGCATAGCTAGCAAGATGTTTTCTTACGTTAATTCTTTTTTCTTCGTCGGCATCATATTTACTATTCTAGTTGCCCTACAAAGCTCGTAAGTTTCAAGTATTGATAAGGTTATGTTATCAATACAAAACAAAATCACTTCTTTTTTTTCTATATTGTTTAATATTCTTTAAGAGTTATACTATCTTGTCTCTAAACTTTGAAACATTATGTATTAGCAAGTTCTTTAATTTATTTATATATTTCTGATTTGTTTATATTCTCCATAATGTAATATACATATTTTTTATAATAAAAATTTATTACGTGTACTTGCCACGTTTCAGAATATTAAAAAATCGATATACATAAATAGATAGTGTCCTTTACATAATATACATATGCATATAAAAATATATAAGCATTAGATGCTTTAAAAGTTCAAATTTTTGAGACACTTGACTTAAAACTTGTAATTTTATTCTTTGTTTACATTTTTCATTTATAAATCTTAATGAAATGTCCTTTCTTCTAATTTAAAAAATGATTTTAGACCTCCAAAAATATCAAAACCACCAATTGCACGACCTTTCTTTAATCAAAGTTCGATAGTCACGGATTTTTATAAAGGACATTTAAATGCATTGATCGAAAGGATAATGGATTCAGATTTTAGTTTTATAATGTACTATGCACCTTGGGATGCCGAAAGTCAGAATTTAAGGGCAGAATTAGAAACTGTATCTAAATATTATCATTCTCAGGTGAATGTTTATTAATATTAAATAAACTATAATATTTAATATAGTACTGTTATTAAATTAAAATATTCTTAGATATTCTTTGCTGCAATTAATTGTTGGCATCCAGGATCTGAGTGCAGAGCTCAAGTAAACAAAATTCAAAGCTATCCAGTTCTAATGCTGTATCCATCGAGACATTCAGGAATTCCTTATAAAGGCATTAGAACAGCTCCCTATATGATACAATTCCTTGATTCAGTTATGAAACCAATTATTAGAATAACTGATAAAATTCAATTAGATAACCTTCTTCTTGAGAAAGATGTAAGAAAACTTGATTTATAATATTAATTTTAATTTTAACGAAAATAGCAATTTAAAAACAAATTATATAGTTACTAATTAATATTAATTTATATGAATTAATTTTTTAAAGGCTGTAGTTTTGGGTTTTTTTAATTTTACTGGAGTATCCAAAAGTCCAGGATATAAAGAATTTTATTTAGCGGCAGTGAGATCACTTGAAAGAGATCCAAATCAAGAAATTATTTACGCTGCCATCACAGATCCTAAAATAGCCGAATTAAATTACAGTGTTGTTAGATTTCCACATGCAAAATTATTTATGTGGAATGAATCTATAGTAAGTTAGTAAAAAATGGAAAAATTACTTTTTTTGCATTCCATTTCGTTTAAAACAGAAATATTAACATTATTTATCTATAGAGTTATCCGGAAAATAATAAATGGACGACAGATAATTTATTAATATGGAGCGGAAAGGAAATGCATCGTGTTACTCTTTGGTTACAACCACCAGGAAGTAAATCATTAACATTTGCACCTTACCTTTGGGATGGTCCAGTGCTTTTTCTCTTCACGCCTAGAAATCCTCTACATAAAGAAAATTATAATTACAATCTAGTGAGTTTATAATTTATAATTATAATAATATTTCATTATTAACTCTTTATTAATAAGTTAAATAACAATTTTTTCTAAATATTTACTTTTTTTTTCCTTCCAAGATGAAAGAAATAGTACTAAAATATTATAACTGTGCTGATAATATTGTGGCTAATAAATTAGTCAAAGGCTTAAGGGAAAAACGACTTGAAGCCAGTATAAGACATCATAGTAAAAATAAACAATGTTCTAAACTTTTAAAAGACTTAAATAATCAAAATTCCATTCCAGCAGTTAGTGTTTCGATTCAAAATTGGATCAATGACACTTGCTGCGCACAAGTAGTTATGAACAAATGTTTACTGTGCAAGAAAAAAGACTTTATTGAACAAGTTGATGAGTCTATGTGCAATATTCCTTTAAAAGAAATGAATGAAGTTTGTTTTGAGAAAGATATATTCACTGTTTCTTCTAAATTGCCAAATCATAATGAATATGAATTATGTTGCAAGAAATACAACAATAAAAATATTGCGAAAGATGTACTAATTTCAAGGTAATTTATTTTGTTTTTTATTTACTATTTTATATTTAAATATATTTTTCTGTTTTCTGACTAATAAAATAATATTGAATTTGTTTCAGTGATAATTTGAATGAAAACGATCCATATTCGGCAGTGGAGATTCAAAAATTTTTCTACAAAGAACAATGTCGGTTATTAATGATTGGAAATAAATATTATCGTTCGATATTTCCAAAAAATGATAAAGAGGAAGAAAATATTAATTTAACAACATCAATTTGTGAAGTTAATAAAACTCTCTCATTTATTGCCGTCGATAGTCTTTATTACTTTCACTTTGCAGAAGGACTTGGAGTCGATATTTCAAATCGGAAAGACAAAACAGCAGTTGTAATTTTAGATCCCAAGGTAAATAATATTTAATGTTCTATTTAATAATGTATTATATTTAAAAAATAATTATTAAAATAATATAAATCATATTTTTTTACAGGAAGAGAGTCAGTATGTTCTGAAGGAGGAACTTTCGTTATATTCATTGACACAATTTATCAATAATTATACAGAAGGATTTTTACAACGAACATTGCGTTCTGATAAATCTCGACGATTTGCTCACTCTTATAAAAAGGGTACGGAGTTTAAAATTATTAAGAAATCGACGATTCATGTACCTGAATTGACGACGGAGAATTTTCTAGAAACTGTTTTGGATTCTAAGAAGGTAAATATTTCATAAATATTACTTTAATTTGAAAAATTTTGAATTTAAGGTAAAAAAATATATAAATTAAAAACATGAGTTTTGTATAAAATTGTTAAACATTTCTAGGACGTCGTAGTGTTCTATTATTCTCCTTATTGCGGTTTTTGTAGCGCAGTCGCGTATACGTACTTAAATGTAGCTAATTATTTATCAAAAATGGATCATCTTATTCTTGTCAGAGTCGATGGTGACAATAATGATTTGTCATGGGAATATAGTATGGATCGATATCCATCGATACTTTTCTTTCCAGCGAAAAGGTATACTATTAAAAAAAAATTAAACTATCAGCTTTGGAATATTTGAAATATTAATAGAATTATTCTTTTTTTTAGAAAAGAAGATAGCACAGTATTTCCTTTCACTTTACCAGTGACTATAGCGAATCTTTTGAATTTTGTCTTAGCCAATTTGGAAGGCGATTCTCATGTGGAAGCTTTGATTAATATTTGTCATATTGGAGCTGGTGAATCGCATAAGGATTGTGTGATTAGAATACGTTGGCTTTGCTTAGATATAATTGATGATCTTTTACGCCAATATAGACAATTGCGAAGGCATGATTCATCATTATTGGAAAAAAGAATTGCCAACAAAAAGTGGAGACTGATTTTGCTCAAGTTAAATCATATTAAAAGTGTTCATTTAATTTTGGAATCTACTGACAATTTGGTTAAAGACATAGAGAAAGTGAAAATAATTCAAAATAAATTTAAACATTATTATAGAATTCTTTCACAATTAAATAGAAATATTAAAGAATCGAATAAAACTCAAATTCGAATTAAACGTAATTTTTCGAAAGATGAGTTGTGATATTTAACATAGCTGTAAAATCAATTGATATTTTTTTTCTCATTAACTATTTCAACTTTAAAGAAATTGTACAGATTTATATCAATAGAAAAGAAAATAACCTCATAGTCCTCCAGAGACTGAATAAGCAAAATAATTTATATTTTGCGAAAAATATAATCTCTCACAAAGGTGCTGAAGTGTAACGAATTAATAATTGTATTATAAAAAAAAGTGAGATGTAAATTATGTACAAATTTGTCACATTCGTTAGACAAAATATTGTTCAAATATTGTAGGATATTTGTTGAAAAGAAAAGTTAATGAAAATCAAAATTATTAGTCTGTGAGCAATAAATTTTGAGGCCAACACAAAAAGTTCCTCTAAAAAAATTCAAGCCAAGAAAGATTATTCTAAAGTTTATCGCCAAATCGAGTTTTTTTAATACATATAGAAAAAAAATCAAAACTACTGAATGACATAAGAAACATGTGCCTGTAAATTATAATTATTGTAAATACAATTTTCCTTCAGAGGATTGTACATTTTGAATATGTCACTTGCATAGAAAACAGAAAAAAAATCGATATAAACATATTTATATTTTAATGAATTTAAAAATAATATAAATATATTTATACTGAAATAGGCGAAAGTGTTACATTTTTTTTTCTCAGAAAACTTACATATCAAATGGAAAATTAATAATTAATTTAATTTATTAATTAAAGTAATAAATTAATTATTAAATTTCTGATGCAAGAGCTAGAAATATTTTTATTAATTTTTGATGAAAATGTTGATAAAAATTTTTAAAAAATAGTAATTAATTTTAATTAATTAATTGCTAATGAACGCTAATTTGCTCAAGCATTAAAAAAAAAAAATTCATATTACGAGCATTTTTTTTGAATACTTTATAAATGGATTTATGTAATTATTTTTATTGCCGTGCATTTTTTGTGACTTTATTGTTTTTGTACACGATTAGCATTTTGCTTAAATCATTTAAGCATTAATTGAAATTAATTGCAATTTTTAATTGTTAAGATGTATATTTGTTTCGTAAACTTGTTTACACGAAAATAATGTTAGATTTTAATAATTTTCTGTTTAAAAGAGATTTTATATGATTGAACTGAATGTTTAAAGTTGAGATTAGAAAAGTGGAGATTTGTTAATTAACTTCTCCATCGAATTCAATAATTTATAAATATGCAAATTTATAAATGTATGAATAAATTGAATGAGTGTGCCTATTGTGAAAATATGTAAATATTGTTATTACGTGATAAAATATAAAGATTTGATGTTAATAAAGTCTTTGGTCTTCAGATTTTAAACTTTACACTGGGTTTCGTTTATTTTTAATTTTTATTCATTTTTTACAATGTGTTTAGATGTATTTATATTATTATTAGTTAAAAATGAACATAATGAATAAAGATTAATTCAAAAATGAAATGATTTAAAATTTCCCTCAATGTCCAATATATTTATTCAACCAATCATGAGAAAGGACTTACTTCCGTTACGCATGCGTATTTGTATTCGTGGAAGTTGACGTATTTGTGACACATCACCACAGGAAAAATTTGCTTTTTGTTAATGGGTGTAAAACCCTTAAAAACAATAGAAAAATATATTAAAATCAGTGAAAATAATTGATATTTAGTGTTATTATTAATAATAGATTTTTTATAATCTTTTATTTTCAATTTACAATCAATTAGTGAGTTTAAATTATACTCCAAAAGTACAGAAAGCAACGTTCATAACCAACAATTTTTACCTGTCATTATCCTACAATTGTTTACAATTTTCTTCAATTATTGTTTATTTTTTCTTATCATTGACGAGAATTGTAAATCTGACAAAAAGCAAAATATTTCATTGTAAATCGTCTTTTAGGAGAACACACGTCAGCTAGGCACACATTTGTCTGTATACATATATATGTATTAGTTGATGTGAATTGCATATGCAGACATTCCATCAGGTTTTATCATAGGATTTAAACCTTTTTGAGTAACCTGCCAAAAAATGGTTAGTGTTTATTTATCAAAAATAACAAGTGACGATTAAAAAGTGTTGTCTTTATTTCTTAATAATGAATTGTTAATTTTATTGTTTTTTTAGGTGCTCATTGCTGCTGCAGTATGTACGAAAGCAGGGAAAAGTAAGTCACGTTTTTAACCCTTAATATGTGAATATTTTCAAAAATCTACTATCTTCTGAGATTTATTATTATTTTGATAGCTGTTGCTTCTAACAGTTTTTCATTTTGTTGATTAATTATTAAAGATTACCTACTCCGGCTTTAGAAGACAAATGTCACTTGAAGATATATATTTCATCATGACATTAGCTTTAAAAATGAATTTTTTATTGGCTACGTATCTATTATTGTGTTTATTTTAATAACCTAGCTTATTATTTATATTTCATGCTAATATTAATTCGGATTTTTTTATACACCAACTGTTATTTTTTTTTATATAATTTATATTATTTTTTTATTCTATAAATTATTTATTTATTAATAAAGTACTGTATTTGTTTATTATTCTATTTGTTTCAATAAATTCTTCTTACAGCTATTATCTCTCGTCAATTTGTGGAAATGACGAAAGCTCGAATAGAAGGATTATTAGCTGCATTTCCAAAATTAATGAGTTCTGGTAAACAACATACTTTTGTCGAAACAGATTCCGTTCGTTATGTTTATCAGCCACTAGAGAAATTGTACATGTTACTAATAACAACAAAAGCTAGCAATATTCTCGAAGATTTGGAAACATTACGACTTTTTGCTCGTGTGGTATGTATAGTAAAAAAAATTTTCTTTTCTTTCTAGATTAATTAATTAACATTAATTACAATATAGAATTTCATTTTAATAATAAAAAAATTCTTATTTCTAGCTTCCAGAATATTGTAAATCAATGGATGAACTAGAAATAGCAGAGAATGCATTTAATTTAATTTTTGCATTTGACGAAATTGTAGCATTGGGTTACAGGGAGAGTGTAAATTTGGCACAAATAAGAACATTTGTCGAAATGGATTCACATGAGGAGCGTGTTTATCAAGCAGTTCGATTTACACAAGAGCGTGAGGCAAAAAATAAAATGCGTGAAAAAGCAAAAGAATTACAGAGACAACGAATGGAAGCGAACAAAAAAGGTGGCATCAAAAGTCCAAACTTTGGCGGTGGATTTGGAAATAATTCATTTCCATCGAATTCAAGTATTGGTGATTTAGCGAATTTTATACCAGAACCAGTGAAACCTGTACAGTATTCATCGGTTCCGTAAGTATTGTAAAAAGAATTCCAAATTTTTAATTTACAATTAACATTTTAACAAGAGTGTTTTTTCTTTTCAGAAAAACAACATCCGCTGGACCTGGAGCAATGAAATTGGGTGGTAAGGCACGTGATGTTGATTCGTTTGTTGATCAACTTAAAGAAGAAGGCGAAACTGTGTCGATGAATAATTCCAGTGCTACTGGAAAGAAAGTAACGAGTCTACCACAGCCAATTGTCAATACAGAGCCGTATGTTCTTTTTTTATACTACTAATTAATATTGTTTCTGACTTTTTTTTCAAAATTAAATTTAATTTTCAAGGGTTCATTTGAGGCAAGAAGAAAGGCTTAGTTTACGTGTGAGAAGAGATGGCGGTGTTCAATCATTTGAACTTCATGGATTGGTGACGCTAAATATTTCTGATGAAAAGTGGGGTCGTATTCGTGTTCAACTGGAAAATAAAGACACAAAAGGAGTACAATTTCAGTCTCATCCAAATGTAGATAAGGAATTGTTTAGGATGCAGAATCAGATTGGATTGAAAATCCCCTCGAAACCCTTTCCAATTAATACGGATGTTGGTGTATTGAAATGGAGGTTACAGACTCAAGATGAAACTGCACTACCTCTTTCTAGTGAGATTTTTCTTATTTATAGTATTTTAATTAAATTTGTTGTAAATTTTTATAATATATATTTTTTTTAATGACAGTAAATTGTTGGCCATCTGAGAATGGAGACGGTGGATGTGACGTGAATATTGAATATGAATTGGAACAGACTGATCTAGAATTAAACAATGTTCAGATTGCCATTCCTCTTCCTTTGGGATGTAATCCTGTTGTAAACGAATGTGACGGACAGTACAATCACGATTCGAGAAGAAATATGCTAACATGGTCCTTGCCAATTATAGATGCATCAACAAAATCTGGAGCTATGGAATTTTCCGCTCCTTCGTCAACGCCTTCGGATTTCTTCCCTCTTCATGTCACTTTTTCATCAAAGACATCTTATGCCAAAATTAAGGTAAACAGAAAATATTTCTAATCAATATTAACGGTAAATTGTGAATATTTATTTAATTTTCGTAATTTTTTTTCTTTTCGTAAGGTCATTAATGTTTTCCTGGTTGAAGAAGAGACCCCTGTTAAACACTCAGTGGAAACAGTTTTCTTTACAGACAATTATGAAGTGGTATAAAGAAAAAACAAAATTATGAAAAGAATTGACATTGGGCCACTGTATTATACCATCACCCGTTTGAATTAGTTAATTGGACATAAGAAGTATTAGTGCATGAGGATAAAACATACATTTAATTCAAATGTTGAGCTTAAGCTGAGCGGCTTATTTCTTTGTAACCTAGGTAATAATATAAATTGTAAAACACTAACACAGTGAAAACGAAGTATTATCTTCGTTTTATAAAACAAAAAAAAATATTTTAACATTCCTATCATATACTGTTATTTTACTTTAATTAAAAAAAATTCGTTCATTTTATCCATACATTTTAATTTTATTCAATTATATATTAATTATTAAGTTTGCTTTTTCAGGTTTATTTTATTGACTCATTTTTGTCGTATAGGTTTTTTTTCTCCACTTATTTAACAAAAAAAAAAACATTTTGTTTATACCAAAAAAGAAAAATACAAAAGTATAATTTTCTTGACAAATTATATATTTTTGTTTAATTAATTATACATTTTATAATACACACTTTATAATAAAAATATTTCAACTATGTACATCAATTAAAATTTTATACATTTGTACAAATTATTCATGTAGATAGCAGAAAGTTATGGTGAATTTCAAAAAGTAGGTATGTAGAAATTTTTTGTGAGCATATTATGATGGAATTATAGACAGTTTGGAAATATACATTGGAAAAAAATATCTTATTGCAAAATTGTTTACATTCCCCCAAAATTGATAAATTACTTTTTATGCAATTTATTATCGGGAATAAAACTCGCAACTTCAAGAACTTGACGTGCGGCATTGTTAATATGTCGAAAACGATCTGGACCCAAATGTACACCACCATACCAACGTGATACGACAACAATCACGTTTTTTACATCAAGAATCTATAAATATTATTTTGATTTATATTTTAATATTTATTTATAATTCTATTCATATTATACACACCTGGAGAAGATGAAGAAGCCTTCCACCAGCCTGTGCTTCACCATCATCTTCGCAATCTTGAATAAATGTATTTTCTTGGCATATTCTATACGCATAAATATTGTGCGTTGCATTAGCGATTTTTCGATTTTCTTTAAGTTTATCCAGGACTTGACTGCGAGATCAAAAAATAATTATTTAATTCCATCTTCTAATTTTTGTTTTTTTAATTCTATTCATTAAATTTTTGCCTAGATCTTGAATTTGCCTAAGTAAAAAAAAAATTGTTTAAACTTACTGAACTTGATTGATTGTTATAACTGTTGCTACATGTCCTTGAAATGAACTTTTTCTATCAAAAATTACTTCTCCATGAGTGATTGGTTGACATTCATTATCAGTTGAATTAATTTTCGATTTTTCCTGATTCTCTATTATATTTTCAATATTTGGGTTTTCATTATCTAACGACATTTCAATTTTCTCATCATTATTGCTGTTGTTTAATTGAATTTCTTCTCGTACAACTTCTATCCATTGAAATATTATACTTTGGCCAATATTGGAGCTAGAATTATGTTAACATATGATTTATTAAATATTTGATTGAAAATAAAATTAAATATAATATAAAACAAATAATTGAAATTCATATAAATTATTGATAATATGTACGTACAGATATGTTTCATCTAAAAGATTCTTTAAATTAAGTTTTTGTGAATTATTAAGATGTGGTGCAGATATTTCATAAGAAGGAGGCGATGACGAAGGATAATCATTAGGTAGCTTAAAATACAAATTTACATAATTTTCATTATCCTTAATCTTAATACTAAATTCTCTACTTTCCTCATCTTCTGTTTGCCAATCTTTATCATAAATTGCGGAAAGAGCCTCAATTTCCTCTATCTATAAAATAAAACATATGTTTATAAATAATATTAATAAATAAATTTAATTGTAGTCTATAAAATATATTTTTATAAACATAAACTTAACTTCTATCCATTAAAATATTATATACTTTGACATAAAATATCAAATATTTAAAAATTCTATTGTTTAACGAATCAGTAAATTTTAATAAATATTTATTTATTCATATTTATCAGTTTGCAATATTTTTAAAACTTCTAGATAAAAATATAATTTAAATCTTACTTGTTTGGTTAAATTATCCATTTATAAAGAATAAAAATATAACAATAACAATTTTAATTTATAAAAATGTATTGCCGGTGATAATAACATATTCTTTTATAAGAAATTTGTGAATAATTGTTTTTTTTATTTATACAAAATAATACAAAATTGCGGTTCAAAGGTTATATTTATTTTTGCAAAAATAACCTAACCTAACTATAAATTCGTATTTGATCACGTGACCATGAATTCTAGAAATTTAACTACGTGATCAATACAAAAACTATTAAACTAATTTTTTATAATTTTTTAATTAATTGTTTTTAACAAATTAATTTATATAGTATTTAATATATTATATAATTTCTTAAAATTTTAGTTTATATCCATTATATGTAATATATATAAATAATTTTAATTTTTTTAATATAAAAAATTGTATCGGTGTTGACTAGTTGAACTAGTTTTCGCGCCGTTATGAAGTAGCTCACTTCCGGTTGGAGATTCCCCAGTTTACCACGTACTTAAGTGCTCCTCTTATTTTCATCATAAAAATGTTGATTTTTAACGTGATTAATATAATTTTTGGTAAAATATTGTTTCGCAAACCCTTATAATTGAAAATATATATAAATTTCCGCGAGTGTAACTTTAGTTTATGAGGATTCGTGAATTATAGCTCCCGGCTTTCGCGCAATTTTTGGCCGCCATATTGCTTTTGTGACAATTTTTTTTTCTCTCCTTTTCCGACGTTTGATTTAAAGTTTTAGCAGTGATATGTAAGACTTTTGTTTTGAGTTTTGTGTTAAATTTTTGCTTCGGAATACGTTTATGTTGATTATTTATCTCTAAATTCAATTTACTTGGTTAATTTTTGCTTAGTTGTTGGGTCATTCGTGGCGCCTTTATCTCCTTTCCGTGAAATCGAGTCTCGTTTATTTGTTAACGGAGTGTATCTTATATATAAAGTTTTACATATTATGATTCTATTAAGTGAAAATTATGCGTAAACGTGAGTATTACGTTCGTGTTAGTTATTTATCTGTGAATTCAGTTAATAAGGGTAATTTTTGCAAAGTTGTAAGGTCATTGCCCTTTGTCACTTTTCCGAGGGAAATCAAGTTTCGTCTATTTGTGAATATAGTGCACCTATTAGACAAAGATTTACAATTTATGTTTCGATTAAGTGAAAATTAGGCTTAACTATGAGTGATGTGTTCGTGTTTTGTACTTTTCTACAAGAAAATGCATATAAAGGTAAGAATTCGCTTAGAACATGAGAAAAAAATTTTGCTTTTTTATTCCAACTTTTTTATCTAAATTTTTCAATATATATATAATATTGAATATTATTTTTGTTCTAGAAATTGGAAAATGCAGTTTCCAGTCAACAAATGCAGAATGGTCAACAAATGTGAGTCTTTTTCTTTAAAAGTATTACAATTAACATTGCTCAATTGCAATTTTTGAGGTTAGGAATTTCTATAATCCAAGCGAATTTGCAGTAAATGCAAAATAAATATTTTTACATTCTATAGGGTGAAAAAATTTACAAATCAACATTAAAAATTAATATCTAAACTTATATATTTATTTACTTTTCTTTCATACATACTTTTTAATTTTTGATATGAAAAATGAACATACAGTGAAAAACTGAACTTACAACTATAAATTAGAATACATATTTGTATGTATTTTAATCAGAAAAAATCAAAATGATTTTCTTTAAATTTATGGTTTTAATAGCGATCCTTGTTATTTTTTTTTTAAATTAAAACATCTAAAATTGATAATAATAATTATTGACTATTATTATTTAGATGCTAATATTTGTGCCTTATCGTAAAAAATAGACAATAATTTTTTACTTTAAAAGTACAGAACCAATATTAATTTGAAAAAGTTTTTTTTAATGCTTTCTACGTTTATCGCGATCATCTCTTCGCTGATCACGTTCATCTTTACGTTTAACAGTTGTATTAGATCCACTTGCTCTTTTAGCTTGTGTCAAGAATTGATCCAAACCAAATGGATCTTCTTCTTCTTCTTTTTCAAATTGTACAGGACCTTGACGTGGATTAGCTCTATCTGTTCCGCTAAATTCTTTATCGGGCACGAATCTATAAAAAAAAAAAATACAAAAATTATTAGATTTACTCTAGAAGAGTAGATCTGTTCGGTGTTAATGGTAGCTATCGTAATAGCTTGATAACTTTCCAACCTGTTTGTATTTATTATTTTGTCCATATCATCGCCATAATTATCTTTATCAATATTTTTCCCAGGACGATAAATTTGTGTGCTAATGGAATTATCCCTCCATGGTTTATCATAGACATTATATTCATCATCGTGTCCAAAACCACTGTCCATTCCTTTAGTGGTGTTAAATAATCGTTGATCAAATAATTGCGATTCACCGGAATTAATATTTTTCGCTGGCATTCCAAGGGCAATTTGTTCACTGATATCGCGTTCACGTTCACGTTGAAGACGTGATCGCTTATCAGGCGCGGCACGTGCTAAATTTCTTTCACGAGCGCGATCCTTGTGACGTTCTTGTCTTAATTGATCTCTCTCGCGAATATCTTCCGATTTGTCTGAAAATAATGATTACGTGTACATTAAATCGAATTAAAAAAAAAATTATTAGAAAACTAAATTTTTATTTAATTGAGAGAAATTAAATAAAAATTGAAATAGTATTAATTTTGATTATCAATACCTAAAACAGCTGCTGTTTTTATTCCTGCACGTTCATCACGTGCTTTTTGAGCAAGTTGTCGTAAATGATCTTCTTTCTTCTCCTTTTCCTTTTGTGCCAATTTCTTCTCGAGTTGTGCTCGCATTTCTACAGCTTCTCGTGCTTTTCTATCCGCGATATAAAGTGCATCGGATAATTTTGCAAAATTTTCATTCAAATGATTCTGTTGTAATCCTCTACCATCTGCAGCCAAACGTTTATCAAGTGGAATTGTATATCCCTATTAAAAAAAAAGATTAATTTTTTTTAATTCATATTATGAAATTTATCGGTTTGCTTAAGCAACAAAAAAATTTTATTTGAAAAACAATTGAGGATTAAAATAGTTTAGTCACCTTAGCATTTTTCCAATTACTAATGCAGGGAGGAATTTTCCATTCCTTTTGTTCCTTAACAGTAACTTTTCTCGTTGGTGAATGAAGTACTGGAGCAGGAGGTGATGGTGGACCTCTTGGAATTTTCTTATTGATTCTAAAAAGTAGTACTATTTAAATTTCGAGTAATATAAAGAATTATTTATTGTACTATTTTGATATGAACAAATAAAAGTGTAATTATCGAAAATAAAATTAACTAACTTGAATTTAGGAGGTTCAAGTGGATCAACCTGAGCTTCGACCATACGAATAACTCTTTGTTTTGCGCCGGAATTAAAAGATTGACCTTGTTGAGAGGGTGTATATCGAATATATTGAGCAGGTGCTTGTCTTTCTGCACATCTAACAGGCATGGCTGCTGCTACTTTAGAACTTATAATATTTTGCAAAGCCTTGGCAGTTTTTTGACTTAGTTCTTCTGAAACATCGTCGGTAGGCAATTGCATGGTAATGTCATTTTCATTTGTTATTTCTGATGGTAGAAGATCGCTTAGTTTACTGTAGACAATCTACAAGAGAAATGTTTTTTTTTTTTTATTAATTTATTTAATAATTTTGTTAGCGTTAAAAAAGACACTTACTTTGTCCTTTGAGTGTCCTTGTCTTGCTATAAGGTCGTATTTTACTTTTCCTTGAGCATCTAGTTGTACTGCAAGAGCATTACTCGTTGATTCTTTACCTTTCATTCCCATTGCAAGTGGATACTGAGCCACTTGGATTTCTGGAAAAGCTCCTCCATCTCCATAGTCCTAAAAATTAATTTACTATTATTAAAAGTTTTTTTAAAAAAAATTTATTTTACTTTTTATGATTTTCTATAGGATATAAGAGGAAATCCTGAGGTTCCTACGTTTTTTTTAGAAATTTTAGAAATTATTTTGTCACTCACTTCCTCACTTCGAGGAATCCATCCTTTTCGTTGACCATAAGGTGGAGCTGTAACGACAGCTTTGACCAAAGCTGATACAGGTCGTTGTCTAAGTTTTTGTTCTCGAGCTTCATCTTCTCGATCCCAAACAACTTGACTGGGCGTTGGCAATAAGCTGTAATTAAAAAAAAATCAATCATTATCAAAAGAACATTTACACGCGAAATAAATGAAAACCATCTTGTTTGTTTTCAAGTTAAGATGATCTCATTAATCTTGTCAATTAGAAAGAATTATTTAAAGTTAATTGCAAAAATATAAAACACCAATACATTTGTAAACCTGTTCTACTATTCAACTAATTTTTAACAATACTAATTTCGATTTTCCAATTTAATATTCATTAATTTATTAAAATATAAGTAAAAATAAGAGATAAAAATTTCTAACCTAAATTTACATTAAAATGTTTGAAGCGAATAAAGTAAGAATGAGCAAATAAAAAGGAAATAAAGAATGAAATATATTTTATGCCAGTTTTAATAAAACTCACCTCGCTAAAGACATGTTGATTAATAAAAATATATTAACCAAAATCAACAATTCATTTACAAACACCACGACATTGACGTTGACGAAACTTTCACGAAATAGCACTAGAGGGAGTTAAATATCCATGCGCAGAAAGATCATTAATTGAGCGGGTAATTTGTAAACATTTAATTTTTTGGAGTATTTTTTTTAATTTTCAAATAATGAAACTACAAACTATTAAATTCAAATAATTTTCAATAAATTATTTTAAATAATAAGGTTTAAAATTTAAATTACTATATAATAGACGTACGTATTTAAAAAAATGTTTTTACGCATTACATGAAATATTTTATCTGATGACAGACAGATATATAAGAGAGAGCAGACGACAAGTGTGAATATCACTGTTTACTATTGTTTACATCAGAAGTAGATTTATATAATAAAACTATAATTAATTATTGTTATTAACAATAACATTATTAGTACACTTGCATTTTTATGAAGTTGTTTAAATAATTTTACATTGAAAGGAAACGACAACAACAGTGTTTCATATAGTGTTTACTTATTCATAATATGGCCATACAAATATTAAAGAATTGTTGATTTTGCTCAATATAAAAAAAAAAAAATTAAAAAATGGATAAATCAGATCAAAAGACATTGACAAAGAATTCAATGACCGCAATTCCTAAATATGGATTTAAAGTAAAGCTCAATCATAAATTTCCTGAAAAATGGTCTCAAGCTTTAAAACCACGAATTAAACAAATTCCTCAATTTTTACCATTAGGATGGAGGTATGATTAATTGAAAATTTTAGTTTTTTGTTATTATTTAATTTGTCAGTAAAATTTTTTATGTTATTTAAAGATATAAAAGTATAAACAAAGTTTAATGTCGTGTGTTTTGACAGCGAGGTTATGTTTTTGTACGGTGTATATAATTAGAAAAGCAAATTTTCCATGTTTTTCCTTTTGGAATGGACTTTAATCGTTAATTTTTCTCAATTACTTTGCATTCCGGTTATTTAAATTTTATTCTTTGTATTTTAATTTTCATTATCTTAAAAGGTTATGTTTTTAAATTGTTTACTTATTTTTCATCATTGGTGATTCACGTGATTCATATATATTATATATATATATATATATATATATATATATATATATATATATATATATATATATATGAGATTATATCTCATATTTATGCTGTTTTTTATTTTTCAATTTACTTTAAAATAGAATAAATTTAAAAAAAAATTGTTATTAAAAAAAATTAATTTAATTATTGCAAGTAATAGGAAATTTTTCAAAATAGCCAAAAACTTTAAGTAGAAAGAAATAATCAAGTAAATATATATTTTTTAAATTAAAAATATAATTGAACTTATGTAATGTTTAAAATTAAATGAAAGGAAAAATTGGAAAATTAGTTTTTTTTTAAAGTTTGTTTAAGAATAATAGAGAAGGTAAACGAGAGATTAATATTGTTACAATGATAAATTACAGATATATGATGTATTATCGACAAATAAAACGAAAAGGCCGTGTGCCTATGATGGATTACATTAATACTAAAACAGGTTTACAAATGTATGGTAAGATAAATTAATGAGTGAATGATTATAATATATTATTAATTATATGAGAAATTATTCAAACTAGAATTATAGATTTTTTTTTGCAAATAATTTGTATTATATGCGTTATGTTATAATTTTATCTCGGGTTCTTAGATATTATATTTGCAAAATCCATATCGTATATATGAGCTCAAGAATTCGAAGTGGATTGCTGCTAAGTAAAATTGACTTCACGTACGCGATATTAAATATTAATGTTGTGTATATATGTACGTTAGGTGCTCCTATCGGTGGAATTGGAGGTGGTACAATTGGTCGCGGATTCAAAGGCGAATTTTGTCGATATGCACTCCAGCCAGGAATGTATAAATATCACACGGTTCTTGCAAATCAATTTATTGTTACCATTAGAGATACCGATGGAAATGTTATTTATAATCAGGTTCTATCTACACACAAGTAAGAGAAACATATTACTGTTTCCATATTTATTTATCTATAGGCACTCTAATTATTGGATATTGAATATTTGCATTCGAAAATTAATTTTCTTTCAAATAAATTTATTATTTTATTTTTAATAATAATAATTATAATATTTTTCGAATAAAAGGGTTTTAGTTTTTTGTGGATAGGAATTTCAATTTTAGGGATAAATTATTATTCTGAATACTATAGGTCAACGAAGTATTTGAAGCAGTGGAAATGGGATTTTAAAGGTGAAAATGCAACATATACAGCATTATATCCACGTTCTTGGACTGAGTATAATATTGAGGATCCTGCAGTAAAATTAGTTTGTCGTCAAATTTCTCCAGTGATTCCTCATAATTATTATGATAGTTCATTGCCTTGTGCAGTTTTTATATGGAGTGTTGAGAATAATTCTTCAGAAGATTTGAATGTCAGTATAACATTTACTTTTCAAAGTGGAACAGGAGATGTGAGGGATAATCGAGGTAATTTGATTATATAGAAATTTAGTTTTGGGCACTTTTTGTTTTAAAAGTTGTTTTTCGTTTTAATGTTGTATGTGATGGAGTATTGGGATTTTGAGAAAGAATTTAAATTTTAGGAGAAAAATGGTGTGAGCGTTTTGAAATTGCTGATATTGATGATGAGATTTATGGAGTGATGATACATCAAAAAATTCGAGGAATGCCGTGTACATATGCAATCAGTTCGAGAGCAAAAACAGATGTAAATGTTACTAGAAAAATAGGTTTTGATCCTCATGGTAATGGTGCAAGTGTATGGAATGATCTTGAAGAAGAAGGATCTTTAAAGGAAGACGCAACGTCAACGTCACCAAAGACAAGTTGTTTATTTTCTTTTTAAAAAGAATTTCTTTTGCATTTGAAAATTTTCTTTGAAAATTTAGTTTTTTTTCCCCCTTTTCTTTCAGAACAAGTAATTGGCGCTGCCGTTTGTAGTCGTATTTTTGTAAAATCCAACGATAAAAGTGAACTCGAATTTAGTCTTGTTTGGGATATGCCAAAAATTCATTTTCATTGTAAAATGCGTGAATATTTAAGGTGGGAAAAGTTTTACAAAAATTCTACTTTATATTTAAAAGAATATTTAAAATTTAATTTATTATTAAATTAAAAATTTATAATTGAATATAGATATTATACGAAATTCTTTTACGAGCCGGATAGATCGTCAGCACCTGAAATTGCTCGCTATGCTCTGTCGCATTATAAATTATGGGAAAGGGATATATTTCGTTGGCAACAAAGTGTTTTAGATGATGTTAATTTACCCGATTGGTATAAGTCTGCTTTATTTAATGAGCTCTATTATATTTCTGATGGCGGTACCATTTGGCTGAGAACTGATGAGAGTGATAATTTTGAATCAACAGATCCACGGTATATAATAGATTTTTCTCTTTCGATAGTATTGTTAGAATTTAAAATTCAATTTCAATTGTGTAATGGAAAAAATGTGATTCCTTTTTTTTACATAATTCAGAATTGAATATGGTCGTTTCGCTTATCTCGAGGGTCAGGAATATAGAATGTACAATACTTATGATGTGCATTTTTATGCTGCATTTGCTTTGGCTCAATTGTGGCCTAATCTACAAGCATGCATTCAATATGAATGTCGAGATAATGTTCATATGGAGGATCCTTCGGTATGGAATACATTATATGATGGAATAAGACAACCGAGAAAAAGAAAAGATACGGTTCCTCATGATATGGGAGATCCTGGTAAGGAAATTTTCAAATTTAAACAGTGGCTTAAATGTTTCCTTAAAAAAACAAAAGTTTTTTTTTTTGTTATCTCAACGTTAAGCTGGATAAATTTACAATTATTTTTGTTTTCGTTTTACAATATATAGATGAGGAACCATTTAAATTAATTAACGCATATAATATTCATGATGTGTCAGATTGGAAGGATTTAAATCCAAAATTTGTTTTGAGTTGCTTTAGAGATTACAGTTTGACAAAGAATTTTCAGCAACTTGTGGATTTTTGGCCGACAGTTAGAAATGTGAGATATAGAATTTAATAAGAATTTTATTATGAGATGAGAAATTTTTTATCATTTAGAAAATGGTTTAATAATAATTTACTAATTATTATTAATGGCTTTTGGCAGGTTGTTAATCATTGTTTGTTATGGGATACAGATAATGATGGATTAATTGAAAATGGTGGATTTCCTGATCAAACTTTTGACACTTGGGTGATGAAAGGTCCTAGGTATGAGGGATGGAAGGGGTTTATACATTTATCAATTATTTAAGTATATTAAAAAATTAATTCGTTAGCTATTCGTTTAAAAATTAATATAGTAGTTGATTCTTTATCTAGTGCTTATTGCGGAAGTTTATGGCTCGCTTCGCTTTATTGCGCCTCGAAAATGGCCATTCTTTTAGGGGAAGATGATGATGCGAAAAGGTATCAGGAAATATTAGAAAAGGGAAAAGCATCTTTTCAGGAGAAACTCTGGAATGGCAAGTCTCAAACTTTCTCAAGATATCTTTTCTACATACTTTTCTCTCTTACTTATTGCACTCTTTTCTTTCAATTGCTTTTTTTTGGTGTTTGTTGCACAAAATATATGTATAGTTTTATTTCGCACTGCTATTTTGCATTTTAAAAGTGGTTTTCTCTTTGTGTAAATTGGAAAAAATTTTATTTTTTGTTCTTTGTGTTTAGTATTTTTCTGATAGTCTGTAGTAATTGATTGGATTGTATTTTTTTCTCTTTAGGAAAATATTACAATTTTGACAGTAGTAAATCTGAACATAAAAAATGTATAATGAGTGATCAACTTTGTGGACACTGGTTTTTGAGAGCATCTGGTTTTAGGCATGAGGTTGGTTTTAATTTTCCGAGCCCTTGTTTTTCTCTTTTGAGTTTGAGGTTTTATTTTATTTAAATTGCAATATGATTGTAGGTTTTTCCTGAGGATAAAGTAAAATCGTCATTGGAAACGATTTTTAATAATAATGTTATGAAATTTAAAAATGGTGAACAAGGAGCAGTAAATGGATATGTTCCATCGATAGGAATAGATATGGTGACACCGCAAAGTGAGGAAATGTGGACAGGTGTTACGTATGGTCTTGCAGCTTTAATGATTCACGAAGTTCGTTTTAAATGATATTTCTTACTTGAAATTTTTTTTTAATTAATTGGAAAATTCGATTGAGTATTAAAATAATTATAATTATTTCAGGGAATGATTAGGGAGGGATTTAAAACAGCAGAAGGTGTTTATCGAACTGTTTATGAGAAAATTGGGATGGGTTTTGAAACACCGGAAGCTCTTTATGAGAATAAGTTATATAGATCGATAGGTTATATGAGACCATTGTCAATTTGGGCTATTCACCTTGCCTGGAATTCGAGAAAAAAAAAGTGATAATTTGTTGCCTTTGTCTAAACGTATATGTAATAAGAATATAGGTTGACAGGTAACGTTTATTAACACTTGATTAAATGTTGTACAATTAATATCTATTTCTCTATATGTTCGTTAACGATTTTAGTCTTATAACTTCAGTGTTCAGGTTCAATTTGTATAATATATTAACAACTGTGATTTTATTCAATTTTTTTTACGAGTAGGATGCATTAATGCAGTTTTTACATTTTTAAAATGTTTTTATTATGCATTTAATGAAATTGTATTTTTAATTCTCTTGGTACTTGGGTAACCTTGATTTATGAAGAGCCGGATACAAAATCTCGTCGTAAAATTCTGACTCATTTTTTATCTCTCTCTCTCTCTTTCTCTTTTCCTCTCTCTCGAAAAAAATAATAGTCGGAAAGCATTAATGTATCCTGCTATAGATCAAGATGTTTTAATAATTAAAAAAAAAGTGGTTTGAGTTATTTCTACCACTGATAGGCAATCAAAAAGAAAAAGTAGGTCTCAAGAAATAGACAATAAAATTGGACTAAAGACATCGAAATGTTGTTATATATTGTTCTTAACATAATAATTTTTACATTTAAATAAGTTTAACAATTTTTTAAGACAGTGTTTCTTATTGTTTTCTGATTAACATTTTTACTGTCTGTTTCTTATATTGTGTCATAAACATTATTTAAAAAAAAAAATAATAATAACGATAATGATAATACCAATAATATATTCATATTAATCAGTAACAAATATAACTTATTCTTATTATACAATATAGTAATGATATATTATACGTATACGTTTTTATAATAACTATTTACAAGTCATTTATTTAAAAATTTATTACAATTTTTTATGACAATCTTACAAATATCAAGAAAGCCTATCAGAGAAATATTGTCTTATTTTTACTGATAACTTATAATCTTATATTCATATATAGAGTTTGTATTTCTATTTAGAGTGAATTGTGATAAATACGAATAGAGTAAATCTTGAAGATAATACTCATCTTTTTATTAAGAACCTTTATCTTTAATCTTTCTTTTTATTTCACCCATATGCGGTTTTATATTGAAAATTTTTTTTTCTACTTTTAATCTCTGTCAAATTACAAGAGAAATATTTAACTAGAAAATCACTTCTTTTTTTTAAAAAAATAATTACTGACGGTATTTAAATCCATCAGACTTTCAACCCTTTAATTATTTTCTATTGGAAACTTTTTATTTTGCGTTTAAAACGATTGAAATTGTGAGCAATTTTCATTGCGGTTGCAAATTTTTTTTTTTAACCACAAATTGACCAAAATTGGAATCAGATATTCTTGACTTATTCAAGTATTTTTTTTCCCGTAAATTTTATCTATAAAAAAAAAATGTGAAAATAGTTTAATGTTAAAAAAATATATAGAATGAAGTTAAAGTCAAAAACAGTTGAAGGAACGTTTTATTGTTTGTTTTTTTGTTTGTTTGTTTTTTTAGAATAAACATTACGATAGTCAGAAAAATGTGGAACATGTGACACACATCAGAGGAGATTTTATGGCCCGATATTATCGTTGTTTCTGCTTCTGTACACGCAATTGATCGCGTTCAATTCATTCGACAATTTTACAATGCATACTCGCTGGTAATCTATTGTCATTTTCCGCCAATCACTTGTGGGGTGCACAAATCAGAGGTAGGATGCAAATATTCCGAATGAATGACGATTTCAAAAGAGCAATTTCTAGTGACGTGTACAACTCGTTAAAAGTGTTTTATTGCGTAATTGTATGATTTATGTTGAAATTACTTTTACACATAATGTATATGTGTATAATTATCATATATATATATATATATTTAGAAATTTCCAATAGGGAAAATGATTTTTTAAATTGCAATATTGGGAAAATTTTTGAAAATACTTTTAATTTCTTTTTGTCTTTAAAAATCTAAAATAAATTTTTTTACTTCACATAATAGTAAAAAATAGACGTAAGTGGGAGGGGAAATTAAATCGATTTCATGATGAGGAAAAAGGGTACAATTTAAAATTTGATAGTGTGAATTAAAATGCAAAGAGGGTCATTACATGGGTTGGCACCTTTAGAGAGATTTTTCAATCTTGTTTTAATTGTCTCATCTATTTTGCATTCTCATTGAAAATTCGTCATTTTTTTTTTGTTCCAAGAATTCTTTTAAATGACCGTTCTGATTTTTAGATGTTTTTTGTAAAATCATTTGGTAGTTGAAAATTTGTTTTCAATTTGTTAAATCTTTTTTAGCGCTGTAGGTTTATTATTTTTCTACTGGTGAAAAACAATAAATTATGAATGAACTAGGGATGAAAATTGTATTATGCATTTTGCGAACTGTAGGATATAATGTTTGTTTTAGCGAGACTGTATTTCCCTCATATTCTTTCATATATATATATATATAGTCAGTGTATTCTATGATGCATTATTCATTGGCAACCGTATTATCATTACATATTTCATTCATTCCACTAATATATAATATGCCCAGGAAATTCTGCAAGAATTAAGGATAAAATATCGACAGATGGATGCGATCGTTTTCTGCATCGTATTCCTCAATATGTTTTTTTTTTCCTTGAATTATAGGCAAAGCATTATAAATCAAAGTAGAAAAAATGTGCGACTCTGACGGAAACAGCTTGCAAGTTTTAGAGAGCGAGCAGTTTCCGCATTTCAGAATAGCTATTATTTTAAGGTGGAATTTTGTTTCATTACAGGCGGGGAATGTATATGGTTTTTTTTTTTTTGTATAAAGAAAGAGTTGTAATTTTAGAAAGCTCTCCATGTAAATTATTACAACAAATGTAAAATGCGAGGTGAAGTGAATTTAAATTATTTCATTTAATTTTACTTGTCCGATTTTTTTTACATAAAATAATTTAAATTTAAATTTAAAAAAAGTAACTGTCTGAAAATGAAGTTACAGACTGGAAATTTTTAAATGAAATGAAAATTCTTTTTTTCCGTATCATTTTATATCATGGTGTTTATTTTTCATAATTTTGAGGTAACAATAAGTTTTTCTACTCGCGCACAATTATATGAAGTTATAGTAAAGTTGCATGAAAACTTTTTCAATAACCAATCTCTTCTTTTTCTCATAATGATTAGGGATTTTGTTGCCAATCTTGGGAAATAAATGTCACGATGGAGTTTTGATTCGCATCGTGGTTTCTCTCTGTGCCTCTATATATATATACTTAACAATTTAAACGGTTTTAGAAGGTTTAAAAGTTCTCTATTTACTTCCGTCTGCTATAGCTCCGATATACCTGTTCGGCAAAGGGATTCTGGAAATGTTTGTAGAGAGTTTGAAAATGTCATTTCTAACGTCTTTACAGTCGGTGCACGATTTCCAATAACTGTAAGCTTATAGTATGGTATACATGTATATATATAGATGGGTTTAGGATCTCGGGTCCGATTTGAGCGTCGGACAAAATTAATGTTCCAAACTGGACCAATTCAAGTTAAATGAGCGTTTTTCTTTAGATTTGCAAATTATTGGAGGTTGATTGGAATTTCCAGAGTCGATAAATAAAATAGTGTTTCAAAAAAAAAAAAAAAAAAAATTGTGAGGTATTCGTTTTTATGGCTTTTTAAGTGACTCCATTCCCGCGCGCGAAGTGAAACGCAGGCAACCAGTTGGAACGAGCTTTCGCCTTGTGAACGAGGCAGAAAATAAAGTGTATCGATCGACCAATCGGGATGGTATATATTGGACGGGGGAGGATGATATAAAAAGCGCGCGGACATCTCTGGAGAATAAATGGAAAAATGTTGGGATGAATCAGACTAACATTGAATGCAACGCAAAACGACCCAAGATCACGTGTGGAAAGACTTCTTTTTTATGCTTTTGGGTTAGAGAGGAGCGATCACGGATTTTATGAGCGACGACCCCAACGTCGTCATCATTGCTAAAGAAAAGACTGGAAAGATGGTTTGATCGAGAAAAAAAAACCTTGAGTATTATATGCCGCGTTGCGTTTATTGGAAAAAGATCTTTTATAAGGGCGGGAGAAAAAAAAAATTTCATTCAGTTACGAGGGAACGTAATTAAATAGTTAAAAATTTATAGAAACGGTTTTGAAGTAATGCTGAGTTAGAATTTTTTTTTCCCCATACATATTTTCTCTTCGAGTTTCTTTTGTTTTGAAATTTTTTGATTCTCTTGATTAAAGAAGACAATATTGAAGTATATATATATATTTCACAATTTTGTCAAAATCTTGTTTTATATAAGGGTTAATAAAATTTTCCAAGATCTACTTTCATAGGTCAATATCACGTTCAAATTGTGAAAGGTCCAGGTTCATTCGCACTCTTTTTTTTCTCTCTCTCTCTCTCTCTCATCTGATATTGTAGGTAGGAAAGTGGAGCAAAAATTCGTCCCATTGAGAGATGAAATATCGAGCACTATAAAACGTGTGCAGTTCCAAGCCATTGAAACTCTAACAAAGAATTCTCTAATCTGCACTATATGGTTGCAAAAGTGGACTCGTGAATTTCAAAACATTGCCCAATAAAAAAAAAAAAAAGAAAAAAAATCCTCTCTTCAGGTCAGCAAAAACGTATACCCATAACGTTTTAAATCAACAATGCAACTTCATACAATTTTCAGCCTCTTTTTTATATATACTTGCCGCATGTAAAATAATTGTCTATTTGAAATAAAAGCGAGATTCTTTTTCTTTTGCAAGCCCTCGGGAAAAGAGTTTTTTTTTTTACTTTCTTTTAACGCACATTAAAATTTAAGAATAAAGTAACAGTGTCAGAAGTATAAAACTCTTTAAAAATTTAAAAAAAAGCCCCCGCAGTTTGTTGTCTTTTTTATATATATAGATGCGAGTGGAAATTTTCATTTTTCATCAAGCATATATGAATATGTTAAAACATATTTTCCCTTGTCACAGAGAGTCATTAAAAAATATTAAATATTCTATATATTGGATTTTTTTTTTTTTTAAAGAAATATTTTATGTTTCTTTTCTCAAGTTATCGATGATATTTTTCTTTAACGAGAAACATATAGGTATATATAAGGGGGAAAAATAAGTTTACTTTTTCCTTTTTTTGATAGATTTCCTTTTTATCCTTGATGTGTACTTTATGATCGATTATTTGCTATCACGTTGACTCACACAAGTAATGAATTAAAGCTATCGATCATATATAGACGTGGTTAGTTGTTTTTCTTCTAACCAATAGAGAGTGATATGGCACTTTATCCAGGAAAGTAAATTATGTTATAAAAAGGACGTTAATAGTGTTTAACGGTGACATTGATGCTAATTCATTTCCAAAAGACTGGTTTCATTTTTCTATTGGAAAAATTGAATAGACGCTATTATCATAATTGACTACTTATATATATATATTAAATACTATTATTACAATAGTTAATTCGAAATAATATTTATTTAATCAAATCAATTAAAATTATTTTTTAATTATGATTATTTTTATATATTAATTATTAAATAATTATTTGGTATAAAAAATAGTTTATATTATTATTTCTGTTAAAATATGATTTAAAATCATTTTGAATTAAAAATGGGAATATGGTTTCGAGGTTTTTTTTCTTTCTTTTTTTTTTCCTAAAGACTGTAGGTTAAATTTCCTTTATAGAGTGAAATCAAACTTCACCACATTTTTCAACAAGAAATCTTTAAGAAAATACCTATTTTCACAATCGATTCGAACTTCCTTGTTCCTTGTCCGATTTTCATCTCGTCTGCGGAAATCGGAAACCACAGACTTTGGTCTTCTTCCATTGCTTTAGCGGAAATCGTAACACGCTCCATTAAATCTATTGATCTCAAGGGATTTTCTTAAAGGGGTGATTCTTCTACCGTTTGCCCTCTTTCATGATTGATTTGCCATTTTTCTTCACCCTTTTCTTCAACATTTATTTTTTCTCCTTCAAAATTCAACTCCAGAATTTTTTTTTGTGCCTAGAAAAATCTGCTTCATTTTATTTTTATATTACATTTTCAGTGTTTTTTTCTTCTCTCTTCTTTTTTTTTTTTTTAGAGTTTTTCTTGTAAACTAAAAATCTTGAAAGGCTCGCCCTTCTTTAAAATAAAGTTAAAAATTTATAAGTTCTATAAAAAAAAAGTTTATAAAAGTTATTTTGACAGGAAAAGTTTTTTTTTTTCAAAGAAAAAAATCAAGTTTGGTTCAGTTAGCAGTATTTATAAAAGTGATGAAAGTTTTCTCTTTTTTTTGGAATAAATTTGTTTAAATGAACATAATGTTTTAGAATCATATATTCCTTGGGCAATGATAATAAAATTTTTTTACATAATATATGGAATAAAATAGCAGTTTTCTTTGGCGCAAAAATGGAAATCAGATGATTTTATTAGAGCAATTTTGTAAATGCTCGATTTGCCACGTCGTTCAATATTCCTCTAGCGAAATTCAGGTGATTATGTGCATAGGACGTCCTCTCGTGAGTGTAATCTCACTACAGTTGTCAGACACCATTTCAGAATTGGTAAATTCATGTACAATTGTGATGCGATGCACAATCGTATATGCGAATAATATATATATTTATTCCAAATTTCATTTATTTTGATTAATGAAAATTTGTAATTTATTACATTTACAAGTAATATTGTTTTCTTTTTAAATTTATAGTTGTTTGATCTAATAATAAATTTTAGTTTTTAGTTAATTATTTTTTAATTAAGGTTCAAATTATTTGAATTTTTTATTTCTCTTTTATTTATTTTATTTTTATCTTTATAAGATTTGATTCAAATTATTTTAAATAATTGATTACTTGACTATTAAATAAATATTTACTTGAACTAAATAATTTTTTATTTCAATTAAATGAATTGTATTTGAATCAATAATTTTTGTATTTGAAACAACTGCAATTTAATTGACTCAAAATAATAATTAAATGAATATTTAATTTGATAATAGTTAAGTAACCGATTATATTTGAATTAAATTTTTTTTTCAGTGTGTTATTAAATTTATTATATAAAAATTGTATTTTTATTTAAAATTAGGGAAGATGTATTTGAAAATTCTATTATAATTTTAATTTTGCGGGACGTTAATTTGAATAAAAGAGAGTGCCATGATGTACCCTTTTCTTCTTCTGAAATAGGATTTAGCGCAAGTTCATCAGGGTTGATTGAGACTTCAGACTTTCAGTTCGTCTCGGGAATTAAACAGACTTGCTTGGCACGTGACTCGCATCTTTGAATTCAAAAGCATATGTCTTTCTGGTAGGATAACTGAGTATATTTTCTTCCTAGCTTGATTTCATATTGAAGAGCAAGAGATAGAGATAGAGAGAGAGAGAGAGAGAGAGAGAGAGAGAGAGAGATTCCTACATTAATGTTGCGACGTGTCTCTTCAAAATCTAGGAAATTCGGGAAAGACGTTCCACACTCCACTTGTGGAATGTGAATCTTCTCTATTCACCAAGTTGTATAATTATAAGCAATGAAGAGCTATTAAATACAATTAATTACAATAGAGGACAATTTTGATTTTTGTAAAAAAAAAATTAATATCTACAAAATTCAGAAACACCTTTCAAAGTATGCACGCGTTTGTTATAGCAATCGATTTATTTTCATTGTTTGGAATTTTCTCTCTCGAGGTTGGCGGAATGAAAAACAAAAAAAAAAAAAAAAAGCAATGGAATAACGTGGGGATCGTAAACTCTTTTTTTATCAGTGAATTGCAGGTCAGTCGACATGTGTCAGAAAGTAGGTCGAGTCCCAGAAGGTGTCTAATCTATATAAACTCTCAGGGAGAGAGAGAGAGAGAGAGATTTCCATTTGTTCAGAATATGAATGGACGGGAATTTGATAGGAGCTGATCGATGATGACAGAGCGATTGACTATGTGGTTTGAGTATCATTTACCAATATATATATATATATATATATACGAATATATAAACCCTCCCTCAAACCCTGTACACTTTGTGCTTTAAAATCTCTTAAAATTTGAATAGTTTTATGTACATTGACATCTTGACATAGAATTATTTCATGTCTTTTTTTGAAAAATTACATCTTTAATCTCTCGCCATTCTATCATTTATACTGAAAAAATATCATAAATTTTTTTTATTCCAAAGAGATGAATTTTAAAACAAAAGAATCTTTATGAATTTATCCTCCTTTGGTGGATTCAATTTAATTTTCACGTTTTTCATATTTTTGACTATTTTTTAATTAATTGATATATGACTGAAATTTATCTATATTCGAATTTATTTTTTTCTCGAAATTCTTGTATGCCTGAATTTTCATTTTCCTGCAAAATTTCATGGATTTTCATTTGTCCAAACAATAATTATATCCGCGTCACAAGAATTTATTAGCGATATTCTTTATAGGGCAATCATAATATATTTTTTGGATAATTTGTGATTTCGAATTGAAGTAATGAGCACAAAATTTTTATTTAAAGTTTTAATCAAAAGAAAATACAATTAGTAATAAATAAATTAATAATTGATTGTTTTACATACATTGAAATAATTTTCAGTCATTTATGGAATATATATTAGTAAATTGTTGAAGATTACATATAAACATTGATTTAATTAAAATAATTATCTTGTAAAATTATTATAGAATGTAATTGAAATTCTAATTAATTGTTTAATAATTCCATTGTGAAAATTGAAATACTAAAGCAATCCTCCGATTATGTATTTAACGTTAAATATTCATGATATTTATTTTAAACAATTGAATATAATTATTGTCTGAAAATTATTTCACATTTCATGTATTTACAAATTTAAATACAGTATATATGTATTTTGATTGTAAACTTTAATCACTTTTCTAATTATTGTTTGCTGTCTGAGAGAGGGAACTCATCATTTTCATTGGTTTATGATTCTTTTATTATTTGGAGAAAAATATTATCAGTCAATTTTGGTGATTCATTTTTTATAGTCTTCTTAAATATTGGCATAGTTGTTTATTAAAAAATTTTGCAGGCTTTTGAAATCTAAATAAATTTTTTCCATTTCGTAAAAATTTTTATTGAATCATCGATCAGTTACTTTTAATTGAAGTGGAGATCCCAGTGTGTTTATAAATCGACTTCTTATTTGCATTGGTTCATGATTCCAATCCATTTGGAAATTTCGTATCATCTGTAAATTGGAGTCATTTATTAATAAGATGAATTTTTTTTTTCTCTTTAACGATGAAAATAAATTAATATGTCTTTTTAATATTTATACCTTCATTACAAGTGTTGTCATTTCAAGTTCGGCAAATCGTCTACCAATGCAGGTTCGTGGTCCAAAGCCAAAGGGCATATAGGCAAATGGATGTGCATTTGCGGATGAAAGTGGTCCAGTATTGCTTCTCAACCATCGTTCAGGTATAAATTCTTCTTCTTTGGGAAAATGTTCTGGCTTTCGAGATATAATTGAGTGTGCACCTATAACGTGTACATCTTTAGGTATTTTATAACCTCCAATTATCACATCATTTACCATAGTTCTCAAATTGCCAAATGCAATTGGTGAAAGTCGTAAACTTTCTTTGATACAAGCCTTAAGGTATGGTACTTGATTTAATGAATCATATGTAACGGGAGAATCTTTTTTTGTCAATATTGGATCTATCTCAGTTTGTAATTTTTTTTGTACTTCAGGATATCGGGAAATAAAATAAAGTATCCAACCTGTTGAATTTGATGTCTGAAAATAGAAATATAGAATTGTGATAAAATTACGATGTAAAATTTTTGGAAAGTTATTATATAAATATGGTAATTAAAGTAACGGACTGTGTCAATTCCAGCAACAAGCATATCCATTGCCATAACTTTTGCCGTTTGTTCATCAATTTTAAGGAGTCGTTGTAGCATACTTTCATCATGTTCATTTGTATGTTCGTTTAATCTGTCTTTTGCTTTATTGATATATTTGGCTGATATTCTAAAACAAAAGGGTATTTTATAAATTTAATTTAATTATTCATTTTTTTGATACACACCCATAAAGTACATCTAAAACTTGGAAAAATTGTTTAAGCTTTCTTGTATTGTAGAATTTCCATAGTGATGGTAGGACTTCCAATTCAAACATGAGATCAAACATATCGTGAACCGCATTGATCATTTGTTGTGGTTCAGACTGTGGATCTAAATTACTTTCCAAACTTCCCATTCGGTGGTCCAACGCAATAGCACAAATTGCTGTAGATGTTAAATTGACATTAACCAGTATGTAGTTAATTTTCAGTAAATGGTAATTGCTTTATGTTAGTAAAATTTATCATCTAATGTTATTTTAGAGTAACGATATATACTTATCTATATTCAAGAATTAGTTAAATACTTTTAGTTTACAAAGTTAAAAATGATTTTTATGCTTGAGAGAATAATGACTTACATTCTAGGGACCATTTATTCATTTCATTATTAAAAGTCGGAGGTAGCTCCAACGTTTGAGGATCTCGAAGTTGTCTTATCCTTTTAATGAAATCGTTAGAAACTTGGTCGATTTGAGACACATGTGGCTTAATTGTTCGAGGTTGCATCATGGGTTGATTAACTTTTGAACGAAAATCATACCACTCTTCGCCCTGACTGTAAAATTTTATTGTTTATTTAATTTTCCAAGTATACATTTAAAATTAAATTGAATTCAGCAAAAAAGGAAAATATTATTTTATGACAGAAAAACAATTAAAATAAGATTTTCTCTTTACTGGTGATAGGAGAAACAAAATTTTCGAATTTTATAAACCTTGTGGCTAAACCGAGTTTTTCAAAAATGTGTTTATTGCTTCTTCTATAATAATTTAAAGCTTCCATTGATTCTCTTTTTGGTTGTCGAGTTTCCAAACGATACATTCTTTCACAATATTCGGGTTTAAATAAAATAACCATTGGTTTTCGAAAAAGTAAACCTTCGAGTTTAACAACATCTCCATAGTTTTTATGAAGTGAAACCATTTGCTCGATAAGTGGAACATTATGAAATTCACCTAGATTTTAAAAGTACTTTAAAATACATATATTGAATTTTATTTAAAAAATAATTTTGAAAAATTTTAACTCACCAACGTATGGTAAATATCTGAAAATATTCCCTATTAAAGGTAATGGTTTCGGTCCTGGTATATCATCGAATGATTGAACTATTTGATTTTTATTATCTATTTCCTCAGGATTTATTGCTTTTGATTTAGTTAGAACGGAATGATTTCTCACTCCTGTGCTGGACCATTGTGTTAGATTCTTGAGGGCTCTTCGACAATGCATTTTTATTGTTGAAGAATGTTAGGTAAAATTTAATATATATATATATATATATATATATATAATAACTAATTATATTTTCATAGTTGTTTGTAAATTTGTCTTTTTCGAGTTCTGAATTTCTGTAAAATACAATTGATTCATTAATTCGTTTTTCTTGGGTATTTTTTTTGATAAATAAAGCCGTCAGTTAAAAAAAAAAATAAAAAGTATCTTCGATTCTATTTCATTTGGTAAATAAAGTAGAAAATAGTGAATGAAATTTACGCGCACTATTGGTACAGAAGCACTCGTTTGGCCTTGTCGTAGTAAATGAACTTTAATTCATCTGGAGCATTAAGTCATTTTATAGCCTTGTATGTACTTCCTGGTTTTTGTTTTTTCATAGGATAACAAATTTTATTTTTTTTAAATGTCTCTCAAGTTGTATAGGTGTATTCAAATTATTGTCAAAGAATTCAAAAATTGAGAATAATTTTATTTCAGTTAATTGTTGTTAATTTTTCTTTCTATTAAAATTTTTTTTCATAAAAATATTGAAATTGAAAAATTATTTAGTAACTACGTCTAATTTTTTTTATATCTATTAAAATTGAAAGTCATTATAATGATTTTTACATATTTTGCAAACACGTGGAAAACTGGTTATTGAAAATATAAATCTTGTTAGATAATTCTTAATTTTTTATATTTTTCATATAATTTTTTTTTTGGAAATTTGATTGAATATTTAATATAACTAAATTGTTGAAATTATATTTGCATAAAAAAACTTGTTAAAAATATAATTTTGTGTTTGAATTTAAAAAATAATTTTTAATTATTATTGTTATAATATTTGAAAATAATTATTGTAAAAAGAAATTTTTCTATATAATCAAAATTAATTCTCATGTTCTGGTATTTACCCTTAATTTTGAATATTGATTTCCAATCAATATGCCTTGTACATAGGTATTCCTTGGAGAGAATTTACTGCATATCTGCTATTGGGATCATTATTAATCAACAATCATTGTTATATTCGATGTATTGAACTATCACTGCAAATTGATTTCTGAATTTACTTTCACAATATTAGTTTAATATATAGTTGAAAGTCAATCGTTCTAACAATACTGCTCGAGCTTTGTGAAATCTTTTTCCCTGCGAACATTGCTTTTAGTGTTCAATTGCTTTATTGCACGCGTACTGAGTACTATATATGTTTATAACTATTGCTCATGACAAGATTAATCACAAGTGTTAGAACCTGTTTTTCTCTCCCAATATAATTAAAACCAAATACATGTGTCAAATGCGGAAGCATTGCAAAAATTCTTAGAATTTTTTTTTTTTATTTAATTAGCAATGTTTACCACTATTGAAATAAATTAATTAGATATATTTTTTTTTAAATCTTAAAATTATATTGTTATCTGTTAGTTTTTCCAAAAGTAATTATTTATGATTTTTATTAGATAATCATGTAAGAGTAAATGTTATCTAAGGTCATTATTGTTAAGCAGTAAATTTAGTTCAAGTTTACTAAACTCGAAAATTAAGTTTCACTGATATTTCCACTGAGACTCTTTCATCATTGTTGGAAAGTTTTATATGCGCAAAAGTCCTATAAAAATTTTCTCATACTTTTATTATTCTCGTTATCGTTCTCTGAGGGTGAATTGAATGAAAGTTACAAAATTATTATTTATAATAATTACGTTACAATAATAATATAGTCAATAATTAAGTGTTTATTGTAATTAAGTGCTATTATAATTACAATATATGCGTTCTAATAATAATATTACATGGCGTATAATTATATTATTAAATCATCAATTTCATTTATTATGAATGAAATTAATTTAAATTCAAAGTAATATTATTAATGACTTTTTACATAATGTTTCGGAATTACTAAAATTGATAAATATAGTACAATTTCGATAATTTGTAGTAGTAGTAAAAAAAAAAATGAATCATGAGAATGGAACATGACTTTGCATAAAAGTACATTTTTTTAAAAATTGGATTATCAGACTTCTTTCACTTCCCACTTAATAACGATTATCATAATTACTATATTATATTCGCATATATCTGAAAATATTTTTTTCTTTTTAAATGGCCTCTCTCAATTGAGTATCATATTTTTTTTTTCCTCAAAAGTAATTTTGGGGGATTTTATATAATCGTATATACATACATATTTCGCTTGTTAGACCATGAATTATAATGAACTCGATAATTACACGCAGACCAGTGTTTTACACACATACCTCTTGTTTTTGCCCATTATCAGCATGATCAATGTATCTTTTTACGAGAGTTTAACCGGAGAGGATATGCTTGCGAATGAATATAAATGCCAGAGTGTGCTTTATTCGCTTGCGAAAGTACTGTAGATTTTTTTCACGCGGTTCTTTAAATGCAATTGTGCTTTAGAATGCAAGGGTATAATGTTCTCGTTTTCCTCTTTTTTTTCTCTCTCTCTCTTCTTCGTTAAAAAAAAGAGATCTTAATAACGACTCTCTCACTCTTTTGTTGTTAAAAGTATACTCGTAAACATGAAAAGTTATTATTCATTAGATTCTTTAGTGAATTTGTGTCCTTGTTTTTGGCCACAAACAGAATATGACAAACTTTTAATTTAAAAAGTCTGTCTCTTTTTTGTATAGAGAATTTTTTTTAGAAATCTCTTTTAACAAAATAAATAAAAATGCAATTTTTAGAAAAAAAAATAATACAAAATTTTCGTAGATGAAAATATTTTGTTTTTGGATATAGTTTTGTTCGATTATATAATCAAACGTCATCATATATTGGCAAATAGATAGCGTCGATGTATTCGGGGTTGAATTTTCATATTTTGGTGGTTGGTTTGAACCGGATGTGAACATCTAGCTGAAGCGGTTGAGTAGCCATGTGCGTGCTAGCAACACTTATGATCGCATCCGGTAACGGATATCCGCACCCTGCTGAATAGTGCATTGATTGACCGCCATATTGATTGGTATCAGTGTGCTTTGAACTATATGCGCCATTTACGTTCCTCTTGAAATGTTCTAACCACTCATCTAATGTCTAAAGGGATTATTCTGCTTTCATTGTTCCTTTAATAATCTTAGATTTTCATCATCAGAATATTTCATTTTGAAGAAAATTTGGTTAAAATAATTTTGTTTTTATTAAAATCTTTATATTAAATAATAAAAATTTGTTTTCTTTGTTAAAAAATTAAAGTTAATTTTTCCTTAAAAAAGCTTTCTTAAGTTTATTAGTAATTTATGAGGTTTTATGAGATAAGATTTCAGACGCTTTTACGAAGGAAATTCTCTTAATATAATAAGTGATCACGTTTCGGAGAAGATTGAAGTCTGTAGGTTGATCGAAGGTCTCTAAAGTGGCTCTCCCCTGTAAGTGGTCTTCTCTCAATTCCTCTGATGCCATAGTAAATGGGTACAATGGGTCCTAACTATCCAGGAATTCTGAATAGATTTTCGATGTAATAACAACGTGACATGTGAAGAGGATTATCTAAAGTTTTACCCCCCTTTTTTTTTGTTTTACGCATTTATCCACTAAAATTTAAATAAAAGTGCGAACATAATTTTTATTAATGCTGTAATATTTCGAGCAAGGTCATATGGAATGACGCTTCTCATTGTATATGTGATGAACTCATTGTCTATGGATTCATTGTTCATTCAAATCCATAAGTAGAAAAGTGGTTTTTATGCAATCATGAGGCTTGAATCTTTCAAGACGTTTTAGAATTTCTTTCGAAATATCTTGCACACGATTGATCTTTCTTAAAAATAATTTCTTTATATAAAGATGATGTGTATATATATATCGAGAATGGAATATATCAATATTTTGTCAGATGCCGATTGTTCGAGTAAACGCAAGGGTGTTCTATTATGTAAATGGATTGCTTTATAGTGCATCGTGGACGATCTGTCGAAAATGTCGATGACCAAGTGTGATGCCCACTCTCTGAGGATTGTTATTCATAATTAAATTAGTATAATTGTATTGCTTCCTAGAAATTATTATTTATTCATCAATTTCCTCAGTTTATAAATGATATTACTAAGAGCATTTTTCAATATTGCTTTTCAAAAAGAGAATAATTCCCCCCAAAAAAAGTGAAAATCACATCCTGGAGTATGTAGAATTTTATTTCCTCTATATAGGAAGGATAATCTTGAATAATTGTTTGCAATTATAAAATATTCAATACATATCGAATGAAATACTTTTTTCGAATTTGCAAAAAAATTTCACGACTGTTGAAAAAAATATTTCTTTATTTAATTTAAATAAATATTTTATTAATAACAATTGAAACAGAAAATAGAATAATTAGATTTACATAGTTTTAGAGCAAAATTATTATTACAATTCCTAGAAGTTGTCGATATGAGCTTTATAGTTGAATAGAGACATCATATAGGTTGTGTCATCACGCGATCAACTCAAAAGTTTTGCATTTTAGTAGCAATCTTGACCTATGTATCTATATGTTAATGCGGTCCACACACAATGTAAGCTCAAATGCTAATAAGTTAACGTACGTGTAAGCAAGCACGTTTTGCATGCTCACTTTATCGGTATACCAATTCTAAAATTACATATACTTATTTCTAAGAGAAATATCCACAAGCAATTCGTTTTATAAACTTTTCAGTATTTTTTTCATGTTATACAAAAACATATTATGTGCATGAGAAAATATAAAGTTTACTTTACTTTCATGTTTATAACGCAGGAAATATAAAAAAAAAAAATTGTAAATTTCCCTTTGAAATTAGAATTCCCAAATCAATAATGTCCTTTTTTTCCAAATAATGAGAAATTATTTATTGTTAAAAAAAAATAATAGTGGATTTTTTTTTAAATCTACTCAAATGATCAATAGCTTGGATAAACGTAATCTGACGTATACTTATATATATGATACACGCCTTTTGAAAATGAGCTTCATTTTTTAAAGTATAACATAATACAAAAATTAAGTAAACGAAGTGAGATAACCTATAAATTGTGGCAAAAGAAAATCCACTTTAGTCACGAAAAATTCACTGTGATAAATTTCTACATCATATAATAGGCTAATAAAAAAGTTTAAGTTTGTTTCCCTTGATTTATGTGAAAATTTCAGTTTTATTTTTTTTAGATTACATTTTTGTTCAAAGAAAGAGAAAAAAAAGGAATTTTTTTTTCTAAATTGGCCTTAAGAAGTCTGTGCATAAAAAAAAACTATTCCGTTTATGCAATTCCCATTAGCCTATATGTTATTATAACCAAAGAAGGTTTGATTGATTAAGTATATACATTTACATTTTTGTGTTGGTGAGTCAATCGCGAGGACGATAGAAAGGATTGTTAATTCTTATGCTAATGAAATGAACGAGCGGGTTAATTTTATTCTATATATTGTGATGTGTCGGTACTTCATAGGGTAATTAAGTATTTGTATATATATATATATATATATATATATATATATATATATATATATATATATATATATATATATATATATATATATATATATATATATATATATATATATATATATTTTACAATACTCTAATTAATGAAAGTTTATTAGATAATAATTAATTAAGAAAAAATTGTTTAATTGAAATTATGAGAAAGGAAAAAAATATTGGCACCTTAAGCCGAAAAAAATATTTTAAACATTAAGAAGATTTCTACATCGATCAAATTAGGCACTGTTTCAAGATCATATGTGTGCGATCCTTTTTGGGATGAAAGTAACAGCCTTGGAGGGGGTGGTGATGATTCTCGGTTGTGGTCATCCCAGACAGAGACCTGATTGTTACATTTTTGTTATTATTGCGCAAATCTATTTTATGCGGAAAGAGAATTTTTATTATTGGTGGGGTTAATATTTTCGGTATAAAAGTTATCGTCGTTTCGATCATCAGCATCATATCTTCATCAACTCTTTTCTGATCAACATGAAGGTAAGTATATTTATAAATAATTTTTATATATTTGAAATTTTTTTTCTTTTTTAAATTATTAAAATTTTTTTTGTTTGTTTATGAAATATTTGGTAATTAATTGAAATTAATTTTTAGCTCTTCATTGTACTTTGCCTTGTGGCAGGTAGTCTTGCAAGTTTGGAACCAGCGAATTATCAACCTCCTGCAACTCGTTACCATCCTGCTAACAGGCAAAGTAGTGGAAGTTCTGATTCGTTGAATGATTATCGTGCATTGCCTTCTCAGCAAAATCCTGACACTCGCTATCTTCCACCCTTCAATTCTCGGCAGGATAATTTGATTCAAGCAGCTGACAGAGAATACTTACCTCCTGTTAACGATCGTACCACTTCTGTTCACTATAAACCACGTTCGTCATCCTTTTCTACTTATACGACTTCGTTTTCTTCTCCAAAGAATTCTTTCTCATCTCCTTCTTCTTCTTCTTCTTCTTCTTCTTCTTCTTCTTCTTCTTCTCCTTCTTCTTCTTCTTCTTCTAATTTTTATCAACCTGAATTTTTAAATTCTTATTCCACTTTCTCTTCTACAGATTCGAAAATTTTGAATTCTTATCAATCTCTTCCTTTATCTTCCTCGCCTTCTTCTTCTTATTCTTCTCCGGCAACATCTTATACTCCTTCTGCAACATCTTATTCTTCACCATCTTCTTCTTTCTCCTCTTCAGGATCTTATACTCCATCTCAATATTCCACTCCAGAATCTTCAAAAATTTACTCTTCATCTCATTCTAGATCATCATATTCTGTTCCTTCAAGTTCCATAAACTTTCCATCCTCATCCTATGGAGTTCCTTCAATAGAATTAAACAAAATGGCCACGGAAACTCCGTATCTTTCAACTGCTAAGGGCTATTCGAATGGAGATGATTATCAAACTCTTGAAGAATCGGTGAGTTTTCCATCCATTGTATCATCCATTTAGTTAAAATCTTTCTATTATTTTCTATATATATATATATATATATATAGTTTGTGCTTTTATTCATTTCTTCGTTGAAATTTATAACCGGCTTTTCCAAACAAATATTATCTGATATTTTCTCATTGAAAATTTTACTTGAATTTCATATATAGCTCTATATTTTAAAGACCAACTGTCCTTTGTCTTAATTTAATTAACTTGCCTTCAAAGTTATATATACTCCTCTATCTACTCTGAAACGGTAAATAAAGGGATCAACTCTCTGCGCAGTTTCTTATTAATGCAAAAACAAAAGCCAATTCATTTGATCTTTATTATATATAAGACTTCTTGTCGTCGTTGAAATTGTAATATTTAATTATAAAAGGCTGCTTCGTCAAAAAAGGGATTTAAAAAAAATTCAAAAGAAAAAAGAGTGGAAAACTTTATGTTTTAATTTTAGAAGAGTTTTTTTTTAATAACTGTTTTTATTTTTCAACGAAAAGAAATGAAATGAAGAAAAATGTTTTGTTTTGTATTTTAGGAACCGATAAATTACAACTTTGAGTATCAAGTAAATGACCACTATGGAAACGAATTCAGCCACAAAGAGGACCACCAAGATGAGAAGTCGTATGGAGTTTATAGTGTACTCTTGCCTGATGGTCGCAAACAGATCGTTCAATATGAAGCTGGACCAGAGGGTTTCAAACCAAAAATCTTCTACGAAGAGATTGGAGATAGATTCAAGAATACCAGAGACAATGAAAATGGACCCTACTAGAGATACAAAAATACCATAAAAACATTGTCATTAATTTATTTTTATTTTGTATCTTTTTTGATTAAAAAAAAAACAAACAAATATCAGAGAAAATCTGTTTTCTTTTTACCTATGTGCATCTCATTTGTATTTTTAATACATGAAAAACATGCATAACAAAATATTTCTTTATTCCGGTGGAAAAAAAAATAAGAAAATGGTTTTACGAGGTTGCAATCTTTTATGCTTCAAGCTGAAGTATTTCTTCATAAGTTAAGAGTTTATGGGTATATCTTTTAGTGAGCATTCTTTTCTTATTAGAAAAAGAATTTTTTTTTTCTTGTCTTAAAGAAAAGGGGCATTTTAATATAACTGAAAAAGATTTTATTAATTATTTATAAATTTACATCTTTATGCGAAAAATATATGACAAAATATAGAGTTTTTTAATTTGTATTTAATGAGAAAAGGGAAGAGAAAATAATAAGTTTAATTTCTTTTATTACGAATACAGAGAGAAATATAAATATGTAATTAATTTCATATGTTCTTAAATGAAATAATATCTCGAATAATATAAACTGAGTGTTTCACGCATAACAATCATTGCTTAAATATTCTCTTGAGTTATAAAATTCATGTATGTATTTCAGTAATTTCGTAAAATGATATACTCTGATAAAATACATATGAATTAATTTTGCTGTTCTTTATCAATAGATACTTAAAATTGTTCTCACTTTTAATATAAGCATTAAATTGTAGTTTAAAATTTTTTAATTTTTTTAGTTAAAAATAATTAATTTTTAACTAATTAATAGTTAAATTCCCCTTTACGATACGTCAAAATAATAAAAATTTTACCGGTAATTATTTCATTTAATGAAAAAAATTAACAGTTGCAAAATTACAAAAAATTTACACTAATTAAACATTATTAAATATATAATTTAAAAACTTTGTTCGTGACTTAAAATTGAAATAGATATTTTCTTCTGTAGGGAGAAAGAGTCTTTGAAAATATATAAATGTAAGATGCACAATTTTATAAAACTTTTGTTCTCATTTGAAAAGAGAATTTTTAATTACAATAAAATTAAAAAAAGTAACTCTTCAAAAACATAAAATGTTTTCAACTTTGTTTTAAAGTTGAGTAGCTTTATTATTGAAGAGTTAGCTTTGGCAATTAAAAAAAAAGAGAAAACTTTTCAATCATTACCTTCCACGTAACTGAACGAATTCTTTTAAAATTCAAAATTAAAAGTTTTATTAAAAGTTAAATTAAGGTTAAAATTTTAAGAATATGTTCTTACTAGACTGGAAAGAATTAGTTTTATTTAAATAATTGATTAATAATAACAACTTTTAAAAAGTATATTATTTATTTTTATACATTTTTAATAGTAATTATTATTGTAGTTGATTCATGTACAAAAGTTCTTTAAAATAAATATTTATTAGATAAATCAATTATTTGAATAAAATTTCTTTTTAACCTCTCGCAAATAGTATATATATATTCTACCAAAAATATGAATTTTTTTCCCCCATTTTTCCCACTGGTTTATTATGTTGTTGACTTTCTTTTTCGTAATCCGTTCAAATCGAGGTTTTGCATCTCTCAAGAAATTTTAATTCCTGCTAACGAGCAGTATATCCGTACATCTCCGGAACGAGGTTGCTAACTCCCATAATATGAATCATGTGAATTTGAGAATATTGCACAAGCATCTTATATATGAAAAGTAATAATAAATATATATTTTTGAAGAAAATTTTTTGGAGCAATAAAAATTGTTCTACATTATATATTCAGTTGGAATGTTGTAGAGAAAAATTTTTTTTTTTTTTTTACAAAGGTCAATAAAGTTAATTTTGACCTGCGCGCAAGATTTTCTACTTCTTTTTTCAACCTTGCTCCCCTTAATGTTATAACCGACAAAAAAATTGCATACTACGAAGAAGTAAACGTGCCTAATTAGCGTGGAAAGCACTTGAAGAGTTGATTCGCCAGGAAGTTGATTGGCGATCGATGTGATTGCGTTTTATAGACAATAAGACCTTGAAGTAAATTTTTATTTATGGTATCAAGGATGATGTCCAGGGGGACAACAATCAGGGATTCACAAAAAATGATTAGACGACCTAGACTTTTTAAAGTTACGATTCTCGGCCTTGCTCTCGATGTTACAGTTCATATTGCGAAATAATATCCATTATGCGTTCATCACTCATCTATGTATAAGATGAATAATGCGTGAGTTAGGAGGATGGGGAGCATTCTCTTTTTCGCCGCGTGCCCATCCGCAAAGGCCTTCTTCCACCTTGTGTATATAAAAAGGAAGGAACCACGTGCGTTCAATCAAATCTTTTTGTCTATCCGCGGAAGAAACATGAAGGTGAGAAGAAATTTATTAGCATACACCTTCATCATTCGTGGAGTTTAGTTTTCAAAAAAAATAGTAATTTTTTATTACAATATTCTTTATTTCAATTCTGTTATTATTAGAAATTGTGTTAGAATTAGATTTGTTAAACATTCAGTAAATTCTTTTTTCTTGATTTGCTTTCTGTGCAATAAAACAGTGTTTCGAAACACTAAAAATTGATTCAATTTTTTTTTTTTTTATAAAAAGTGTTGATTTAAAATTGCAGGTTCTCATCTTTTTATCACTAGTAGCATTGGCTGTTGGAAGTTTGGAACCTTCGGGTTATCAACCACCAGGTTCTTCATCTCTTTCGTCTCGTTATTTACCGCCAAATGAATTGCGACCACCTATTGCGGTTCCATCGTCCCAATACTTGCCATCATCATCATCATCATCATCAGCTAATCGGTACACGAATTCTCAAAATGTAATTCCAACCAGTCAGTATTTGCCACCGTCGCCATCGGAGCGACAAAATTCCGCTCCATCTCTTCTTCCAGCATCCACTTATCTTCCCAGCAATCGTCAAAGTGTCGTCATTCCAACTCTTCCATCTGCAAATTACCTGCCAGCGGTAGTAAATCGACAAACAACCTCTCCATTTTCACCGACAATGAGCCCCTTTTCTCCCAGTACGACACGAATAAGTCAAAGTTTAACTCATGGAGTTGTTGGTACACCTTCAAACGTCTACTTACCGGGTGATCGCATCACTCGTTTTGGCCAAGGTGGTTCATCCTCATCGTCATCGTCGTCCTTTGGAAAATCCTTTGCATCAGGATCAATTCCTTCTTTGACAACATCGCCATTGGCAAAAGCGCCTTCATCCCAATATCTTCCATCAAATCAATTTGGGAATTCGCAAAATTTTGGTTATGATTATAATGCCATTGAAGTGACGGTGAGCGTTTTTATTATGAATTGCATTTTTTATTTCATTCGCTTTTCTTTTCTCATCATTGTGCTTTCTCTCTCTCTCTTATTTGCTTTTTTAATTTGCCTTTTGAATTCCATATTCTCTAAATTTGAGTGAAAAAAAAAATTAAATTTGTATTTATCAAAACGTGATATTAAGGTGATAAGAGTTTAAAATGGGTTCAAAATTTTGTGACGTTTGTGAACGAGTTTTTGAATTAGATTTTATTAGTTGAAAAAAAAAAATTCATTAGTAAATTTTAACTAATTCAAAGCAAAAATTAAGTTACTAATTCAAATTAGTTGAAATTTTTTTATAAATATAAAATTGTATCAAAAATTAATCGTAATCCCTTTTGAATTAGTTAGAAATAACTAATTTGATAGCAACTAATAGTTACTGATTCAAATAATAATATTTCTATACAAATTTTTTTTTAGATAAAAATAAATAATTGTTAGTTAAATTCACTTTTGTCATGGTCAGAATAACTAGATTATTTTTTTCAGTTATTTTTCCACTGGAAATTGTTTACTAATATACTAATAATTACTTATTTTTTACTAATTACTGAAGTAAAAAGTCAGCTAAGTTTTTACTTAATTAATTATTTTTAACAAATTTTAGATTTAGAGAAAATATAAAACTATTGAACAAATAAGTTTAGTCTAATTTAATTTTTCTCATGAAAGTATTAATCAAAATATTCAAATTTTCGGGTGAAAAGAACTTGTAATTTAAAAAATGACAAATTATTTTAATTAAAATTCAATTATATTTGAATTTTTTTTTAGAATTGAAATTAAATTAATTTGCAATTTAATAGCATTTCCTTAAAAAAAAAAAAAACAGAAAAAGTTTTAATAAGTGGAAAAAGTATGCGCGGTATGCATATTATCGCAGTAGTTACAAACATGTTTGGTCAGCCAGAAAGTCGGTGATTTTGCTAACAAAGCTCCGAGATTTGTGATTAATGACCAGTAGCCAACAATATCTCACGTATAATGCAAATCTTTTTTTTTTTTTTTTGTTTTGTTTTGTTTAAACCAAGTTGACAATATTGTGACTGTTTTCCATTATTTATGATTAAAAGTGTCATAAATGTAGAAAAGAACAGGAAACCGTCAGCAACATAATATAATGAACTTCCAAAAGCTTTGCTAAGTTAAAAAAGTTTTTTTTTTTTATTATATTCGCATATATTTCTCTACTTTCTTCTCTTATTATCCACGCTTTTATATAATAATTTATAAAACATTTATTAATTCGGATTTAATTAGAATATTAATTGTCAAGTTGAAGAAAAAAATTTGCTTTAACTTTGACAATTTTTATTTATAAAAATCGAATTTTTTTATTTTTTTTTTGAACTATATATTCCCCGGAAGTAAAAGACGAGGTAAAATCTAATTTTTCCTTTCTTTAGACTCCGGCAAAATACGATTTCGAATATTCCGTTAACGATGGATACGGAAACGACTTTGGCCACAAAGAAAAACGTAGTGGTGATTCAACTGAAGGTGTCTATTCTGTTCTTTTACCTGATGGGCGAAAGCAAATAGTGTCCTACTCGGCAGGACCAAACGGCTTCCGGCCAAGAATCTCTTATGAGACAGGATTTGCGAGGTCAGGATCCACAGAGTACGACCTTAATGCCAACATCGAAGGACCGTACTAACCTTAAAATAAAGAAAAATCACGAAAATAACAGTTCTTTTAAGGAGTAACCGCATTTACCGTCTTTTTTTTTCTTTTATTTTAAGTGGCCATTGTGACTTAAAGAAAACGTGAAACAATGTTTTAACTGAATTTGTAGTAAAGTGAAAATTTATTGATTTTTTTTTTTTACTATTGAATGTTCAGTGATTTTTTTTTTTTATTGAAAATTCGTAAATTTTTTATATGGAAATATAAAATTTATATTTTATAAGTTTTATATTATTCTTAGTTTGAATTTTATATTTGAAATTAATTTCATTATTAATGAGATTAAACTTGTTATTGAGATTAATTTTCATTATTAATGAGACAAAAATTTCAATATTCTTAGACAAATGAATATCTGTTTTTATTCAAAAGTTAATTAAAAATTAATTTAATTCTAATTAAAATTAATTTTTAAATTAACATTAAATGTAATAAATTTAGTTTGTATATTTTTCATGTCATTTTTATAGAAAATAAATCTTGTGAAAGAGAAATATATATCTTCTATTTATTTAAAACAAATAATTATAATTATTACATTATTTAATACTATATAATATTTTATACAAATGATGGGAATTGCATAAAAGAAATAGTGAAAATTTTATGATTAAAAAATATTAAATTAAAATACAATATTTACTATAAATAGAAATTGTCTAATGTATAGGATAATTTTAAAAATTGAATGGTACTTATATTTTCAGGCTTGTATTCTATAAAGTGGTTTTATTTTTTTTTTTTTTGTATATAATTGCAAAAATACGTTAACACTGCAAACTGAAACTTTTAATGTTGAATGTCAAGTGTTTGTTCTTCTTTTTTTTTAAATTCTTTGTTGGGAAGAAATACATGGCACCTTTCTCCTTCCGTTTACTCTACTTTTCCATGACTTGAGGGCAAGTGAGGAAGGAATTGCTCGTACTTTCATTAGTGTCGGCGCTTCCTGTGAACTTGGTTGCTAACGCGTTGAACGAAGTTACCAGCAGTATAATTAATTAACTCATTGTAGCATAGCGAAAATTTGTAAAAGATCAGATAAAAGATAATCAGACTTTTGTTAAACTAGAAACACAATTTATCACGCACTTAAATTTTATTTTATTTGACATTGGTATACAATATGCAAAATTTTTTCTTATTTCGATAACAAAATTATTCTTAAAAAGAAAATAATTTTATTTATCTGAAATTTAGAATTATATTTATTCATATTGTTGTTATTTTTCAAATGAAATTATTATTTTTTTTTTAGACAAAAAAATATAATTTGCACAAAAAGATATTTTTTTCTACTAAATGGTTAATTATAAACGATAAAATTATTATTAAAATATATTTCTTCCAGACGCTAGACAAAAATATATGAAAAATTAACAAATGACATTATTTAATGTCACATTGTGATTTTATAGCAACGTTAATCATGACTGAATTTAAATTAATTTCATTATTTCTTATAATCTATAGATCTATAGCAGACAGAAATATATAAATTATCAAATTGTTTTTTATACATGAAAAGTGCTTTTTAATTATGAGAATATTGATCTATGGAAGAGAAAAAAATATTTTGAAATTAAAAAAATTTTTTTGAGTTTTAATCAAAAGTGTTAAATTATTATTATTAATTACACCATTTAGTATAAGTAAATACTTTATAATATTTGAAATTTTTATAATTCAATTCTCATGTATCTAATTTCCGGTTTCTATATTTATATATATATATATAATTGCAATGAAATGCGTATAAATTTTTTCTCACCAGTTTTTGTTTGAAATATATACGATTCCAAACAATCAAAATTTAAATGTTATTTCACAACGTCAAGCAATCTTTCTACAAGTTAGCATAATAGTGGTCTGTTTTCCATTTCAAAGAGGTTGAAATTCTGCTCTAGCGCATTTCAAATATCGATTTTTAAAATTGGTTCATAAATATATGAAATTTTTCTATTATTTTCTTTCCTTCTTCTTCTTCTTCTTCTTCTTCTTCTTATGCTTCTGTTTTCCACAAAAAAGAATTTTTTTGAAGAAATTTTCCTTTTGTTTGAAAAAAAAATCATAATTTAATTAAATCGAAAAAAAAACCATAGAAATATTTCAGAGACTTGACAATATTTTGTGTATATTAAAGTAATGAAAAAATTATCTTCAATATATATGGTATATGCGCATAAAATTTTTCATTAGTGTTTTTGATTAAAAAATTTTGTGCGCTATTTTAATTTCAGTTTTCCGCTTTCGTGATTTTTAATTCAAATATTTGTAATCGCAAAATTGTCTCTTGATTTTCAGTGAATTAGAATAAGTCACGACTTAAGTTCTCGCCAGAGTATAAGTGCATTAAATGCCGTCTCTCGTGGAAGCCGTTCCATATACGTGTACTAATAATAAAGAATATATGATGCAATTATGAGTAGATTAAGCTGATGGCGTAGGATTATGGCCGGTATAATAATTGTGATGCTGTACTTTGTTATAAATCATTATATATTACATAAACACAGTAAGATCTGGTAATGCCTAGCTTACACTGAATATATGAGTATACATTCGTATAGATATAATATAATGTATATATATAATAAAATGTATATAATTTAATGTATATAATTTAATGTATAATATACATATATATATTGTTTGTTTTGATCATGTTTATGAACTATGTTACAGAGATTTTTTTTTATGAATTATTTTGCGATATCTGAGAAAGAAAAACCAATATTATTGAGCAAACTAGGTTTTTATGGAGTATGTTCAAAAAAAAGGGACTGTACAATTCTATGCTTATTTTCTACAGGTGGGATTGCTCCAATTCGATTTCAACCAGAAGCAGTAAGACTTTATAGACCAGCAAACCCTCTGGCTGCGAAAAGACTAGAATCTAATAATCACCCGGAAAGAAAAATTTCTTTCAAGTGTAAGCAAGGAAAAGAACTTTCGTATCGTAAAATCGTTATACAGAGATAAAAATTTGATTAGAATTTTCTTTTTTTTACAATATTTGTTTTTTTCTTTGCTGCAATTTGAAAGAATAATTTATTAATCTTATTGAAATTCATCTTTCCGTTAAATATATATATATATATATATATATTAACTCTGGTTTTTTATTTATATATGTGTGAAAATTATTCAATGAATGTTTGATGAGATTCACGCTTCTAAGGTTTTGCTGGAATTTTATAAAGATTACTGATATTCTGATTGGTTTATGTTCGAAATTCATAGAGGTCATTTATGGAAATTATATATATATAGTATATATAAATTTAATCGATAATTCAATAATTATAACCACCACCTGTACCGCTGGGATAACCACCTGGATAACCACCACTACCACCAGCACTTGGTCCAGTTCCTCCAGGATATCCACCTCCTATTCCCGTACCTTCTTGAACGTATGATATTTTAGGTCTATATCCATCCCGATCAGCCTCGTATTCCACTCTTTTGGGGGAAAAAATTGTTATATATTTTTATTATTTTAATTATTATTTTATTTTTTACCTTTGCCTACGTCCATCGGGAAGTAATACGTAATACATTCCTCGTGTCACATCACCATCGCGACTCTCCTTTTGACCAAAATCATTACCCGATGGTTGATCATACACCATCCATTCAAAATCGTATTTAGCTGGTCCCTGAAAAATTGATTCATATTTGTTGTCAATTAAAAATTATCTTCTACTGCTTTAATTAAAATAATTTTCTTAAAAGCATATTCCACTTGTATTCTTTTTTATCTTCTAATTTCAAAAAGTCATTTTTAATTAAATTTATTAAAACTTGTATATTTTTAATACGGGACAATTTTAACATTTACGATAAAATAATTGACAGAATGTTTTTTTTTCACCCGGATAGAGCATGTATATGAGGAAACGAATAAAAAAAAAAAAAAAAAATTGCGAAACAGTGTATGGCAGATATATACACAGAGCGAGCTATTACTTTGATCCAATTTCCAATTAAATTTTTTGCCCTGTTATTATTTCTCGAAGCCATTATTATTGTTTTTCATTACATTAATCAATTTTACCGATTTCATCTCTTTTATCTTTATACCAGACTATTGTTTTCAAAGTTTAGGATTACATATATATATATACATAGAAGTAAAATTATTCCTTTTGCAATAAAAATTTTCACGAATAATAACTAAAAAATTGTTTCTCTTTTTTTTTGTTTCAGATTAAGGTATGTGTGAATATGTTTTTTTTTGAAAAACTTACGTTTGATTCGTCTCCATATCCACCGCTTCCACCACTACCACTAGCTCCAGGTGGTCCATATTGTTGGTTAGGAGGTAGGTACTGATTGATTCCAAAATTAGCTGGCGAAGCAATCGGAGTACCTAGACTGGGTCTCTGCGGCGGGCCATAAAGCTGATTTGGGGGTAAGTATTGACTAACTGGCGGTTCTGGTCTGGCTAATATTTCCACAACCAGTAATGTTATTGCTGTTGCTATTATCAACACCTGCAAATGGGCATAGTCATATATGCAATTACTCTTCGTTCAATATATCCCAACAAATTTTGCACCAAGGGTTTATTTTTATTTTTTTTAATTGGAAAGATATTGGAAGTAATATTACCCTAATATCACAGTAATATTACTCCAATATTACAGTAATATTAGAATGTTCGCTTTAGGGTAATATTACAATTACTATTGGGGTAATATTTTAATATTGCTGTAATATTACGAGACATTTTGTCTTAAGTAAAAATCACGCTAGTGGGAATCGAACCCCGGACCCAACGCACACGAGTCGGAAGTCTTAGCCAACGAACCAATCTGACTTATTACTTACTACTTGTAATGGAATCAAGAAACTCTACCTTTTCGTATTTAAAACAATATGATTAAAATGTTATTAGTTTTAAGTAAATTTTTTTGAATTAAGAAAATTAGTGAAAATACAGACAAGTGTACATGGTTTTCTTGACTAATATTAGTTTCAGTGAGATTTGATTTTTGTTTTTAATGGAAAATTCAATAAATTTATAAAAGATAAAATCAATTATTGACAGGAGAGCTTAAATTGAAATCGATAACAGATGAGGTACATATCTGAGAACGTTCCCCCTCATCAAAAGTCTTCTCATCATACTCGCTCCCTCCCCCCCCCACCTTCATCTATATATAATACCCATATAATGCGAATGACACTTGATGCTTGAAACGACCGGCTGTCTGTTCAATAATAATTAACTTTCCCACACTAGTGACGTGCATAATGCAGATTTCATGTATGTGAAGATGATGTCGTTGATATAGAGTTGTAATAAACAGCAGATTAAGCTTTAAGAATATCATCAGTCTAAGAGCATTGGCGTACTAAGAGCAAGCATTATCTCTTGCTCGTATATAGTACTTCAAGTGTACACACGCGAAGCGATTTTCTGTTAGTTTCAAGTGGAAACACTATAAATACAATATACATGTGAAACACTTTTCGACATGGAAAATGTAGATTTACTATGTATATATAATTTTCTCCGAGTTCATGGAATTTAGTTTTAATGATATCTAAATTAAACACTACACTGAAAAAGGGTTTGGTATTGACATCCAAACGTTTGGTTGGTATTTAAGCGACCAAAATTTTTTTTGTTGAATCAACAAAATTTTAATTGTCTCAATCAAAATTTGACATAACCAAAATTAGAAAAGAAGAATTTTTGTTGTCCTAACTAAAGTTTGATTGGGACAACCAAAATTTTGTTGATTCAATAAAAAAATTTTGATTACTTAAATACCAACCAAATGTTTGGTTGTTAATACCAAACCTTTTTTTCAGTGTATAGGAGTGTTTAACAAATCCAAGAGAGATCCAAGAAAATTGGATAATACTGAAGAATTTCAAAAATTCAAGAAAATTTCTTTATATATTTTTTTTAATATGCACATACTAACGGATTGAGACATATATATTCGAAAATTGAAATACTTTTTTGCTCAATTCAATTTTTAACTCCATAAATCATGTCTTATATATACTTATATGGAAAATTAGTGCCCGTATCTGTATATAATATTTGCATCAGAGAGGAATTGAGAGTAAGCACGTAATGCAAATCGCGCTTTTCTATTAAAGTCTGCCCCCTCGCGGTCAAAATATCGAAGCTTAGGTGGTTAGCTATATATATTCCTTAAATCGGTGAGGCTACACACATACGCATAATGTAATGGCTAAGCCGAATGACGTTCGGAATTGATCGGGCGGGCTCGTGTATCTTTGTGTGAATTAGAGAAACAAACTGAAAACGAACCGTGCGGGCCTCATCCAATGTTTTGACTTTTTTTCAGATAAAGTATATGAGCCGGTTTTTGAAACAATTCACTAATCGACAATATTTTTAAGGTTAAATTTAGAAATTTTAATTTCAATTAGTAATTAAAATACAATTTTAATTTATTATTTAAATTTCATTTTAAATTTTTATAAAATTTAGAATTCTAAATGTTCTCTCTTCGAATGCATAGTTGAATATAAGTACGAAATTCGTTTTCAATAAATCTTATATCATAATTATTTTATAATAAGTAAAAAAAATTTCGATATTACAATATTATCTTTATTTATTTAATTCAATTAAATCATAGATTAGTAATGTGAAATAATGTGCTTTTGTCAAAGTCATATTAAAAGAAAAATTAAATTCTTTTTATTATTTTGCCGTTAAAATTTTTGAAAAATATTTTTTGTAATATTATAATAAAATTTTAGAATTTAAAAATTTTACCTAATACTGACAACAATGTTTATAATTTAATTCTTAAGAATGTTCTCATTTTATTTAAATTTGAATCAATTTTTTATGTCTATTTAATAGTTTATAAAAAAATATAATTTTTTTTATATTATACTTTTAAATTTTTGATTTGTAAATGCTTACACATTATAAATAGCTTACATTTTTTAAAATATTAAATTTAAAAACATTTTGTCAAGAGATTAAATGTTTTAACCTAAAATAAATAAACAAAATAATCAATTTAAAAAAATATTTTATAGGTTTTTAAATCAGAAAAATTGTTTTTGTAAATTAATTAATTATTTTGTCTTTGGGTTTGTCCAAGTAAAAAATGATTTAATTTTAAATAAAATGAGAATATTCTTAAAATTTATATTGTAAACATTGTTGGCACTACCTATTAAAATTACCCACAATTTAATACATTATTAATTTGTATAGAATATTCTATGGTGTTTAGTTTCACATTATTATTTATGTTTAACTAAATTACATAAATAAAGATAATATTTATAAAAATTATGTCAGTTTTTTTACTTTTCAAATAGTGTTATCAAAAAAATTTGTTTTTCATTTTTTATTAAAAAAGTAACATTTTTTTATAAACAAATTAAATTTTTTTTTAATTTGTATGTGATTTTTTTAAAACATACCTGGAAATAAAAAGAAGATTTAGTGAAAAAATTTAGAGTCGGCCAATAAGTTTTATATTTTTATGTATTTAAAAAAAACACCACTTGGAGCATTGTGCACATTTTTGAAAAGTATAAAAAATTGATAAATTGTTAAAAATTATTTTAAAAAATTTTTTTCGAAAACTGAAATTTTATTTCACTATGAAAAATGAAAGAAAATTTTTTTAACAATTTAACAATTTTTTTTACTTTTCAGAAATGTGCACAATGCTGCGCGCAGTGTTTAAATGTTTATTTAAACCTATAATCATTAGTTATTTCCAGTATTTCTTAGTATTTTTAGGTATGTTTAAAAATTTTTTTTTAAATCATATTCCAATTTAAAAAAACTTAATTTGTTTATAAAATTTTTTTATTTTTTAATAAAAAATGAAAAAAAAATTTCGTTAACATTACTGAAAAGTAAAAGATAAACTGGAACTTTTCTTCTCTTGGCAAAAATTGAAAAAATCCAGTTTTTTGTCTACATTTACAAAACTGAAATTTTGAAAATTTATAACTCGTAAATTTGCATAAAGAAAGTATCTTTTTTTCACTACAGAACACGAAAAAATTATATTTGGCTGAAATTAAAGGGGCGACTGAAATCTTACGTGAAATCACCCCTTCGGTTTATACCGAAATTTTTTTATTTATTATAAAATAATTATGATATAAGATTTATTGAAAACGAATTTCGTACTTATTCAACTATGCATTCGAAGAGAGAACATTTAGAATTCTAAATTTTATAAAAATTTAAAATGAAATTTAAATAATAAATTAAAATTGTATTTTAATTACTAATTGAAATTAAAATTTCTAAATTTAACCTTAAAAATATTGTCGATTAGTGAATTGTTTCAAAAACCGGCTCATATACTTTATCTGAAAAAAAGTCAAAACATTGGATGAGGCCCGCACGGTTCGTTTTCAGTTTGTTTCTCTAATTCACACAAAGATACACGAGCCCGCCCGATCAATTCCGAACGTCATTCGGCTTAGCCATTACATTATGCGTATGTGTGTAGCCTCACCGATTTAAGGAATATATATAGCTAACCACCTAAGCTTCGATATTTTGACCGCGAGGGGGCAGACTTTAATAGAAAAGCGCGATTTGCATTACGTGCTTACTCTCAATTCCTCTCTGTTTGCATGTAATTTATGTAAAATAATTTTACGCGTCTTTAATTTGGTTTGGAAAAATTATACCAAAGATGAATACTAATGGGGAAGCGTCTTATATGTATATATATATATATATATATATATATACTCTTTCGAAAGAGAAGTGAACACACGGTGATGATTTACGAACACACACCAATCATATCGAGGCGAAATAAAAGTCGCGAAAGTGGAGGATATTATGATCTCGTAAATCCGGATCATTTTGTGGCTTTATGTCCGACGACCCGTTAAGCTGGGAAAAATTTGCGTTTAAAGTAAACACATACATATATGCCAATCTTTATTATCCGTTTTCTAATTTAGGTGAATATATGTGTGTGTGTGTGTGTGTGTGAAACGTTATCACTGAACTTTCGTTGATAATATAATATTTAAAAGTATATCGTAAAAAGCTTATTTACTTTTATATTTAATCTCGAGCTTTTAGAAAATAATTATATACATTTAAATTTAGAATAAATTATCTATAAAATTGTCAGAAACATAAAAGACTATTTAAAATGCTGACAAATTTAAATGAACAATCGAATTAATTAAATGTGTGAAATTTTTTTTTTTAATAATGAAATAGAATATTAATTTATTTGTTTCATTGTTATTCACTTTGGTAATGTTTTCAATGGAATTGAATTTAAAATTAACACTTTAAAATTGTCACTTTGATCTTTTTCTCTATCCTATCTCTTTATCTCATTTACTCTTTGATTTTGTATCCAATTTTATGCACATTCTGATTAATTTGTAATTATATAATTTATCTGATTTTCTAATTAGAATTATAATTATTATTTTTTATTATTAATGGAATCACAGATTCTACTTTTGAATTTTTTCACCTTTTATTTTTTTTTTTTAATTGTATCAGTTATTTCAAAATTGTTTTATCTTTTTCAAATTTTTTTTTTCATTTGATTTGAAATTTAATTATTAATTATTATAAAAATTTTACATTTTTAACAGTTTAACAATTCATATTGATCCGAATGTTAATTTATGCAAATTTTAAACGAACTAAATTTCAATTCATTTTAATTTTTACTAATCATGCAAATTTCAATTTATCCAAATTTTAATTTCAAAATTTAATTTACATCAAAATTTGAATTAATTTTTACAAATTAATGTAAATAGAAATTGGATTTTTTTGAGATTCTAAATTAATTTTTTTTAAATTATTTATTTTTCCATCTACTCCATGGTAATGTGATTGTTACATATATAATTCCTTATACTATTTTTGAGTTCTTTACAAAAATTTTAGCATCTAGTATTTAGCGAAAAAATCTACGAAGATAAATTTAAATGTGGAATCACAAAAAAAGTTCGTTTAGTTTTTATTTAAAAATAAATAAATATACATAAATGAAAAAATAACATTGTCCCATAAATGTGAAAAACTTTTTGGAAACAAATAATATATATGAATTATTTTCATTTGAAATTAGAAATCTTTTAAAAAGTATATAGATGAAAAATTTTATTTTTAAAGAAAAATTGTTCTATATACCGCAGCTGAAAAATTTCTCCCATTTAATAAATATTTATCCAGTAGAAATATACGAACTGCAATAAAGATTGAAAGTTTTTCTTTGCTTTTTTCTATTTGATTTAAAAATATCCTTTCTTGCTATAGAAAAAGTGATTCGACATGCTTTTTCAGTAAACCACAAACAATCGGCTTTGTTTTCATTTTTCCCTTGAATGTACTTCCGAGTTTGTTTTGTGGATCGAACTTTCTTCCTTTTTTTTCAAATATATATATATATATATATATATATATATATATATATATATAGCTCCACAATATCTTTCCGCGGCATATACGAGGTCCAGCGCGAGAGAGATATACTCACCCTCATATCGGTTTCTCTTAAATGCCAATAACGTGATATGATCAAATCGTGAATGGACACGTGTTCACGCTTCACCGGCGCGGTTGTGTGACTCGCGTGTGTTTATGGAAGGATGACTATAGTGCAGAGTGCGAGGTAGCCAGAGCTTTGGACGGGTTTTATACTTTCGCGAGAGTGAGGATCATCTTCCATTCTCCAATATGTAACATTACGAGCAAGGCCATTGCGCCACCAATTCCTCTTTCAAATGGACATTCAGGGGTCTTTTGGGGTGGCTAAAAATTACATTGTTGCGTTACGATTTCGACGTTCTATCGCCTATATATATATATGTAGTAATATAGAATCGAGAATATTGCCCGTGAGCTTCCACTTAGGCGCGCTAGTCAATGGACCACGAAATAGAATAACACTATACATATTGTACGGAGATGAGGCGCTCGTTAAATTATCTTATGCGCAATCTCATATTTTACATTTCTCAAAATCAATACAATATTATTGTTGTAAATTAATCCGCGATAATCGAATTAACGTTACTCATTTTTTAAATTAATAATTCAACAATTTTTCTATCAACCCTTATTTAAAGGAAAAAAAAAATCCCTAAGAACGGAATATTTTGCTTCTTAGTTTATTTTTATAAAAATTAATTCTTCTCCAAATAAGAGGATTTTTTTTTGTCAATAAATGCACAAAGTAATCTTATATTGAGAGAAAAATTTATATCCTTTGATAAAAGAAAATATTCTCTAAATTATTAGAATTTTTGATTTTTATTTAAAATTATGTATATTATATATAATTTTTATAATATTTTTAAACTTTATATAATTTATTATAAATACCTTAAAATATCAACTTTGGACTTTAATTTTAAATAGAGATGGATTTTATTCAAATTTTTCAGAAACAAAAAATAATCTTTTGTTTTGTTATAACCATTGTTGAAAATTTTCATGTTCATTCAAAATATTGTTGGACGTTTAACAAAAAGTATGGAGTTTTATTAAATTTCAGAATAATTAATCAAAATATTAATTAGTAGAATGTTAACAAATTTTTGATAAAGTAAACTTTTTTTTAATATAAAATAAAAAAGAAATAAAATACAAAATGAAATAAAATATAAAAAAATTTTTTTTTTTTTACAAATTAATAAAACCTTATTTAAATATTTCAATATTATATTTATTTTATAAATGATTATAAAATTATTAAATTCGCGATGCTTTTTTTCAATGAACAGAATATGAGAAAAATGTTTTCTTTCAAACCACCCTTTTTCATTCAAGATAATTATTTTCAATTTGAGAAGAAAATGTAAAATAGAACTTAGAAGCAAAATATACCTTTCAATTTAATTTAAAAAAAAATTTTTTTTTATATATATGTTGCCGCAGTGAAATAGAAGAAATTTTATTCTATTTTTGGGTAAAATTTATCACGTGAGAATAAGTTTTGTTACAAATAATGTTTTCTCCGGAAGCTGTGGAAGTTTATCTCTTCTACCGTGACTGCGAAACTATCAGTCTCCATTTCTGCCAAAAAAGTTATAAAAATATAGAGAGAAAAAAAAAATAGGAAAAAAAGCAAAAATACATAAAAAAAAATATTTTCAATTTAAATGAAGTATAATTTATATAAATAAATTAGTAATTATTATCAAACATAAATAATATCCAATTGTCATGAAGAAGAATAAAATACTATTTTCGATGAGTTTATTCAATAAGAATTCATTGTAACTTAAATGAACTTTTTAATGTTTTCTTATAATTAAGATATTATCGTTTCGAATTTTTTTTCCTAAATTTAATTTTATAAGTATGCATTATCAATACATATATATGCATTTTCAAAGTTAAATAATGTGATTTTAAAGGGAGTGTAAAATAGAATAACGATTAAAAGCCATTAAGTTAATTAAATTCTGCATGACTATGAAAGAAGACTTATGATTAAGTTTGAAAACTTGGAGAATAATTGTAGGTAATTATTTCCTCATCGATTTATCAGAATGTTAAATTATATGACTTTATCTTACAAATCGCGATTTGATATTTGAATCATTGATAAAGACAAATTGATAATGTGTGACATCATTTAATTATATTCATAATAATAATCGACACAATAGTTTATAACCTATTTTCAATCAAACATATAATAAAAAAAAATTAAAGAATGCAAATGAGGCATTTATTTTTATATTGATGATCTTATTTTTAATTATTTATTTATTTTAATATAAAAATAACTCAAGGTAATTAATTCTGATATTAATAAAAAAAAAAATCTGAAATTATAAACTCATAATTGTAAAATTATATATATTATATATGAGAGTTGTGATTTATGATGAATGAGACATATCGATTAAAAATAAGATCATTAATAAAATAAAATGTAAAAAAATAATTTTGAATTAAGGAATTGACGTGGCAAAAATTATGCAAATAAAAAGTGATTAAAAAAAAAACAGTGCGCCAGTTATTAATAATATATATGAAATGTGACGACATGAAAAATTTTCATAAAGAGAGAAAAAAAAAAGTTCTTTCTCTTGAATAAGGAATATTAATACATTACATTCAATATCCAAGCAGTTCGTATATAAGCGACACGGTGTTAAAAGTCGATAAACTTAAATAACTGCCATAATCAATTAATTATTATAAGGTGCTAAAAAAGGTGCTCGCCGCTCGAGATTTTTTTCATTTTTTTTTTTTTTTTTTTTTTTTCATTTTTCACGTCGCATTGATAAACGTCTCATGCCGCATAAAACGGCCTTATATACTTGGTATATAGCAGAGAAGAGGGTTTTGAGTTATTGAATTATATCGGTTAATATATAAAAACCTTCATGGTATATAGTGTCTTGGCGGTCGTTCCATCAAAACGAATATTACTTTTAAAGGGTATAATAAAAAATTGCTCTCAAAGGATGTCGCAAGAGTGCATTTGTAAAACCCATAAATAATAACTCCGAAAACATTTCCCCGGAAGGTTTGTAACAGCGCAAAATAGAGTGAGGCACATATGTTTTAAAAACTCAAGTACGTATAATATGTATGCATTCTTTATATATTTTTCCGTGTCAAGGACATCGTGCTTCTTCTTCTTCTTCTCCTCATTTTTTGCCCTGACCAAATTCTTAATTATTATTATCTCCCTTTTCTATCAAAAAAATGAGGATATTTCACTTATTACAAAAGTTATAATACAATATTTTGTCCCTATTGGTGTATAAGCCGATTAATTCTCTATCTCTTGTTGGAGATTAAGAAAAAGATTCACTGACCGCATATCCCATCAGGACAAATGTTATTTTATGTTCGTTTTCTCGCAAATATTTGAGAATTCTTTTTTTAAATTAAAATCCGAGTCCATTGATGACTGAAATTTCGATTATGAGGACAGGGTTAAATTTCTTTATGGATTTTTGTTGTTTAATTTTTTTTGCTGTATTTATCAATCGGAGAGAAAATAAATATTAAATTTAATAATAATAATAATATAAATATTTTCGGGAATGACATTTTTTTCTGTATCAACAAAAGAATTTTTTTTTTGATGAGCCAATTTTTCCTCTAGGTATGCCTTTTGTAAAAGAGGGTTTTTCTCTTAATTTTAATAGATTTTAATCAAAAGTTCAATTAATTTTCTTTTAGAATTAAATTTCTAATACTCTCTAAATCTGAATTAGTAAAAATGTTTACTAATTTGAAATAGTGACTGACTTTTTGCTTCTGAATTAGTAAAATTTTACTAATTGTTAGTAAAAGTTACTAGTACTTATTAGTAAAATTTTACTAATTGTTAGTAAAAGTTACTAATAACTAGTACAATTTTACTAATTCAGAAGCAAAAAGTGAGTCACTAATTCAAATTAGTAAACATTTTTAATAATTCAGATTTAGAGAGTAGTAATTATTATATTAATTGAATGAATTTATTTTTTAAATTTGTTTTTTTTCAGATTTACTCTCTTAATTTGAATCAGTGAAATTTCACTGGTGAAATAGCTAGAAGTCGGTTACTGAATCATTTAGTGAAATTTTCACTGAAAATCAGTCATATATCACTGATTTCCAGTGAAAATTTCACTAAATGAATCAGTCAATCTGTATTATCGGTAATGGGTAAAACAGATTGACTGATTCATTTAGTAAAATTTTCACTGGAAATCAGTGATATATGACTGATTTTCAGTGAAAATTTCACTAAATGATTCAGTAACCGACTTCTAGTTATTTCACCAATGAAATTTCACTGATTCAAATTAAGAGAGTAAAGACTTGACAAAATTTGTAATTAATGAAACATTTACAATTACTGTAGCACTATGCGTAGGATAGGTCTTTAATGAAAGTTTAACACTTTATTGTTAGATTTTCATTTAATTATAAAACTCATCTAATTATTAATAATTAGAGTACACTTTTGTGCACATGCATGCAGAAAAACCTTTTTCATTTAAAATATATTTTCAATCAATGAAGCCACTTCAATTTACCCATAGACAGTGTATGTGCGTGGTGATCGAAATTTCATTCTTTTTCATGTTGTGTCGATATCAGCTTGAAGTTTTATTTGAACGTTACAATGAAACATACGCTTTCAACGTTGTGCGGGTGATATTTTTTTCTCGGGGAGAAAAAAAAAAAAAAAAAAAATCTTTTGTTCCTCAAAGCACTCTCTTTATTCTGCAGTTGCATCGCGTGTCACCGATCTGACTGGTGACATTGCGTGAATTCGATGAGTTACGAGACGGAATTATATTCATATAATCTACGTTGTGTGACAAGTGAGTACGTCCCTCGGTGTATATAGCATTGTTTATTACACTCGCTATACACGTAAAGCAAACGAGTCCTAATTTCACACAGAATTTACGTTACGTTATGATACATTAGTATATACTATGTATATCTAATATACCGTGTCTTGCGCTTATATTTATATACATCATTATTATTATTATTATTATGCTCCTGTGGTATAATGTTGCAGGAATATGTAACTAAATGCAATATGATAATTATAATTATATCATTAATTTTGGCGAAAAAAATTTTTATCTTGTTACTTTTTTTACATCCGGTAAAAAAGAAATCTGATTTCTACTTTTCATTTTATTTTTTAAATCCTTTCAAAAGGAGAGGGAAAAAATAATAAAATATTCTCAATACTACTGGATATTTTACTAATGTACGTTAAATATTCCTCTTGAGAGGAATGCGTTTTTTTAATAATCGACTCTTAATCGAAAAGGACAATTTAAAAAATTTTCCATATAAAAACAATGTTAAACTGAAGTTACCTAATAAAAAAATTAATTTACAATCTTTAATTTTCGCCCTCTTTATATTGCCTCTCTCGGGAAAATATAATTAATCTCATATTACCGAATAATAACTAATTTATGAAAGAATTAAGAAAATTAGCTTATGAGTAATTACACGTATACTCGTTTTGAACATCAGTAAATCACGGATTACTTCATCTGAAGATTCTTTTTTAAAATAAAGAGAGTCGATTTTCCAGGGAATAGCCAGAGAAAGAGAGCGAGAGTATATATATATATATATTGTATACCTATATCTTTCTTGGTGCTCTCCTTTTTTTTTTCTTTTCTCATTTTTTTTTTCACTACTTTCTGCAGCACTCAAGCATCATTAGATTCGATTTGCTGTAATTAAATCAACATAATTTAAAAGTACACCCTCTCTCCGACGAAAAAGAGATCGACATTTTAATCACGTATTAGACGTCGGCTGGAAACTTTTAATCACGCCGCAAGTCCGCTTGGGAGTTGCTGCTGCTGCTACTGCCGCACTCCCTTCAAGCACATATATGTGTGTATAAGACTTTTATTAACGTGTTTATATAAGTCATCTTAACCACGATATGCAAAAAAAAGAGCAAATATTTTTTTTTAAAGTAATTATGAGCTTAATTTTCAACATTTAAAAAATAATTAATATCAAATTATTGAACGTTCAGAATTTTTAAATATTGAGAAAAACAATTTGAAAAAGTAGAGAAAATATATTTATCAATTTTTTTCTTAAAGGGAAATAATAATTTTACTTCCTGTTGACTTTTTTATAATAAAATTTCCCTCAATTTTACCTTTTTCCGTTTGAATCGGTAATTATTTAAAAAAAATTTCTTTTAATTTTACTTTTACTGGATATGAAATTTTAGGTTATTAATTAAAATTTTCAAATTTAAGGAATCATTGTTTACAAATTATAATGTTTATGCGAAATTTTCTTTATTAATTAATTAATGAAATTAAAATCAATTTTGTAAAGCAAATTATAGACAATTAGTGTTTTTGAAAAATTTTAACTCTACGGGGATTCGAACGCATAACGCAATAGTGATTCACATTTCTACGCGCTTTAACGACTACGACTAATCGTATTTGCAAATTTTGAAATTTTAGCAAAAGTTTTAACAAAGAGATTAAGGTACATTAATTAATTATTATTAATTATTAAAAAATATTCATTAATATTCATTAATAATTAATAATAATTCCTTTCTTTAGCAATTAATTAATAATTTTTTTCGTTATTCAATTTATGTAGTAAAAACAATTTCCCAGTATAAATAATTTGCACCAATTTGGATTTTACCTATTTTTTTTATTACACATTTTTTTCCAACATTCAACCAAATTGTGCAATTTGACAATATTTAGTGAATGTAAAGAAGTATATATATGCAAATATCGTTTCCCATTGTCTGAACTTGTTTCGTTTGTCTTATCAGTCAGGAGGTACAATAGTTTTTTTTTTTTTTTTTTTTTTCGTTTTTTGTTTGACTAAAAATGTGTTACGTTGATTCTTATCAGAATGCTCGTAATTTGTACGTCGCGTGTGCAATGGGCGAAAGTTAAAAAAAAAGAAAGGGTTGTTTTTATTTTTGTGAGACAAGGAAGAGTACAGTTTCCTCCAATTCATGAGATCGAATTATCGTATTGCCAAACGGGAATTATTATATGGTCATGGACGCACAGTTATACATCACGAGTGAACACGAGCGTACGATCGTAATTTCACTCTGCGCTGGTTTGAATTCTTTTCCTCCTTTATACATGAATGGTCGCTTTAAAGGAAAAGGATACTGATTTAATGTTATATAAACAGAGAGACACTAAGTTACACTCTGCGTAAAAATATTTCTCTGGCAAAATATTTTTTTTTTTTGGGAATATTTTTCTCTTTTATCATTTTCGCGACCACTGTGTGAGGAAAATTAATTTTCCATTGTTTCCGAATACTTTAAAAAGTATAGAACAATCCTTATGGACTTTATTAAATCCTTGGAATTTGAGATATTTCAATCATAGACTTGTAATACAAGCGTCTTTTGTTAAATTATATTCCGTTTATTAAATTGTTATATTCCTTTTTTTTCAGTATAATATAGGGAAGAAGAATAATTTGTTACGGTAATTTAATAAGTTATTTTTAAATTATCCTGAGGGGATTTTTTTCTTAACAAAAATAAGAATCAGCAAAATTATTATTAAAAATTATATAATTATTCAATGATATCGTAAGGCATTTTCCCCTTCAATTGAGAGTAGAAAAAAATAAAAAGGTTTTTGATGAGGTTTGGAATAATTGAGTGCGAAGTCCTTTTTATTATTATTAAACATGATGCACAGCATCTTTTATCTATTTTTTGTATGTACCAATTTCTTGTTATATTTTATTTGACTTGAATGAAACGCGCATATTCATATTTTCTGATGTAACTTTCATAAGTATACTAGAACTGTCGGTTTATAATTCGTAGCATCTACGATTGCTATATGGGGAATGATGTAAGTGCTTTCTTTTATATATATATACGCCCGTTGATGATTGCTTAGTAGAGCACTTCGTCAAATTGCACAATATTTCGAGTTCATCTTTCATATATATATACACTTGGACAAAAGCGTTAGTATGAGGTCGTGCGTAAAGATCTCTTCTCTCTCAAAGCCTATATTTTACCACACACATTCCAATGTGATGCTGCTTCTTCTTCATCTATCATGTATTTATTGACATTTCAAGTTCTATTTTCATGTTCGGCCTTGTTCACACACACACACAGAGCGCATGTTAAAAATTGTGTCACGTGCTCACAAAAATTAAATTATTACTGAAAATGACATTTCTTTTTTCTTTTATAAAATTCTTCCTACTTATTATTATTCTGCCCTACATGTCATTTACTGTTTTTCCATTGTTGGGAAATAATTATAATAATGACAAAAATAATTAATTGATTCTTATAAGGAGTAGTAAAAAAATTTTTAAGTATTTAAATAGCAGTAACAGATATAAATTTTTTTTAATTCTCTTTCCCTTAATTTCAAGTCCTTTCTACAATGGAAAAACATACGTATAAGTGCCACGTTAATTGAGTTTTTCTGTTGTATAGTTCTTGAAAAATATAAGTCATATTTTTAACATTTTTATGTTATTCGATTACTTTAGGTTTAATCTCGATGCCACACTTATTTTTATCAAATTTGGAAATGAAATTTTTTTTATAGATTTCTGTATTACCGACCTGTTTAATATTTAACTACATGTTAGTACAGCGCTGATAGTATTTTAATTTTTCTTTTTGCAGATTCCATTCTCGATGGCTTGTGGTGTCACGTACTTCAAAGATAAGGACAAAAAAAGGTTATCTTTTCTTAGGACACAGAATTCAGACTTTTGAGAACTCGGTCTATTTTTACGGTTATTTTTCACATTTTCCGAATGGAAATTTAACTTGAAAGTATTAGGGATCTCCGAGGGCTGTTTAGTTTGAAAGAAAATCTACTTGAAGCTGAAAAATTCGTCATTAAGGTAAATATTTTAATTTATTGGCAAAAAAAAATATATTTATTCGAACTAAATAATTTTTATTGTGTACTAATTTCTATATTTGAAATATCTTCCTATATTACAAAAAGATATCGCCGCCGCCACCGCCGCTGTTTCAAGAATTCTTGACCTAGGAGGGGGAGGGAGTCCCCCCCCTAAATTTTGAGGTTATGTTCGCTTCAAGGCCCTGAATATAGCCGCAAGTCCCCCCTCCCTTCTCTCATTTCCCCTCCTCCGCCAAAATGGCCTAAATTTTAAGGTTATGATCGTTTCAAGACTCTGAATATAGCCGCAAGTCCCCTCCCCTCCCCCGCCAGAAATGACCTAAATTTTGAGGTTATGTTCGTTTCAAGGCTCTGAATATAGTCTCAAGTCCCCCCTCCCTCCTCTCATTTCCCCTCCTCCGCCAAAAATGACCTAAATTTTGAGATTATGTTTGTTTTAAGACCCTAATGAAGCAGTAAGTCCTTCTTCCTTCCCTCATCTCTCTCTCTGTATTTCCCGCCAAAAATGACGTAAATTTTAAGGTTATGTAAATTTCAAGATTTTCAATATAGCCGCAAGTGGAGGTGGAGTTCCCGCCAAAAATGACTTGTATTTAAAGGTTATGTTCGTTTCAAGACTTTTTACTAATTTATTGATTTTTAGGCAATTTCATTGAAATTATTTTTAAAAATAATTTCTTAATGTCGATTTTAATTTATTTATTAATTAAAATTTAATAATTTTAATTTTAATAATATTTATTCAGATTTCAATGAATTTGTAATAATAATTCTTTGAAATAGGTGGTTCATTTGGAAAAATAAGATCAATGGAAAATTAAAAAAAAAATGATTAAAACCGGGGGGGTTGGCGCACGAAGCGCGCAGGGGGGCGTAGCCCATCTAGTATATATAATATATATATAAAATTGATTCAAATAAATATTTATTTGATAATGCTCAATCGATTATTTGAATGAAATAAATTTTTTTTGGTATTTTAAAATACAAAACAATTAATCGATTTTTATAAAGAAAAAGAGATTTAGTATTTGAAAAGTAATAACAATAAATTTAAATTAAATTTTTAAATTTTTCATCAATCTAATGGAAGAGGAGCAATAATATATATATATATATATATATATATAGAAAGAGAGAGATTCGTAGAGTGTGGGTCGTAATTCCATCAAAAAGCCTACACCATTTTAACTTTCGTATGCGAACAAATTGCAGTGCCATTTCGCAAATGTGATCATTACAGCAGGCAAATGTTGCGCAGAAATGATACTGGTCAGATTAACGCGATTAATCCGCGACAAATCGGTCTGGTTCAAATGCTTTCACGCGCTATTGAGATGAGCGCTCTTTCTATATGTATACATATACATATTTCTTGCGCACGCGTTTTTGTTGTTCGAATCACATATACATTTTCAATATACTATATGGAAATACAAATATATATATATATATATATACATACATGCATATAATATACAAGCGTGAATAAAACCGGATCGGCAGGATTGTACCCGAGAGCGCATCGCGCAGAGGCTCCCAATTAGTGCGTGCGTGGTTTTACCTTGACATCTGATCTCGTTATACAAAGGATCATACTTGCTGCATAGTGCATTTATACAAGTTGCAAATGTACTGCGTAATCATGACGACATATAGATTTTTTAACGAGTCACCTATGCCCGCACATTATTTGTGTCAAATCGTCAAAAAAAAAACAAAAAAAAAAATTGCAAGGGATTATAAATCCCTGTACTGTAAATAAAAATTCACGTTTTTAGAAAATTGTATTTTTTTCACAATGACAGGAAAATATCCCCTGTAGAAAAAAATTTGTTTTCAATTCTTATATTTATTGTAAATAAATAGGTTATTTTTCTAAATCTAAATTAGTAAAAAGTGGGCTGCTAATTTAATTAGTTATTTTTTACTAATTGCTGATGCCAAAAATCAACTAAAAAATTTTTAACTAATTTATATCTAGAAGAAAGAGACAATAATTGAAATATATATAATTAAAAAATTAATTTGATTGAATATAAAATTAAAAAACGAATTTAATAAAATATTAAATTAAAAAAAATTAATTATTAAATTACATAATTAAAACCAAATAATAAAAGAATTGACATGTTTAAGGTAATGGTATGGTGTACACCTGAAGGAACTTTTTTATATATATAGTAAAGATATTTTTTTTTCTGCAAAATGTTTAATTACAGTCCATTATATGCACATTTAAGCTGCCACCGATTACGTGTTAAGACTCTCATTGCATTAATATTAAGGCATTATGAATATGTCAAGGTGTATAATTTTTTTTTTTTTTTTTTTGGTGTCGGGATGACACGGTGAAATGGAAATATACATTTCAAGGGCCGCGGCCGCCTCTTTTGAGTGTATATTATTGAAAATCCTTTCTCTGTGCAATGTGGCAATGAAAGTGTAATATTAAAGACCACAAGGGTCAATATTTTAATTGAGAAGATAACACCCATACTTCGTTTTGATAAAAAAAAAAATTCTCTTTAATATTACGAAATATTTTTTTAAATAATAAAAAAAAAATAGAAAACAAATTTTATTTAAAAATTAGAAAAACTTAAAAAAGGTGAATAAACTACACAAATAATAAAAAAATGAAGATTTTATAGTATTAATATTTAAAATTAATATTTAAATTAATAATAATTAATATTAATTAACTGATTAATTTATTATTTATATTATTTATTACTAATAATTAATTATTGATATTTATTAAAAAAAATTCTAATTAAAAAAAAAATAATTGAAAATTGATTGAAATAACAAGTAATGAAGTTGATTTTTAATTAGGGGACGAATCATTTTGAGTTTAGTGTAAAAAGAAATGTGATTTAAATGCGTTTAAAGTAGGCGGACGAACACAATTTCCTGCGTTAAAATATAATGATATGTGCGGGAGAGTGTTATACGCTTGAAAATAATTATTGATCTAAAGGATATTAATCATTGTACACTGGAAAGGGGTATACATCTGTTGCAAGTGAAGTTACATTTGCGTCTGTAATTTCCTTTTTTTATGTCGATGGCAACAACAACGTTCTGATCAATAATAATCATAAATGCATTGCATTGGCGTTAATTATAATTTCACGAGAGATATTTACTCGCGCACTATCAAAAATATATGCTAATGAAAAAAAAAAAAAATATGTTGCTTCACATATAACATTTATAAATATATATATCTTTTTATCAATTCACCGCGTTGAAATTTGAAAATAATCGAGAGAAATTTTTTTAAAAACAAATTTTATTATTATTTATTTATTCAATTTTTTTATTTATTTATGTTAAAAATATTCTTCTAAATCCATTTATTTTCTTTTATTTCAAAATTTTTTTAAATTAATGCAACTTATAATAATTCAATTTTATTCTTTTGTGAAATGAATAAAATAAAATAGTTTATATACATTTTGATCAAATTTATTTTCGTGAAACTTATCTCAGGTGTGTGTATATATATATATATATATATATATATATATATATATATATATTTACAAGTTCGTATTCAGAAAAGATCGGCATATTTATTGTAATGTCTCTTTGCGATACAGCAAATCTTTGAACGAGTGTATCATGCAATCCGTTGAGGTAGAAGGGTGGTTTTTTTTCGCTTTAAATTATTCGATCAATACCTTCCCCTCCCCCTAAATGTATTGCTCATAACATTTGCATAATGATTGCCTTAAATTCGATATAACATTGCAATTGGTTCTTTTATGGAAGGGCAAAAAAAAAAGTTCTATTTAAATTTAATTTACTTTGAATTAAATAGACTTGCAATAATGATAATTAAATATAATAAATAATTATTTTTGTTGGACTAATTTTTTTGTTTATTCATACAAATTGATAGTAAATAATAAAATAGTTGATTTAAAAATTGAATTTTATTTTTTTTTTAACAAAATAATATGATAATGAGGTTTTAAGAATTTTTATCGTTCTGAATGAATTGAATGCCAGAAAAATAATCCACCTCAAGTCTGATATTATAGTGAAATTGATATTTAAGTTTAACTTTGCGATATACAAAATGTCATGATTAAATGTAGTAGAAATTTGTGTTGAATCACTGATGTTCTGCGTCAGTGAATGACTAAAGGAAAATGAAGGTTTATATACAATATATAGCCTCTCTTGTTATTTTGTGTGACAATGCGTCGTCTTTGATATAACCTTTGTTTTGTTTAAATGTGTTTCATTTGAGAATTCAACTGTCAGTAACATATATACTTCATTCTTATATATGGCAAAAACTCACTGTGAATGTATATATGTAGACACACACAGATGTTGATGATGTGTTAGTGGTGGTGGTGGTTTTTGCGCGCGAAAAAGGAAAAATCTCTTTGGTAGGAACACTATTTCACCTTTATCACCTTTGTTTGTCACACAACTCTTGCTAGTTACAACAAAAGAAAAGCAGATACAGAATTCACTTTGGTTTCCTTTCCTTTTATTCTCTTCCAGAAGCTACTGAAATTGGCAATTTACACACATTTAAATTTCCTCCCTTTTTGGAGACAATAGAACACAAACACAAGATAAAGACAAATAGAACTGTTTACAATTATCCCTGTGACATAAAAATTATTCTAATTATAAAATTTTGTTTTTTAAAACCAACAAAAAATTTATTTGAACCAAATAATTTTTTATTTGAATCAATTAATCAATTGTCCAACCCCTTTTTCTATAGCCATTTTTGACCCTATTTTGTATTGAATAAAAATTAGTTTTATTAAAGCAATTTTACGATCCTTTTTAGATTAGTTTTATAACTTTTTAAACGTCCAATCTATAAAATTATTTAATGACTGTACAATATGAAATTTATATTAAATTATTATAGAATTCTGATAATGTAGAATATTATTTATTATTTATGGTTTTACGCAAATTAATAATACCTACCATATGGTTAATATCTAAAAATACACATGTATTTTATAATAATGGTGAAATGTAATTTTCTTTTATTGATTTATACATTTGGAATTAATTAAATATTTTACTGTCGATAATTAATATTCCCAGACTAAATCATGAAAATTGGAATATGGATAATAATGTATATATATATATATACTAAATTTTCACACGTGAGAAGATTTTATATTGAACAAGTTCAATTTGATTTGCGTTAAATTATAATTAATTTACATTATTTTGCGTTTTGAAGAGATTCATTTACCACTTGAGCGAGCGTGAATTTAAAAAAAAAAAAAAAACTTCTATTTTCCAGTAGATGATTCTATCGACCGGAAGCTCATGTCGACCGAATGACCTACAGGCCATAAAGCAGAACGTATGTCAATTACCGTGAAAACGTCTTTTTTGCTTCATCCGGTGAGTACCTAAATCCATTATACATATATATGCTTTCACGTATTATGAAAAATTTACATGGTTGAGATCATATTCTCTTTTTTTTTTTTTTTGGTAGTTCGCGATTATTTCAATCTGCTTTAATAAAAGTAATGTTAGTATATGTTTGCCATTCACTTTTTGGCAACGTACAAGAAGTAAATGCTATACATAAATTCAAAAGAAGTGAAAGTAAAAATCAAGAATAAAATAAAAAAAAAGAGGGAAAGAAGTGCATATCTCTGTTTAAATGTTGGAACTTATCAAAAGGAATTTTTAAATTTAGCTGCATTTTTTATATGACCATTAAATTGTATTTTTTTTGGTTGACGTCATTGATAATTAATTTTTTCTTAGAAAAACAATTTAATATAAATCAATTGTTGGAAAATTATTTTCAATTTTTCGAATATTATTCTAATTTTAAAAATAGATGATGTGAATTTTTATCGTTTGGAGTTTTAATTTTATTGACAGTTTATTATTTATTAATAATATAAATAGAAGGGAATATTAAGAGCAATGAGAATCCTTAGGAGTTTGGATGTGATCCAGGAATTGTTGGGTATGCATAATGAGTCTCCGGGGTTAATAAATTTCTAAGTTTCCTTGCAGAATTGTCTTTCTACGTTAGTTCATGTTTTGATGTATTAGACCCGGCTGTTCAATTATGAGAATTAAAAATATTTATCAACTCTAATTATTTGCAATTAACAAAAGAATTTAATTTCATATTTTTTAAGAATACAATTTTTTTAAAATAAATTTTTAATGTTTTTAAATACATTTATTATTTTTTATTTATTTCTCTTATATTTCGTTTATTTTCTTTATCTTGAAAGGAAATAATTTTTGTATCTAGAATTTTAATTTACCTACAAATCTTAATGGAAACATATATTGTAGTTTTTTTTTTTTTAATCTTGATAGAAGTATTTAGTGAATTGCGAGAGAGCGTATTAAAAAATCATTATAAAGACGGAAATTAAAATGTACTTATGCAGAGAGATAGGTACGAGAATGTTTTAGCGATAGTTTCGCTTCGAGCTGTTGTGTTTGTATCAGACTATTACTAAAATCACAAAACCTTTTCAAATATTCTATATGCGAAATTGCGTGCGGGTGTTATAAGTTATTCATAAAAAAACAAAACTCTAGAAATTACACTAAAAGAAAAAATAATCAATTTTTGTAAAATATTGAAAATTTATTATTTATTATTAAATTTCTTTTTAGTGTAATTAATCATTGAACAGTATTTCATTGTTTTAGATTTTTTTTGCCGGTAAAAGACATGTATCAAAATGAGTTTTCATAGAAAGTCTCAAATTATTCGTGATACCCTTGGTTTTTTTCCCTTTTTTTTTTTTTTTTTTTGCTTTTGTCATCAAAGATAACTTTATTCTGAGAATTTATTGCTTCCGAAACGATCAACGCTCAGAAAGCGATTCACGACATTTTTCGCATCTTCATTTTAATGCTTGATGCATATTCAATGGATTTCATTAATATTTATATCCTTGGTCCGATGAAGGACGCGAACCGGGTGCAGGATAAGAGGCGGTTCCTTCATATCGAATCATTGGTCGATATCCACCTTCATCTGCAATGTAATCCACATACAAAATTCTAGTGTCCGGAAGTAGAACATGATAGCTTCCTGTCGCTGTATTGTCTTTTCGCATTTCTCGATGTCCAAAATCAAGACCCGCATCTCCATCTTGTACCTCATAGGAAAATTCATAGTTCACTGGATCCTTAAAAAAAGAAGGAATATTTTTTTTTTAGAACATTTTTTACAATTTGTTTTCATGTTCAAGTTTTTTGAATTCTTATTCTGTAAAATCTAAAAAGGCAATAGAAAAATTTATTTCCTAGAGAGAGAAATTGTAAAAATGTTTGAAAAATCAATAAAAAAAAAAGAAAAGAGGTGTTTAAAAGAAAAGAAATTAGTAGAAATGTAATTAAAAGTGAATGAAAGTTACTTTACGGATTGAACATCCTTAATTTTAACGGACATCAAAGTTACATTTTCTCTTTAAACAAAAATCGTTAACCTCTTCTGTATCTTCTGCACTCGTTTTCAATTAAATTGGACATATATCTGCTCTCGAGAATATAAGTCAATGCGAATTTGAAATTAATGAAAAAGAAAGGATTCACGTTTATTCGGTAGATTAAAAAAAAAAAAAATTTAATTAAAAAAATCATTTTTAACAAGTGTAAAAAAATTAATCTCTTTTAAAATACAGTTCTCTTATAAAATCAAGAGTTGTTTTATAGTTCTATTGAAACATTAGTATCATTCATTAGTATAAGTGATATCAAATTTTCATTATACTGCAATCGAATTTATATAGAATCAAGAGTAATTGTACAACTACTATTCATACACAGTAATTGTGATTAATGAAATACTATCCAATGTAAAATTATTATTAATGACGTTAAAAATGATTTTTAAATTAATTGTTGAATTATTGCTTCATTGTGAAACGTTTAGTTTCTTTCACTACTTTTTTTTTAAATAGAAATTATCAAGATTGTTGAATTTTTTTTCAAAGGTAGACAATTAGATTTTGAAAAATTCAGCTCATATAATTTAATTTTCTCAGTGTTGTTAAATTTTGTAATAGCTGAAATGGAAAATTGAGGTGAATGAGCGCGATTTGTGGTTTTTTGGGTTGTAGGAATCCTCAATCATTTAATTTAATGCGCAATAGTTGCATAGTGTTTATAATGATATATAGAACCATTATGAAATGTTGATCTTAAATCCTGACCGCAATTTAGTCTACCAGGAGAAATTAATTAGCAAGTATACAAACTAATACAAACCGAATTATAATTCGTCTTCTCTGTTGGAATTTCATCTTACATTGCTATTGAGATTTCAGATCTGTGAATAATTCACGAATTCGAGAATCAGTTATATTAAGGTTTATATATTGTACATACCCCGGCCCACTCGTCAGGATGGCCAACATCGGGTCTAGACGGATGTGATCCACCACCACCTCCACTGGGAGGTAGGTATGATGGCCCCTGTGGTTTACTCCAAATTCCTAGCAGCATCGTCGTCGTCGTCAACAGCAATACCTATGGATAGAATGATATATTCCAAAACCTCTTGAGAGAAGACTCGCAACGTCAACGTTTCTCCTTGACGTTGCCCCTCAAATTCCTCTCGAATTAAGGTGTATCTTGGTGGCTCGCTACTTCACTATATGTCCCTAAACCAACTTCACTCTGAGATCCTTCTCTCTCTCTCTCTCTCTCTCTCTCTCTCTCTCTCTCTCTCTCTCTCTCAGTGTTCATTTAACATGTTTGTCGTGTTTGGTGTAATGTGTCAAGGAATTTAATACAGTTCACTATAGAAACACTTGTTCATTTGAGCTTGTTAAATTTTCATTAAAATTTGTCTTTTGGTTGAGGACCATTTTCATGAAACTACTTTACTTTTAATTGATACCACTTTAATGTTTGAATGAGCCAAAATTTCTGAACGTTCAAATGAACGAAATATTTTTTTCAATCTATAAATTATTAAAAATTATGATGACCATGTAAAATTAAAACAATAAATTCAACAATTATTAAATTAATAACTTATTTTTAGATATTTAAAAAAATATTTTGTAATAAAATTCGTACATAAAGAAGTTGCAAAAAAAATTTCGTTCATTTGAACGTTCAAAACTTTTGGCTGATAATGTTTGATACAATTTTGGTTTATCTTTAGATAAACTGACATCCAGTTAATTTTTATCCTGCTTAATAAATGCAATTTTTATGTTTTCAATGTTATTGTTAACAAGTTGTGAATTTTTATTAAATGTTTTATATCTACAAAAAAGATTTCATTCTAAAACTTTCTGTTAAAATAAACATCTCTAGAACAACATGGTATAATTTAGTGTGAATTGACTGTTAATTAGTTTGGAAAGTAGACATTTTGGGTAGAGTGTATATATATATCGGGAATTTTTGCTTGGTTTCCCTTGAATATTGGTTGGGGATTCCGAGTGAGGTAGACATTTAAATAGCCTTGTGGGTTTCATTGACAATGAGTATTCCGTATACAGTGACAAGTGCACTATTGGATTTGTAGATACGTCGATTGCAAATTATTGGAGAAGATTTGTATTGTGAGGGATATATACATATACGCATATAAACATCCTGTATGGCTCTTGAAATGATATATATCGAATTTCTTATACATATATGCAGTAGAATCATCATCGAACGTTTTACTTTCACTTTGTAGCTATATGATACTTCCATTGGGAGTTCAGTAAATTGATAATTAGCTAATTATCTCTCTTAATAACTACTTCTCGTATTTTAGCGTAATTACCGAGTAATAATATTGTAATAAATGATGACATTACTTATTGCTTATTATTGGATAATTAATTTTATATGATCCAATATGGTAGCCATTTGAACCAAAAATATCTTCTCAATTACGAATTATGTAAAATTTAACTAATTCATTGCGCAAAAAAGTGAGTTAGAATTTTTTTTTTGTAGAAGGTTAATTAAATGGAACATAAATGAATGAAGATAACAGAACTAGTTTTTAAAATGTGCATAATATGTCTTTTAATTTGTCTCATGTGTGTGGTTAGCATTTTGCGGTTATGCATATATTAACTTATAACACTGTTTGCTTTAATGGATTTAACTTACCGTTAAAATCATGAGAGCTAAAATTATACAACTCTTGGACACCAGAGATCACAATACACTGAGATAAAGGATTGACACAGCGTAACATTTTATACCATTTTCCTGGTTGCCACCAGAGATGAAAATACTCATTTGTCAAATATACAATTTGACAAGTAAAACGGTCATTATGCTTAATAAGAAAACCGCAGACTTGTGTTGAGCGTCGCTCTATCTTGCGCGAGTTTATTATTTATTGTCTTATATATAATGTCACGTCACCGTAACTTTTACATTCATAATTATAAGAATCCTTTTAATCAATACCGAGTTATATGTCTCTGCGACAAACACACGTGTTTTTGTTACGCCTCTAAATACTTTTCTCTTAAATGTTCAATTTCCGCCCCTTTTTTCGTGCAACTAAACATCATTCTTTTATATATAAAAGACCCCTGCGTTTTGTATCCTTCTACGACAATCTACTGTATTTCTATTTCTGTATACATACAAATAGAAGCGAGAAATCTTTTATGATACCAGAAGAGCTCACACCCCCACAAAACAAAATGATCCCTTTCTAATTTCCCCTATGTGCTAAAATCAAACGATGTAATAAATGCGCTCTTTCCAATTATCCTATGTGACGAACCCCTGTGGTATCACCACATTAGAAGAGTACAGCTGCGAATAATCATAGTCATACTTTTTGTATCTTGAAGAAGCTGGTTCACACCCCCCTTTTTACGTTCAACTGAGAGAGAAGGACTGAACTTTGACTTCCAAAATTAGGGTGAAAATATATAGTAGGACAATAAAATTTTATCTATTCTCTTACGAAAACTCAGTATAAAAGGGCTACATTTTCATGGAGAGATCAGTTCTGGGATCCTCTTCATACGTATAACATCAACTAGTTCTGGGATCCTCTTCATACGTATAACATCAACTAGTTCTCAAATTATCTTCATACGTATCAATCTCATTCTTGGTGCCAGTCGACGTCTTATAGTACAAGTGCATAATTCTCTTATATCAAAGTGAAAATCAAGCATCAATACCCTCTACATAAAACGAGGATCATCACTACTTATTGCATTGGGCAATTATCTATTTATTTGGAAGAGACTCATTATTCGGACATTCGTCACGCCTAATAGAACTCCGGACCTGCGGTTATACCTGGGCCCGTCAACCTTCCGGACGTCATAACTCACGCTGATACCAGCTCTTTTTCCTGTGTCAACAAAGGACACAGCAGTGGTCCTTTTCTTTATTGAAACTTATCTACTACTGAATTTTAAGGTAAGTGTCTTATATTTTTACTCCTAACTTTCTAAACTTGTCGTATATTTGTGGTAACCCTTACATTCCTTATTTCAGTTGAATGCTGAACTCATTTCCTGGATTGGTTGGTTTGAGATTCCCTCTCTCTCGCATAAGAACGAACTATTTTAACCCTAAAAATTTGTCTAAATAAAATTGTAACTTAATTATAAAAATTTCTATTCTCTTTCTTACCTGTACCCTTAGTTCAGAGCCTTCTGCTCTGTAAATGAAACAGGATTACCCTGAATCACCGAAGCGGAAATAAATAAAAATAAAATATAATTTCTGAAGTTATTTCTTATATTTGAGACGTAACAGAGGAAATATTATTTTTGGTGCATCGGCCGTTGTGAACAGGAAAGAGAATATAAATTTAAAATCTATGCACTAAAAATATAATTTTTGGTGTATTGTCCGTTGTGAACAAAAAAGAGAATTTAAACTAATAATATAAAAATCGATGCATTAACAGTATAATTTTTGGTGCATCATTTGTTGTGATAAAAAAAAGAGAAATTAAAAAAAAAATCATTTTTCCTTAAATAATTTCAAATATATAAATGAGAGAGAAAAATATCCTTGAACCAACAAATCTAGAAATTCCTTTATTAATTTTTTTTTTATTTACACTCATAAACACAAATCAAAATTCTAAATGAAAGTGATACAAAAGTGAAATAAAAAGCTTAGTTATGTCGTTACCTAATAATCAACAAGTATCTCTTCGCGACGCGTTAGAATTAGTGCCTGTGTTCGATGGAAAAAATATTCCAGTAGTTTCATTTATAGAAGGTTGCCATGAAGCAAAATTAATGTTGCCAGATTCATCCCAAGTGGAGGAAAATTTAGTAAAATTAATTCGTGGAAAGTTAATAGGAGAAGTTAGAAAATCAATATCGGGAAATATTTTTAAAACAATTTTGGAGTTAGAAGCTCATTTAAAGAAGATATATTTACCAAATAAAAGTATCTATCAATTGCAAGGAGAGTTAGGAAATATTTTTATGAAGGAAAATGAAAGTGTCATATCGTATGCGAATCGAGTAAAAGAATTATCGGATCAGATTTTTGACTCATACAGATTATCGAGTAAAGACGGTAAATTATCCAAAACGATGTTAGAAACTTTAGAAGTAGATATAATGACCTGTTTTCGTCGAGGACTACGTCCAGAATTAGAAATTCGAATTCCAGATTGCATAACTTTAAAAGAAACAACAAACAAAGCATTAGAGGCAGAACGAAAATTAAATGCGGTTGTAGAGCTTAGAAAAGAAAATTCTTGTAGGCCAAATAATGCAAAAATTACATTTGCTAGTGCAGATATAGTAGTATGTCAAAATTGTAATGTAGAAGGACATACTTCACGCACTTGTCGTAGGTCAGAAAAAAATCAATACTCATCACAGCATAGGTACCAGCGCTCCGTATTCCGCATGAAGCAGAGACCACCTGTCTATTATCTAAGAAGAGGGATGTCCCCCTCGTTTAGTGAACAAAAGCATTCCCCTTTACAATTACGATTCTCGGGTTTTCCCCAAAATTTACATAATAAAACAAACTCACAATTTCCAAATAAAAATGATTTTCGTACTAATCAACAAAACAGATTTTTTAATGTTACTTGTAAATATTGCAAAAATCGTGGGCATGTTATTAAAAATTGCAGAAAAAGAGAATATAATAATTATAATCAAGGTCAACAGTATCGATCATCCACTTTAATGAACCAGGGAAACGAATAATACCTTCCCATATCAGGTACGATGGGACAGGTGCTAAAAGAAAAAGCGTGCCTAAAAAGCAAATATCTGAACATTTAGAAACCATTCAAATCAATTGTACTAAAGGAAATATGATACCATCTATTTATGTTAATACAGTTTCTAAACCACTTCATTTAATGATTGATACAGGAGCAGGATTAAATCTTTTAAAAGAAAAAATGCTTGATTCTACAATGACTTTAAATAAATTAAAGAAAATTCAATTAACAGGTATAAATGAACACCCAGTACACACATTAGGACAAACAAAATTAAATATTTTCGGTTATCCCACAACTTTTAACATAATACCTAATGAAGTTCCCATAGAAGAAGATGGAGTTTTAGGATCAGAATATTTTACAGATAATAATGTCAAAATTAATTATGCTGAAAAATGTTTAGAAGTTAAAGGAAAAATGTTCTATTTCGCATCAAGAAATTTTATTACTCTCCCACCTCGATCAATATCTGACATATTTTTATTTGTTGAAAATTCTAATTTAAAAGAAGGATATGTTCCACTTTTAAATACTGAACCTGGAGTTTACATAGGAAACGCTATAGTCACAAATAATAATGGTAAAGCATACGTAAAAGCAGCAAATACACTATCAAATTCAGTAAAAATACAAATTCCGAAAGTAATGTTACAAGAATATGACGAAGTTTTTAATAACTCCTCTGATTCAAATCAAATTAAAAATAATAAAATAAATATTGAAAATAACACCGCGGAAAAATTATTTGACAATTTTGTATATTCAGAAACCTTGTGCGATAAGCAATTTGGATTTTATAATATTACGGGTAAAGAAAGAATTGAAAAAATATTAGATTCACTTCGTTTAGATCATTTAAAACCAGATGAATTAAAACATGTAGAAACATTAATCGTGGAATATTCTGAAAGATTTCATTTACCAGGTGAATATTTAACAGCTACCAATGTTCTCCAACATAACATCCCTACTAAAGACGACGAACCAGTATTTACGCGACAATACAGATTTCCCCCAGTGCATAAAGAAGAACTTTTAAGACAAACAAGTGAACTTTTAAAAAATAAAATAATCAAACCTTCTCAATCCCCATATAATACACCAGTATGGATCGTGCCTAAGAAAAATGACAGTCATGGAAATAAAAAATGGCGAATGGTATTAGACTTTCGCAAATTAAATGAAAAAACAATAACCGACTTTTTTCCCCTACCGAATATAAACGAAGTGCTCGAGACCCTTGGAAATGCGCAATACTTCTCTGTGTTTGACTTAGCTTCCGGTTTTCATCAAATTAAAATGAGCCCAAAAGATTCTCACAAAACAGCCTTTTCAACCCCATATGGTCATTATGAATTTGACCGTATGCCTTTCGGTTTAAAGAACGCGCCAAGTTGTTTTCAAAGATTAATGAATTGTTGTCTATCCGGTCTTATTGGTACAGATTTATTTGTATACCTTGATGATGTAGTAATTTTTGCAAATACTCTTGAAGAACATCAAGAAAAATTTGATAATTTTATGTCTCGACTGTGTAACGCGAATTTAAAATTGCAACCAGATAAATGCGAATTTCTCAGACCCGAAGTAGTTTATCTTGGACACATAATCGATAAAAATGGAGTCCGACCTGATCCGAAAAAGATAATTGCTGTTAAAAATTTTCCAGTTCCCAAAAACGTAAAAAATATAAAACAATTCTTAGGTCTTGCCGGTTATTATCGAAGATTCATTAATAATTTTTCAAAAAAATCAGGTCCTTTGACGCAACTTTTAAAAAAGGACGTAACTTTTCAATGGACAGATAAACAACAAGTAGCTTTCGAAATTTTAAAAAATGAACTTTGCGAAGAACCACTCCTACAAAGACCAGATTTTGAAAAACCTTTTATACTTACAACTGATGCATCCGGTTATGCTATTGGCGGCATATTATCACAAGGCGAAATTGGTAAAGATAAACCCATTGCTTATGCGTCAAGATCTTTAAACGAACATGAAGTAAA